CAAATGCATCTCGGCCGTGTCCCGATCCGCTGCACCACTGACAGCAGGCTCTTCAAATCCAACATCCACTGCTTCTGTGTATCATGTGACCTCTCAACACAATACGGAAGACCCGCAAGACAAAGGAAGTTGCTGAAAACCCGCCCAGCGACCTCTCTGTTATCCAGCATGAGGCGGAGTCAGTTTCTTCGTCTTTTACAGGTGTTATCGCTGGAATAAAGCCTGCATCCTTTCTCCTACCGTCGAACAGGTGGATGCAACGCAGTTTCTTTCATACTTGACACAAAACAAACAAAGATACGAGCGTTTAATACGAAAGATGCAGACAAAATCTCCAGTGAGCGCTTAATACCTGTGACAACGGTCTTTAAAGAGATTACCACATAAATGACCTCTACCGGTTCATCCGCATCGAGCTTATGTTTCACCAGTGTGTTTGTTGGCAGGATCCAAAAGCACTGGGCTGAAATGAGTTGGGAAAACAGACTTAGTTCATAAGATGAGTCGGTTATGCAGCATATTGGCAGTGATGCTGATCGCCAACATCCAGTTTACGACACTGAAGGTTTAAACTGTTTGCAGGTCCGCTGAGGTCCTCAAGGGACCAGTGGCTTACGCGCGACTACTTTGTAGACCGCAAGAACGGCGGAAACATGTCGCTGCCAGAGATTTAAAGCCGATGAGGATAGTTTGAGACATTTCAAGGGAAGAACACAAAAGGAAATAAATGACACATTTGGGAGGGAAAAGATGGAGGGGCTGATTGGTATGGAGCCCGAGACGGTGAGTGTGGACAATGTGTCAAAGGGAAGGATCGGCGCCGGGGGGCTGACGGAGTACGAGCTGTACTTTGGAAAGCTCATTAGACAACGTCGGGAACTGATGGGCGAAGAAAGGAAGCGGCGGAGTACCAGCGGGAGGAAGGACAGCGTTGTCAAGGGCAGAAACGACTTGATCAAAGTCTCCTAACCACTAACTTCCTGGCCAGAGGAAGATTCATCCCCAACAACAGGAAAACAAGCATCGAAGTAAGCGTACTCCTCGTTTCCTAAGTGTCCTCGTTTCCACGTCATCATTCTGCGTTCCCCCCGATCACTTATCTGCAGTCTGATATCTGGGATTTCTGAGAATTTCCCCGGCTTTTGAGAAAACTCTCTTGCTGGTGGAGGAAGCCTCCGGGTCATCGCACCTTAGCGTGAATGCTGGAAGCAGAGAGCAGAGTTCTATCCTGGCTCGGTCCGAAAAAAGGCTGCAAAAGCCGCCCAGCAGCAGCTCTAAAGCTCAGCAGCAGGCCGGCTTTTCACCGCGTTTCCAACAGCTTAAGCAACACGCGCTCACCTCCAGCCTGTTATTTGACACTTGTTACGATACGCAGTCTGTAGTTTATCCCGTGAAATACTTTGTCAAAAGCACCAGAGAGGCGCGTAATCGATGAGGTGTACTACTCAACGTCTCTCGGAGCAAAAAGAGCAGCGGTCGTGCAGAAAACCACTTTGCCTGGCTGTAAAATACAAATTGATCCGGCATTCTGCTCCACCAATCAGGTCCAAACACAGCAGCTTCACTCAGACACTTGATAAATGTTGGGTATGGAGTGTAAGGGGTTTAGCAAGTGACCACCTAGCGATACGCTGATTGTGCAGTACATCTCTGCATGCTGTCCTGTGTGACTCCAGTGACAACATAACAGACCGGAAAAGAGTAAGTATTTACATTTCTTACAGGAATATGACAAGCAGCACGGCCACACCGATGCGGCGTGAACCCGTGCAGGCAACGTTGAGAGGCGGAGCACCCCAAACCCCAAACTCCTGCCAAACACATTGGACAAGCAAATTACCGCGTCCCGTTTGGAGGCCACCCTCAACAGATCGAATTCCCTCCATCCATCCATTCCACCATCTCCAGGTAGCAGGGAACAGAGTCGATCATTTCTGGGAGCAGGTTGTCGGATGTGGCGAAGCCGGTGGAGCTTATTTATAGGGTCAACATAGACTTCCATCACAGGCGAGTGAAGCAGAAAGCTGCGGCGGCCCGCGGCAGAGATGAGGGATGAAGCAGCGCCTCTAAATCACGGGACACGACACAAGACTTTACACAGGCTACATCTGCAAACGCACATACGTTCGCCTCCCCAACGGTGAAGGCGTCTTTTCCCCAATTTGGCCAAAAAACGGACGGCGTCGGCGATAATGAAACGCTGTTTAAGAGCATGGCGTTGAATGCCTCGCTGCCTGCAGTAATTAGATCGCTCCGGTACGACGGTGGGTGAAAGGACAATGTAACAGGACGACAGTTTAGGTTATTAGTGCCGGCCATTAAGTGGATCATTTGCGTTACTTAACGACCTGCGGCGAATGTGTCAAACCTGAAGCACGGGCGGGATACTGAGTGATAACCGCAGGGGGGAGGAGAGCGGGGGGGAGGGGGAGGGTGGGGGGGAAGAGTCATCGCGGCGGTAGTCACGGATCAACCGGTTGATCAAAATCCCCAAAACAGACCAATTCGCTCCTCTCGAAAAGCCTTTCGGCATCTCAGGCCCATTTTGTCCTTCCACTCAGGACCCCATCTACGTTGATCACACGCCATTTTCACAGACGACCTTTTGGAGACGCAGTAGCAGGCAGAGGCCCAGGTGTAAATAATAACCTCTATTAAAGGCGGCATTCCACTTGGGTGCTCATTGGTTTAATCCATCAGCGGAATGGACCACGGCCATTATTAATCACGCGGGCGCTTTAAACTAGGACGAGATAAAATGTTTTGAAAAATGCCAATTGCGGCCCTTAATTTATGTAAATTAAAACATGTTTTAATCCCAAAGCCCTTGTTTCCATTATAGAGCTTTGACATTCAATGGGAAGGCAGATGGAGCATCGTAAATCTGCTTAAAATGGATTTCCATTAACAAAATAAATCAAGGTTCCGTAGGTCACCGGTGAGGTTCAACCTCCTTCATTTTGAGCAAAAAAAACCCAAACAACCTGTTTGTAGATGATTGATGATGAATAATGTGTGAAGGTAGCTGCAGCACACTGTAGTAAGTACTAAACAGTTAAATTGGCTCAAATGGCCGCACAATCATATTCATTACTATGTTTTTATTCCCTGTTTAATGACACGAAAAAAGCAAAACGGTTGTTGCCTGAAAATGACCAGTTTCTATCTAGATGAGTAGAACATCCCACGTAGTACCGCTGTTGTTCTACAGTAGCCCAGAATGGACAAACAAGTCGGGGTCTAGATTGTTGCTAATACTATTAGTCGCTTTGAGTCACACACACGAGAATAAGTCTGCAATGTTTGGTAAACCTTTTCTATCACAAATAAACTGGGATCATTTACTCAGACTTTTACTGCCAATAAATTGCCTTTCCATGACGGCTCCATTATCAAAACTCGTATCATGGGGGGGGGGTCAAAGGGATAACTGTCAGATATGCGGCGATGCGCCGAGCGACCTCATTTCAATTCTAGGAGGAGGAGGATTTTTTTTCCCACGCAGCGGTTCCGGTGAATATCGTCCACATGTTTTGACGCAGCTCCTTGCCGTGGTATCTCGCGGTTCATCTCAATTACCACAGAGGGGAATTGGTGATGCAACAGAGTGTAAATGGAGGACGCTGTGCGAGGAAAGACCCGCAAAATAAGGAGTGATTTAGTTCAGTGAGAAGCACGTCTTTCACGGCTCCCCATCTGAAGAGAAGGAGATAAGGACCCAGAACTCAGACCAACACACACACACACACACACACACACACACACAAAGAATACAGCACGCAGAAGCTTGTCAAAAGAGATACGAAGCGCTGACTTGTAAAGAAACAACACTGCTTTCAAACCCTGCAAAGGTTCATCTGTGTCTTTACTTTCTGTTGTCAAGAAAGAAATCTATTAGAAAGAATAGATTTTTGGACCGACCCTTCAAATGAAGACTGTGTTCATGTGGTTAATTGACCACTAAAAGGTGTGTGGCCTTTAAGACCTTTTCACAAACAAACAAAAAACACAGTCGTTTTGCCATCGTGTTTAAACGTGGGACAGTAAAACTGATGACTTCTTTAAGCAATATTTTAATGCATTTGCAATTTGCTCAGTGATGGTCTGGCGAGTCGATGTGTTGGTTATTCCTCTACTTAACAAATGGAAAAAAAAAGAAAGAAGGAAACCATCAAAGAGAAAAATCCCAAAAAGGACAGCGAGTTTATTAAGTCGCTGATCGATGAGTGACGTCCACGCTATTACGTTTGCGTTTTGAAATGCTTATGTTTTCTACGTTCACACTACGCCGGCGTTTTCTTTTGTCGAGCACCGAAACGCGGACGAGCTTGGAAAGGCTTCCAAAGACGGTTTGACAACGCAGGGGGTTTGCGTCTTGTCCAAAACGGATACGTATGGAAACGACCGTTCCAAAAACACGCCTCCGCTACCGGATTGGTTCTTAGCAGCCGTGAGGTGCCCTTCGCTCATGGGTCACGCTCTCCCATATCTCCCATATCCTACATGGACGTTTGCAAAAGGTTACCGTGTGGACACAGATTATCTGGATAACGGTCCTCAAGCGCCCGTGTTTTCTCTGGGCTCGGCCAGAAAAATGAGAACACCTCTGACAAGCAATTATTGGAAAAAGGCAAGGCCAAACAGATAAAATGCATAAGAATGATGGATGTGTGTGCAGCCTTGAATAACAGATTAACCCGCGTGGTGGGTACATGAGCCTTGCAAAAAGAAAAAAGAAAAAAAGACGGTGATAGATGGACACAAACAGGAGGCCATACTGCTTATAGCCTTGGACAGAGTGAAAGCAACGCTGGGGGGAACTAGTTACGACACATGAGGAAACGTGCGTCCCGCGCAGAAACCTCAGAATGGAAGAAGAAAAAAAAAAAAAAAAAGAGGAAAAAAACTGACAAAAGGAAAGACCAACAAAGCCTCTCTGCAACAGGAACACTGCATTGTGCGTGTGCGTGCGTGCGGCGTTTGACGGACGGGACACTGACCTGTGAGGACGGCCTTGGCGGAGGGTTCAGCGAGGTCCAGGGCGGACTTGCCGTCGGTGTTGCGTATGTTGGGGTCGGCGCCGTGCTGCAGTAACACTGTGCAACAGGGCAGACACAGACAGTAGCTGAGCTCCTGGACGGACATGCAAACTCCCCGACACACACCTCCACCACCTCCTCCTCCTCCTCCACCACCACCTCCTCCTCCTCCTCCTCCATGTCCTCTTGCTGCTGATGCTCCTCCAGCGGCAAAAACACATCCAACTGCTTCACACGGATGTACTCCTATGCTTTGCACTCGCACGTCACCTATCCCTCCTCCTCACCCACCTAGGACTGCAACTAATGCTGCACGTCCTGGTTCACATTTCTCTCCTCCTCTTCCTCTGGCTGCTCCACTTCGGATGCTGGCGCTGCCCTCTCGGCTGCCCCCGGCTGCCTCTGCCCTGCGAGGCATGCCGCTCATGTAAACAGACATTCTGCCACCACAACAACAGCAGTGGCAGCGGCAGCGGCAGTGGCAGCGGCAGCGGCAGCTTCGCTACACCACACGGGAAGACAAACAGCGGACCTCACAGAGAGCGGCTACGTGCCCGACCACGAAAAACAACAACGCCTCCATGGAGGAGCGCGGGGAAGTCTGTGGGGATGAATCGGCGGGAGCGGGAAGGGATGGATGGGGGGGGGGGGGAGGGGCGTAACAGCGATTCGCTTTAGCGGCAGCGGCGACGGGGCGAAGCAGGCGGCGCGAGCGGAGAGACTCTCGCCTCTCCGACTGACGGAGCGATGCAGCGGAGAGCAAGATGAGAGGAGGGGGAGAGGGGGGGTTAGTGGGAGGGATGAGCGGATGGGAGAGGTAGAGGGCGAAAAAAAAGGGGGGAGAGAGCGCGAGCAAAACAAACCGAGAGCATTTGTGAGCTTGAGAGGCATAGAGAGCGAGAGAGAGAGAGAGAGAGGAGGGTGGTGGGGGGTAGTAAAAATGACAAAGAGGAGAGGAGATATGAGGAGAAAGACGACGTGAGAGGAGGTGAGAAACACGGGAGAGGAGGAAGAGCAAGGAAAGGAGAGGAGGAGAAGGGAGGATGAGAGGAGACGTAACGAAAGGTAATGAGACGAGAGAGAGTCATGTGACTACTGAACACGTATGAGCTGAATAACAAACTCTGCCTTCGCTCGTGTTTTTTTATTTCCTTCTCGGCCACAGCAGCGCCGTCGCACGTGTCCTTTGACTCAAGAGGGTCTCGAACTACCGAGATGGTGCGCACACGGGAGCACACACACACACACACACACACACACACACACACACACACACACACACACACACACACACACACACACACACACACACACACACGAGAGGATAAAAATTTGATATATAGCGAGGCAGAGAGTGAAATGAGCTCAGCTCAGAGTGGCTGGTTTGTAATCATTTCACTCAACTTCTAATTTTGCATTTTTTCGGCCGCCTCTAATGGACGCGACAGTAATACCTTCTAAAGCCCTCTCTGAACAACCGTAATCCCCCTTTTGGACGGGATTAGTCTTCAATGTCCGATTTGCAGCGGTTGTTTTATGAGTAACTGAAACGCCTACTGCAGATTAGTGAGTGACTTGGGGACATTCGGTTTTTCACAGCACGTCCCATTGGGAGCCGTGGAGTTCAAGTGAGGAATCGGAAAAAAAGTGAATCTGAAGATTCAAAGTGAAATGGCAGACAAGTTCAATATCACAGATCATGTGATCATGCAAAAGAACGTTGACATCTCATGAACCTTACTGACATCTGCGGTGGGAAAAGGGCGGAGTCCCGGTCCGACCGCGGTTATGTGGTTATAAGGGATCTCCGTTCTCAACCGCGCACACGTTCATCCGACCGCGCGGCTGCTTTAGGATTTCCGAGATTTCTCCTTATCCCACGTTTGTTGATGAGATTTTCTCCAGACCTCGAGCTTGCAGAGATGCAAAAGATTACACTTTACACTCCAGTTGCGCGATCGGCGCACAAAGAGGACGGGGGCGGCGTCCTTCACGCCGAGCTGAAGTCTGTCTTTGATTTGACTCCTGATTTGAATGAGACAAGCTCAGCACACAAGACAAAGCAATGTAGTGATGCTGTATGATCAATTCATAAACGTTTAAGCTGTTTACTCATCACCATTTCCCATCAATCCATTGACTTCCCATCATTGTAGTCCAGTAGGAAAATCAATGGTCAGACTCAGAAGTCCACGGCAACAGTTGCAAAATGTTCAGGAGGCCGAGGACGTGACTAAAGTCAGAGACCCCCCGTCGTCCCCCGGACGATGGAACCGCGCTCGTTGCCGGATCCGGCTTCTTAACTTCAACTCACCGAACCACACTAACTTTCTACGTGGCCTGAGGAATGCCACCGTGCATCATGATCAATATCCGTGTATCGCTGAAAAAAAGCGGCTTGTTCATCCTCTGCAAGGAAGCAGAAGAGCAAAACCACACATCTGGATGGACATTAAAAGAGTAGGGCAGTGTGGCCCCCCCCACCCCCCCTACAGGGGGACACACCTGTTAAATTGGCACACCACAGCATCCCAGGTGACAGCAGGCCAGACAACATGTACACAAGTGACGGTTTTCCACCGGTCTCAGTCAATCCCGAAGAGCCGAACCAGCCGTTGCCACGAGATAAATCCCGGCGCGCGCGCACGCGTTATGGAAAACATACACGCACGTCACACGCTTCACGCATCAAGAGCTTGAAGCGCGGTCGTCCGGGGGCCCTGACGTTCTTTTCCTCCTCGTTGATGTCAGCACTCCCGACCGGCGGTGGCGCCGACTGTCATCGCAGTCGTTTGTTACTGTTCCTCACACGCAGCGGCGCTTTTCCATCGAGGTCATGAAGATATACCCCCCCCCCCCCCCTCAGTGCTCAGACGGCGCGCCGCGCCGAGCTTTCCTGCTTCAGAATTCCCTGAGCCCGGCCGCTAATGGACCCGCCGAACTGTTGTTTCTCCTGAAAGAGGACGGCAGCTCATACGGCGTAATTCCTTTGTGCGCCGCGGCGAGAAATCGATGCTCTTTCGTCCCCCGCGTGGCCTCAAGAGCAGGCGTGAACGCGGTAATTGCACATTTGTAGCGTATTTGCTTCTTGATGCCCAGTGGAAAATAACAGCGAACCGTCTGCAGGTGGTTTATTACAACTTCTAAAATTGATTACATTGATTCTAATAATATTGACTGATTATACGGGGCTCCGGGTTTAGAATTAGAGGTTTGGCGGGGGAGGGAGGGGAGGACAATTAAAACCGGCCCACGCAAACACCAGAGAATCCAATACGTAGAAATCCCTCGACAGCAACAGCGCTGCAATTGATGGAACATATTTAGAAATGCCACAGAACAACCGCTGACTGTTATGGCCTCCGAGGGACCGGCGCAACTCCTGCAAGCAATCTGGAAACTCGCAACACCGCTGAATTATTTCCCGCCTCGGTTCTGCTCACACGGCCAATTTCACTAACAGGCGAACAGCAGAGGGGGAAAAAAAAAGTAGCCAGTTTGATGTAAAACACACTGAACCTTCTGGGTCCGTTACTACGCGTTTGGTGCTCGGCGGCGCCTTACCTATGCAGACGTCGATCTTGCCCTTGATGGCAGCTTCGTGGAGCGGCGTGTAGTTCCAGTTGTCCCGGGCGTTGGGGTCGGCCCCCTGACACAGCAGCAAGGACACCACCTGGGAAAACGGCGTGCAGAACGTGGGCATTTTATTTCCCCCCCAAGCGGTTGGACACACGGGTTCCGGTGGGGCCTTAATGAACGGAGCACAACCCGGACCATTGAGCAAAACATGTTACGCTGATCCCAATCAACCCCCCCCCCCCCCCCCCCCCACCCCCACCACCACCCCCAGACCGGGCGACAGCAAAGTAGGAGTATTTTAGTCAAAATTGGGACCATCATTTAGGAAATGCACATCTGGCACCGTCGTGTCGACGCACTCGTTTCAATTCATGGTTCTAAAAGTCTTGCGTGTGTTGCAGAGCAAATCACCGCCAGAACAGGCGGAGTAACGTGTTTTTGTTGAAGACGACCTAAAGAGTCACGTCTTTGTGTGTGGAAGTCGTTGGTTTGTTTATTTATTTATCACAGACTTTATTGCCCCGTGCATCGCTACTGCTGCTTTTCATCGCGGACACATTTGTCCCGTATTTTCCTCCACAACTTTGTTCCCCTCGACCGGCAAACCGACATTAGCGGAGATCTCCCTCCGTGAATCGGAGGCCATCCTCAATGACGGCTTGTATAAGCGGTCATATTTACGCATTTATTCCGACAAAAGCTCTTCAATCTGATCCGTTGTCTCGTAAACATTCGTCGTTTTAATAATGGCGGTATTGTGCTATGAAAACGGAAATGTGAGACTCCGTAAAGGATGTAGTTAGCGGACGAATCGCAGCCTTGTGCGCTGCGGGAGGCTTGCGTCGCTTCGTGGCCTAGAAAGATGTCTCGACACACGCAAGGAGGTGTGTAAAAGGCACGCAAGGGACACGCAAGGGGGGTCTTGCGTCTGCGTCGCTCTGCAAACGCAGAAGCATAAATTAGGCTTAAGGTCACGTCCTGTGTAGGAAATAACTCAGAGGGTCATTCAACGCGTCGACTGCATCTTACTCGCCCTCGTGTTACAGAGACGCTCACAACGGACCTGACACTGCGAAAATCACACCTCGACTAAGGCAACAAGCGGCTGAGTGGTCGTCTTCGGTTCGTGCAGCGTTCGCGTCACAGGGCTGCATTAGCGCCGCGCTTCCCAGACGTGGTTGCAAAGTGCTCTAAGAGAAAGCCCTTAAAAGCCCCCAAATCCAAATTGGAATCATTCAATTGACGAGCCCAGGTTGCGGGCCGGGGGGGGGGGGGGGGAGACGTTTAAAGCGTCGGCTCACGTGTCACAGACGTTCCCGAAACACGAAAGCGCTGTGAAGCAGACAGATGTGCTCGGGTTATTGTTTACTTCCTCATCCGCGGTGACACGAACCCCTGCGACGTGGAAAGGGCCTCACCTCGGAGTGTCCGAACGAGCAGGCGTTGTGGAGCGGGATCAGGCCGCCGTCATCCCGCGCGTGCACGTTGGCGCCCATCTGAAGCAGGTGGTCCACCACGTCTCTCCGCCCGAAGCCTGAGAGGGCATCAGAGAGGAGAAGAGAGGGAAGGAAGCATGAAAGTGTTCAGATACCCTGAATCGGTCCTTTGTGTACGTTGCCGAAGCATCAGGCCACTGTATCGGTTTCATGTTAATAATGGATAGTTTCCTCTAAATCATCATGTTTTTTCATTGTATATTTATTCATACATGTTGTTTGTTTGTTTTTTGACACACACACGACAGCTGTTGGGGAAAGTAAAGCTTGTTCTGTGTTAGCTACAGATGTGCCCTTGGACTCGAGAGAATTCCTTCTTTCTTTTTGGATTATGGAGGACGGAGATGTAAAGCAGCTGTGATGTCTTTCTTCCTTCATCTTTTTTTGTCTGCACAGATTAAAAGCAGTCGTCTGGAGCCGCTGAACAGCTGAACGGAAGATGAGCCATTTTTAAAAGAGCCTTGGACCGTGAACAAAGAAGAATGAATACCAAAAAACGGAATATTATCTAATGTCTGATTGCTTTTAGCAAAGATTAAGGTTATATATGACATGTAACATGTTGCATGCATTCATTCTTTTAGCAAATTGGAGGATGTAAATAAGCACCATGAAGACATCACTGATATAAGTGGGGGGTTTTAAAGTGTGTTTCTATTATGGTGTCCATGGCGATTTGTCGGTGCTGTATCATCTTTCCGTCGGCCTTGAATTCGTCCCTTAAGCCGTGAAGCAAGTCGAACAAGGCAACGCTTTACTCATAAACCCAGATCGAATACCCTTTCCTGTTTTCCCATCTGTGTTCATTAAAATGTTTCTACGCAAACGCTTTAAGCTTTTTTTTAACCATTTTAAACATTACAAATCTCTGTCTTCTCGTCTGTAAGTGCTTTAATAAATTTTAGATACACACCACAATGTTGGTAATCATTTTTCTGGAAGAAGCATGTGTGTATTACTGTACATCCTGAAAGCCAAAGCCGCCCTCTGTTATTATCTGGATGTTTCTTTAGCCTATAATAACAATAGTGTGGTGTGTGAAAGCGTGTTATATATATTGTTTACTGAAATTAAACTGAACTTTATCAGTGCATTTCATATCTTTTGTTTGAATCATCCTGAAACCGGTCGTTGCACAGCTCGTGGCTGATGTCTATTGTGATGATGTGCATTAGCGACATTCTGTTCACTAGTCTTTTTTCTGCCCACTCGCACGCCCTGAACGCACCGCTGCAGCAGCACGGGCGGCCTCAACAATATCAACTTCCTTTCGAATGGTGGTGATCTCCGTTGTGTTTACCTGCAGCGAAATGCAGGGGTGTCGATTTACGCCCCGCCATGTCTTTAGCGTTCACGTTCAGCGCATCCACGAGTTTCTTCACCCTCGAAACATCCCCGTTTCGACAGGCTTCAAACAGCTCCCTGAACGCCCCATTTGCGCCGTCGCCGTCGCCGCCGCTGCTGCTGCTGACCGCGTCCCCGCTGCCGGAGTCGGGCGTTGAGGCGGGGCTGGTCCCGCTCCCCTCGGTGGTCGTCGGGGAGCTAGCGTCGCTAGAGCCGCTGCCGCTGCCCCCGCCGCTGCTGCTGCTGCTGCTGCTGGTCGTGAGGGCCAAAGCCCGGGAGGTGGTGATGGTGGGAGAGGCAGGGGTTCCCTCGCCGTCAACCCTGCCGTCCATCGGGCCTCCCCGGGGTGGCGGTGTGGCATCGTCGGTGGACGCCGGCGGAGAGCCGGGCGGGGTGGCGGGGCGAGAGGAGCCGCGGGGCGGGGACGACAGCAGGGAGTTTGGCTGCTGCTGCGAGGAGCGACGAGGCGTCGCCATTTTCACAACACACCAGTCCCCACTAGCAACACAAACACCGCTGACGATTTCCTGCCCAGGAGCAACTTCCGCTCCGGGGTTCACTGGGATCATATGAATGGATTTTCTCTGAAACGGGTTAATAAAGGTTTAAATATTAGAACAGCTTCACGAGCAACGTCATGTAACGGCGACAGAAAACAGGTTTGGAGTGGTTGACCGTTTTAAAAATGTATCAATCTTATCTTAAATGTTGTATTTTTATTTATGACATTTTTGTATTAATAATTTCACATTTTTATTTAAATTTCAAAAATATATTTTTTTCGCTTTACTTTTTGGATTAGATTAAAACTATTTGGAAGGTGTGTAGAAGTTAGGGATTCACAAATGTATTTTAATTTTGACGGATGGGCCTAACGTAACCCATTTTTATTAATTTTATATATTTTAAATGTTGTATTATTTGTGCTACATAATATTACCATCTAGTGGAGACTGTTGGTAAAACCTTTAGAATACAGCCTGTTAAATGTAAATATTAGCAGACAAAAAAACTTTGTTCTCTGATTGTATTAATTAACCAAAGAAACCAAAGAAATGTGTATTTTATTGATTGACAGGTGACTCGCCCTACAACAGTGTTATATTGTCTCTTATCTCACAATAAAAAAATGAAAGAAAGCTACACATTTTCATTGAGAAACCTAAGGGGTAAATCACAGAACGTGTATGTCATGGTTATAATAATCATCACTTCTCACCTATCCATTTCTCAGATTTATAAAACAGATGTTGAGACTACATTGTATGTTCGTCTCCCATCTGCTATTCATAATGTTCCGTTTTGGGCCACACAATTTTAAACATATACCTCAGAATTGCTACTTTGCTTGCTATTGCTAGGACAATTGCTCCTATTTATGTTTTTTCCCCCCATATGAGCCACTGGAATCATTCACTGCATTACCTAAAACAGAAAGATTCCAGATTCATATTCAAAAGTTAAACCACCTGTGAGTTTAAGACCTTTGTATGTAACACACCCTGGTGGTCAACTCGACACATTGTCCTAAGGGAGCTGTAATGGGAGTCTGTTGATGTTTTGAACATCAACAAGTTACTAAACATAACCAACTGGCCAAATGTATTAGGGAACTTTCTGATCAGGTTACAACAAGGAGCATTTACTAATAGAGTTCACTTCATTTCTTAGTTGTGTGTGAAATAATCAGGCACTTCACACAGATTCCCTGGTACCCGCTGAGCCTTTTGGCCCCCAGTCATGTGCCCTCGCTGTAATTAACCATCAGAAAGCAGGGCTATGGGAAGAGGACTCAAATAAAAATGGAATCATTTTGCTTGTTTTCTTTTTGTTAAAAGTTAGTCACGTTGTGTCATGATGCCATTGAGGCAGGCTCCTTGTTGAGATGGACTGGCCTCAGCAGGATTGGACGTGTTTTTAAAAGCATGACACACCCGACACATCTGACTTCTGTGTTCTAACCAATTTATAACTGGAGTGTGTTTCCTTCCTGGTCTTTTTAATTTCTCCACGTTTATGGTAACTTAATCACTCTATTTTTGGACTCTTAGGTTTACTTTTAGTTTTGTTTGCCATCCATTGGTGTCTTTTCGGACCTCAACGGTTTTCAGAACCCATCTTAATTTAGCCTTTGGTTTCGGCTTTTTCTTTTCCTCTGAAATTGCTAAGATAGATGATAGAATCTCGTATGAATGTGGTTTCGACAATTGAAGGTAATCAATCAACATTCTGCCCTCATGGTCAAATAAGGGTAGTTTCCTGCTGTAATGTGATACTTCAAAACCAAAGTAGAGGGAGGATTATATGCCTGTGAATGCAAATATGCTCCACATTTTTCCCTCATGTTTGAGTCAAAGGAAAGTTTGGCCTCCTAAATCATGAGCATTGTGAGTCAACATTTTAAACTTGAAATTGATTAATCCCTTAAAGGCTGGAGCACAAGTCAAGAAACATTTCTGTATTTGATTAAATAAACAAATGTTCCTCTGTTTTCAGTCTTTTCTCATTTTCTGAATTAATTATCTACAACAATTTGTAAAGTAGAAATAGTACAATTTCCACACTTTTCTTCAAACTTAAGCTTCAAGCTTATATGATTGTAGTACAATATTGATGCATAAAAATGAATGCTCAAGACCAAAATATCAATCGAATAACCCCTGGCAATGCCTTATTAATTACAAATGTGCTACCAATGAAAGAATAAATGTAGATTGCATAAAAAATTGCTGCATCATGGTGACATTCCAAAATAAAAATATGAGGAAAAGCTAACTGAGACATGATTTGCATTATGCTTGATCTGATCTCTGGGCAGTGTCTTCTATACACAGATATCACACATGTCCTTTGTTAAAAAGGAAATAAAAACCATGTATTTAAAAGAATGTGTTATCAAAACATAAGGTATAAGAAGAAGATAAACGTTTTCTTCCGAACCTCGAAAAACTATTCAAGTTGTTTGCTTTTCAAGCTTTGTTTCACCTGCAGAGGGTGTGTTTGAAAGACATCGTCTCAGCCTGAAGCCAAAAAGCTCCAACGGGTTTCTCACAGGAAGTCCGTCTGTCAATTTCTCCACCTTAAAATGCATCGGCGCCATCGACCATCGAGTGATGGGGATTTGGGGACCTGGTGCAATCAGTGGGGGTGATAGTACAGCCATTTAGATATGGAAACATCCGATGTTTCACAATAGATCCACAAAAGAATTTCTTTTATTTAATGGGGTCTGTTGCCATGGTGACAAGTGTGATTCAGCTTGTAGAAGTCATAAACCAGGCCTGTTACCTCAGCGGATGAGTAAGCAAGGTTCCACACTGGTTGGGCGACATGCCTCGCATACTTCTTTGAGCTGCTCTTTGTGTTTCAAAGCTCAAACCTCACCTGAAAAACAGTTCTCAAAACCGTGACGCCTTCAAGACTTGTGACTTGAGATAGTTTGAATTTGTGCGGTCAGTGGATGCTCGTGTACATGTGAGACATTTAGCGGAAGCCAACTGGCACTACGGCGCCTTGTCAGTTGCCAGCGTACTCAACTTCCTAGTGAAATAAGGCATTTTTCCCAAACCCTAAGGCCGTACAAATGAAATATTGGGATATTTGATCAGCACTTCAAATAGAGAGGTCGTCCATTTTGAAAATGTATTCCCTGGAGGTATCATCAGCTCATCTCAGGGGGTTCGCTTCATTAGCAATTACATCATTGTGTTAAGAGTCACACTACCAGCGACCAGCTTCAGGGGTCTTTAATCCACTTGCATGGTGATAACAGACGGCTTGAGAAGTATAAGCAGGAGGAGTTTCTCCATGTGAAACAAAGAAGCTAATCAAAACAGACGTGCCGATAGGGAAACGTAGAACGAGCGGTATTTGAGTGGCATTTCCTGTAGAACTCCATTCCATTTTATCATTAAGTCCGACCTGCTCAAAGCCCAAATACCTCGTGGGATAGCTAGTGAGTTTACTTTGCAAAAAAAAAGCAAATGTCTCAAGTGTGTGTCTTGGATTTAAAAAGGTCTCATCCTCATTTTATTTGATTCATTGCATGCTAATTAAGGGTTTCTGTGTAGAGTAACTGCTTATTGTGGTAGAGTCAATTTCATCCTTGTCATTTGTATTATTATGTATAATCAACAGAAATGTGTTTACGTGCTGGCCAACAAAGTCTTGACTGCAGACCAACTTTGCATTTGCAAGTTAATCAGTTTTCATTTCGCAGACACAGTTTATGGACCTGGTACAATTTGGGCGAGTTAGCACATAAGCGATCACCGTGAAGAAACAAATCTACATATTGCTTTTCTGCTCTATCACTTGGCGCACATGCATGAAAAAAAAGATTCCCCGAAACTTCTTCTTTCGGCTGCACACGGCGCGCCACACCTGTCCTATTTGACTGAGGCCAAAGCCCCGCCCACCAAACAGGTTTCCGTCGGACTTGTTTATTTTTTTATTTTTTTGAAGAGCAGCTGTTGTGGCTGTAAGAACTCAGTCCCTTCCGTCTGAGCTACCACACGGAGTTTGGGAGTCAGTACGCGCGCACACATCAGCAGCAGCAGCAACCATGCCGAGTCGATCCAGGCAGGAGTGGATCCGGTTATCCATGCGCACCCCGGGCATCCTGATCTTCGGGATGGTTCTGGCTCCCTGCGGCCTGATCCTGAACCTGACATCGACCGTGGCCCCAAACTGGAGGACCCTCACAGAATTCCAGAACCGCCCGGCCGACGAGTTCCTCCAGCAAGGCATCTGGGAGGTCTGCAGGGCCAGCTCAATCAACACGAGAATCGATTGCAGCCTGCAGGACGCCACGTATTTTCAACAACAGATCATCGAGGTCGCCCGGGGTTTGATGGTGGCCTCCCTCATCGTGACTCTGGTCGGGCTGGCGGTGGCCATCCCGGGGGTCCGCTGCTGGAAAGACAGGCCCAACTGGATCCTGGCCGGCCTGGGCGGACTGCTGATATTCCTCTCGGGAGTCATGACCATCATACCCATCGCCTGGTACACCCACATATTCAGGACCATCCCGACGGTGTCTATAAACACAGCTGCGCCTCCGAACCCAGCCGTGCAGGTTGGCTACTGCATCATCCTGGGCTACATCGGCGGGATCTTTGAAATCCTGGGCGGCCTCGTCATGTTCATCGGGATCTGCCGGTGCTGCGGGGGGAAGAACCGCGGGGAGACGCGCGTCGAGGAGGTGACGGGGACCCGGTTCAGGAATCAGAAGCGGCCGACGAGACGAGTCGAAGTGCCGAGCCTGGACCGGGCCAGGAGCAGCGCCAGCAGCAGCATCCCGTACTCGAAGGACTCCATGGACGAGGACGTGTCCTTCCCCCGGGCCAAGAGCACGGCGGCCCGGACGGTCAACACCTCGAACGGCGGCAGACCCTACGACGTTGACCTGTGAGAAGGTGTCACACACGCGGGGTCCCCCACGCAGACACACGCGCGAAGGAAAAGACACGGCGAGTGGCAAAAGGCACCGAGATGGAAATATTCCAGGAAGAAACAGTTACCATCCAACCCACTTTAGGAAACTGCTATGCGATTCTGAAGCATTGCAGTAAAGAATAAATATGCTTGTAACTGAAACTATAGTTCATTTGTGACAAAATATTTTCTACAAAATCAGATTTCAGGTATCAAACACCGTAAATATTGAAATGAAACCTCACTGTTGAGTGAAGCATAATCCATTTAAAGTCTGAGTGTTGCAGCGTGTCATCACTTGAATGTAAATTATGTGAGTGACAGCGAGTGCTGCAGTTTAGTACAGCTAAAGATGATATGTATTATGGTCTGTATTAAGTCTAATTCTAACATCATTATGATACAGGATAGATGTATGGTTCACGCAGTTGTGTTACAGATGGGATGAATATTATATTGTTAAAAAAGGGAGAGTATTATTTAAGGGGGAAAACATGGAGGAAACCTCCATTGTCTTTTGCATTCTGCAAATGATGCAGAATTCTATCTGTACATTTTTTCTCAATTTTTATGTAAATCCTGTGTTCTTATGCACTTTACATTTATAACCAACCTTGTAGGAAGTCAGGCCAACTTTTTAATGATCAATATTCTCGAACTATATGTATAGTATGTATGTATTATACTGTTCAATAAATGTGCACTGTTTGCTAATTACTCAGTTGTATTCCTCAGTGCAATATAGAAAAACAATCTTCAGATCGTTAAAATATTTCATGTGAAAATGGCTGTGATCACGATGACAATGTGGGGAAGTTAAATGGAGTCTCAGCAGAAAGACTACAAAAGTGCCAGAACAAGAATAATAAAATGTTGACATTTTAATCTGTGAACAGAAGTCATTATGGCTGCTATGCAAACACCCGTTTCTCTTCCTCCCTATCCGCTGTCATCACCTTTGAGCGTAGACAGACAATGTTGCTGGACCGGTCTGAGAGGTTGGTTTCTCTCACCAGCTTGTGAAACAACATTACCTCTTCTGTTTAAACATCTCAAACAGGGGCAGGGCTGTAGTGAACAATCGTCCCTTTATAGTTCCCGGAAAGTCTTTTGTTATCAAGTTGACCATCACAATTTGTGATGCAGTTCTCCCTGCGGAACCTGTTGAATGCCCCAGTTAGGAACGTCGAGTATAAAGCAGTGTTTACACCGGAACAATTTACAGGGTTAATAAGACACCAAACCCCCCCCCCCAAAAAAAAAACCTGCATACGCCAGCTTCTGTTGGGGCAGATTTCTAGAAAAATGACATAAGATAGGCTGGGTTTCAAGCTACTGTTGACGGAATTCCTGCATAGCATGCAGTGACTCACAAAATGGCAATAAAAGATAAATATTGGGAAAGGATAATGTTGACACAAGTATTTATTTATAGCCTCATCAAACTTCGCTGCTTCAGACTTTTCTTTCAGCTCACAAAAAACTACTAAAAGGTGCATAGCACTTCCTCTCAGGAAAGGTGCTAAAGAAATATGGAATCACATTAAGTAAAAACTGGGTCTTGAATTTCCCATAATGCACCTCCACGTCGGACACATTTCATTTTAGAAAAAATACTCTTTTCAAAGACAAGTGTAATTGCCATGGAAAGAATCCCTCAATATTATCTACAAAATAAGTGGAGTTTTCCATCTACAATCAAACACCATTACGCTTATAAAGTGCGGCAGTGCATTTTCCTCCACATAAGAGACGTTTGCTCAATAATGGCAGGTGGGGGTGGTAGTAATTAGCACATTTCATGGGTCTTACGAACAATAATGACCCTTTGGCAGGGACTTTCTGTTCCTTGTAACAGAAGCTTATTTGTCTAGTCAGTCTGCATGATTGTAGATCAGTCATTCAGAACTTATTTGGTGGAGTTTACTAAACACTGAATCTGATAGTATCGTGCAATAGGATACTAGGAAGATGCTAAACAGACAGCGGAGCATGTCTTTAAATAGCTATCCCTTATACACACACACACACACTTACTGACAGCTGCTTCTTGCAAGTGTTAATACACACTGACAACCTGCAGCAGCAGATTATGTTAACAATTTAGTTGTGGTTTTAAAATGACTCCCATGTAAGCTCAGACGTTCAATTAAGGCTAGCACCTAGCATAGCTGTAGCTAACTGTAGCTATCGAATGTCCCGTTGAGGGTTAATACTGGACAACTTTACGCCAGGGAGACAAACTGATTCAACGTACAGTCATACATCGCTGCAGTCGTTCTTACCTGATTGTTAATGTAAAGGTGTGCACATCTGCAAACAATTAATGTTCTTGTGAAAAAGAAGCTTTACTTTTCAAACAATAACATTCAAAATATTCATTGTGGTTATGTACAAATACTTCCAATGGGACATACATTCAGAACAAACATGCATATTTTATTCTGAAATGTAAAAGTTGCTTGTGTCAAAGCCCACTAACTCGTTACTTAACTAGTTAAATGCACATGCCAATGAAATAGTCCATAAGGATACACACTTTTACAATAGTAGCGGTTTGGGGACCCAAAATCCGTTACCTGCTTTCTACGTATTTGCAAGGCTGTCTGCACCGAGCTGACATGAACACTTCCAAACCAATTAAAAACCAATGTGTTTATCAGCTGCTGTCGTATTGGCCCCAGGACAGACAGGGGCTTAAAGCCCCTTTTCATCAATGACCCCACACAAGGATATACACAGGCATAAGTAGGCAGGCAGAATTTATCATTTACTATATTTAAGAACCAAAAAATAAACTACGAGCTGCCTTAACAATCTAGCCAGACTTCAATATAATGTATCTGTGCCAAACTTTTATGACGAGAGGTATTGAAGGAATGAAGCGTAACAGGACCGGGCAAGATGTGTGCACACATTTTAGTTTCGGGTCACCGACCTACATTCTCCTGCAAAAGTACACTTTTTTTTCCCCCCTCTTTTCAGGGCCGAGCAGTAACCAGTCACCTTTTACATGACCAATAAGATGGAATGTTGTGTGGTAGCTTTGGAAAAACATCAGTCGAGCCATAGTTTTGGTAGTTTACTGAAGGCTAGTTGAGCAAAATGACTTTTGTCATTCTTTAAAATACAATGAGACGTTATCAGAAATATAGGCCTTTTTGTTCCTTTGTCATTCTTCTCTGGCATGCGAGTGCTTTGACAAACAAACTGGTAACTTACAATCCATTTACATACAAATATGAACATGCAGACATGAAGTATATTTCAAATTCATTCTCATAAATCACCAAGCTTGAACATGATTCGATTTAATCTAGTTTTTAAAAACATCTCATGAAAGTCAGTTATTGGACCCACTGGTCTACATTTTTTTCTACTCTAGCAACACAGAAGCAGAGTGAAAAGGCACATAAAACATTGTAATTCAGTCAGAAGTGTACACAAATATCAGACAGTATAGCATAAAAAAACTCCTAACACTGGCTATGGTCCTGTAAGTATCTTGATTACTCAGCAAAGCAAAGCAAGCAAAGAGTCCTTAAAGGTAACGACAAATACAATCTGGTTAAATATGTGGCTTACCCCTGCTAGATAAATATTATTGAAAAAAAAAAAAAACTGGAGCTCTCGACACTTTGTTTGCGACACTGAAATGAATGTGAAGCACAAAAACATGCCGCCATCGCTGTAGAAGCCCCCTAGATTTCCATTTGGAGCAGTCAGATCATTTCTTGCAGAGGGGCAAATGTTTCATTCTGGTTTGTTATCAATAGATGGCCACAATAACGCTTAATAATTAACACTAAGAAGTAAACAGTTATATTTTTTCCCATTGTGAGACCACGTATGAAAGACATGATTACTGCAGTTAAATTGTGTCACTCTTAACTCGGTTAATGACATACACGCACAATCAATATGTCCAAGGTACCCTTTCAGGGGGAGGTTTTGCCACGTCGTTGAAACCCACATCATAGATTTCTTCTTCGTAGCCTTCATCTCCCCTCTGGTTGTTTTTTTTTTATGGGGAGGAGCGATTCCCTCGACATTTGGTGACAGTAAAACGAGTGGAAACGCAGCAAGCTGGGAGGAAGACAGCTAGCAACATGGACGTAAAAAAAAAAACATTCTGCACAGCCCTGGTTTTTACTGAATAACAGCGAAATATCATTTTGTTGGTTAAGAAAACTCTACAAAAAAACTCTTAATATAAAAGTTATATACATTAGTTATTTTTCCAAACTTTGGAATGGATTTTGGTGAAATGTTTTCCTTTGATGATTAAATGATTAAAATATTAATCTAATTTAATCAAATGTTGCTATCAACACTCAAATTCAGTTCCCAGGTAGTAACGTACAAAATGTGAAGCATTTTAGCCTTGTGTCTACCTCAGGGTTGTTGGAGATGTATCATCACGCAACAATGTCGTAGCCATGTTTTTCTTCCAGATGTTTCCTGTTGACAAAAGAACAAAACGCACAATTAATTCCTTTGTGAACTTTTCATCACGTCAAGTTTTTTGTGGTGCTGTGATAACAAGTGAACAAATATTTAGCAACCCGCAACGAGACACTTCAAGAAAAAGGAGTTGGAGGAGGTGATCCAGATCGCCTGGATTTTGTAGATTAGTTTTTTTTTCAGGTATCTGGTTATGCGTATTATCCCATTCTTCTTCTCTATATATCACAAGCAAACCAGGTTCCTGTTTGATAGAGAAACCGTGAGTCAGGAATTATTCATCTTTTTCATTTCAACAGTGAAATGGGGGTTGGGGGTCAGTATCAATTACCGATTACCAATTTCACTACCACTATAGGAGTGAGGAAATACTTAGCTTAGCTCTACATTTACACTAAATCCTTCGCTACTGCTCAAGCTTGGCTCCGTCCAATGTCAGATGGGTTTCTTATCAATATCGATTTTAGCTTAAACTTTGAACAAACCGGACACGCCGTGTTCGAGCGCTTTAGAGGTGGAGGCCCACGGCCAGTCTAACCACAACCCGACTCCAGCTGCGTTTTTAAAGGCCAGACGACATCGCCGTTCTCGTCGCCCCAAAGGGAAAGCAAATAAAGTCGCTTGCAACAGATTTCAGTACCTGTTCCTCTTTTTTTGCTTCCGCCTGAGCTTAGCCAAGATGACAGCCACGATCAGTATCCCGATGATGACAGCCAGCACACTGAGGGTCAGCGGTAAACTCAGGGACCCGTTGACCGTGTCGTCGCAGGTTTCACCCTGGTAGCCCAGGTTGCAGTCGCACACCAGACCGCCATCCATAGAAGGCACGCAGGTACCGTGGCTGCTGCACTGCGTGTCTCCACAGGTGGGCAGGTTGTGGTCGATGCCTCCGTGCTGGGGAGGAGGGAGAGGGGTGGCCATCGTGAAGGGAGGAAACGCTGGTCTGTTCAGGGAGGGAGAAATTGAGGAGAGAGAGCGAGAGAGAGAGATGAATGGAGGGAAACCGAATCCTAAAACCCAATGGAGTCACACAACAAAGAGAAGACTGTATGCCACAAATGGAGTTCCTGAGATCAGGCTGATAAACATGTCTGCAAGTTTGTTTAACTGTCCCCGCCTCCCATAAGTCCAACAGACAGTTAAGAACAGTTCTTGTCTGCGGGAAAGAGATTCAATAGTTTGGTGGCTTCAGGGTTTACGTTGTGCTCACGACTCCAATTTTAAGACCGCACTGGCTTTAATGGATCCCATTCACATTATGTAGAATTGTGCAGACCGTCTAATCCTGATACACACATTCATTGGAATTCTTTGTATGCATAAAACCCCCCAAAAGTAATTCTGTTCACAGACCGCATCCTCGTGGTTTCTCACCCTCAGATATATTGTACTTCTAAATCATATGTTAGACATACAAGGAAATTGACATGGCGGTTGGTGCATAACATCGGACAGTAAGACAATGGACAAGACAAATAACATAGTAAAGAAAAAATTGCATGCTCAATTTACAAGTTAACTCCACAGTATAAAATAAAAGGCTATGAACTGGCCGGAATCAGGGCTGTGTGCCATCAGCTCATAGCTTCTGTTAAAGGAACATCAACCCTATTGCAATGATAAAACACATGCAAGTTAAAGGGCACTGTACGTTCCAGCTGATCTCACGGCATTAAACAACATTTGAACAGAGCCATACAGATTCACCAACATAGTGGAAGGGTAACAAGAGTATTTAAGTATAAGCCTTTATATTCTCATCACAACAAAACCAAGAGCCGGATGCAGAGCCATTCCGAGGCACACGAGTTGACTGCGTCACAAAGCGTTTGGAAAATACTCGAGGGGGAAAAACTCAAGAGAATACAAGAGAAGAGTTTCAAGTATGAAAGCCAGACATGTAATCTACTCATAAAGTGATGAGGTTGTTTTTACTTCAGAAATGTAGTCACTCAGGTTTCCCACCAGCAGAGGAAGATTGTTTCAACACATTCATCATCGTAAAGTAGAAAAGCAACATTACAGAACACAAATAGGAAAGTTGTACTCACAGAACGAAAGCAGATTTCACTTCAACGGAAAGCTTCAGAGTTTTGTTGTATTCCAGGTGTGTGCGCGCTTACGCTCCCAGGTACTAGAACAATATCTATTTCCTCTTGCAGTGAGGGAATCTGCAACAAAGAGAAGCGGAAGAAAACCGAGACCTGTAAATACCTGCCTCTTTTTTTTTTCCCTCTCTGAAACACAAAATGACCTCCTCCCTCTGCCTTATCTTTCAAAGGGTTGAGTCATGGGGACAAACACCTCCCACCAATTATACCTGACTTCTATGGAGCAAATTTAGATTTCATATGCAGAATTCTAAGTCATGTGATGTCGATGGTTAATCGCTGACTCACATGCGCTTAGACACGGCTCTGGAATCCCTGCAGGGAAAAACCTGAGAAAAAGAAAAAAAACCTTTGTGGCACTTTTCAGACAGCAAAATCACTCGTTGCTTGTTTTGAAAGTTGTAAATACCGACTAAAACTACATTATTGTGGTCATATTAAAAGAGGTGGATGCTGAACAAATTAAGCATGCATTCACACACCCTGACCTGAGGATCATGGCATTTAACAGTCTGCGTGTTTGCCAGATGAGGGAGTGGAAGGTGGAGGCAAGTTGGAACAAGTCAAGCTGGCAAAACCCGACTAGTGACCTAACCAGCAGGTCACTAGAAACATACTGCAGGGATTGAGTCACAAATGTTGATCGGTGGTTTGGTCCAACAAACTACTGGATGTATGGTCTTTTGTATCGCCTTTTCCTTCCAGCTCCATCGGGTTAATACGCTTGCCTCTTAGGGGAATCTCTGAAGTGGGCTGACTATGACCTTTGGTGCAGACATGCATGGTTCCCAGATGAGGAATCCTGAGAACGTCATGACGATTAGTTTAGTTTGTCCGACACTTTGTTTTTGATCAAATACCTGCAAAACATGACCTTTCCTACAAAATAAAATTAGGTTCTGCACGACACCAGGTGACTGCAAACCTTTCATAATTCATTTCTCATTGTAAATCTTCCATAAGTATGAGTCATCAGTGGTGTTCGCACCATGCAGAGATTGCACAACATGAAGACATTAAACAATACACTGTGCAACTTGCCTCACACTCGAGCTTAGGGAAAGCAAAAAGAGCTTTCATGGCTTCTGTTAAACTACCCGCAACCAACACACCCAGTAGAAGAGGAAAAAGGATATTTAACACTAAAGCCAATTGAGTTGTACTGGTACTTTTCCCCAGTAAAAAGCCTGCATAAATGTGCCCTGGCTGACAGATTTGATCGATATACACGCAGAAGTAAGAAAGTGGCTGTTTGATCCTTTGGGTCGTCGTGGGGCAGGGGGTAGAGCGGGTGCGCTGGGAACCGCAAGGTTGGTGGTTAGAGTCCCAGCTGCCCCATGTGTCAAGTCGAAGTGTCCCTGAGCAAGACGCCTAACCCCCAATTGCTCCCTGGGCAAAATGTAAAAAAAGCCATGGGTTTAAAGTGTAATGTAAGTCGCTTTGGATAAAAGCGTCAGCTAAATGACCTGTAATACTTAGCGGAACGAAGAATGAAAAGGGAAGCAAAATGTAACATTGGATCAAAGCTGGTTTTGAGATCAGATTACAAAAGTTTGGCAGGACAAATTCACTTGAGAGCTCGTAGCAGGATGATTGGATGCCACGCAAATGGCAACTAGACAGCGAGCCTGTGCGGGTTGTCAGACCAGCACCGCTGACAAGCAGTGTGAGCAAGATATACAATCCAGGACATACCAATAGTCTGTAGAAACACCAGGATCTTTCAACAAGACAAAGCCATGGAGATTAAACATGGTGACATTTGTCTGGCTTTGACAAAAAAAAAAAAAAAAAAAAAAAAAAAAAAGATAATTGACACTGCAGGATAAAACTTCTTATGGTCACAAATCGAGCTTTAGTCCATTTGGTAAACGCTCCTTTGCCAAATGAGATACAAAACAAGTTTTACCTTCAACATAATTTGAGTCGAGGGTTCGACAATGGTTACACACAATACCAGTGGTACTTTATAACAGTTGTGTTTAGAAACCATTTAGGGAAACAAACCCTCCAGAAGTTGTTCATTTAAATATTAAAACAAGCAGCCAGATTATTGGTTGAATTTTTCACTTTTAATGCACAAAAGATAAAATTAGACAATACACATGAATAACTTATTGGAGCTACATTGACTTCAATGCTAGCGGCGGGTTCTTCACATCTACTGGAGAGTCCAGCTCCTGGGGAGGAGAGAAGACAAAATGGAAGCCCATCTAAATTTGCACCAAGTAGACAGATATAAATTCACCGGCCTTTTGGCAGAGACTAGATTTAATGTTTTTATATCAAAATATTCTATAAAAGTTGACGTTTTGAAGTTACTTTTGTCCAATTAGGAGATCAAGCCTTTAAGTGAAGATTGACAGACTACTACGTGTGGATAAATAATGCACTTTAACACCAACGCAAGTCTGTCAAAAATGTGAAAAAATAAAAATGTGAGATTTGTACCCATATTTATAGATTCATATATTGGCAGTCAAATTGACTACCTAGATAAGTACGAAAGACAAATTAATGTTTCATATTAAAAAAAAAAGAAACACCTGTGCCCGTGTAGGCAATTAAATTCACACCCAGTGGCCTGAGGTTTTACCTCACAGTCTGAATCGTAGTGTTCACATGGCAGGTGCATGTTTTCCATCAGAGTTTCTTTCTCCGTGGATCTGCTTCTGATGGACGGCCAGTCTCTCCTGTTGAAATTGCATTTTTGTTTTAAAAGCCCAGCGTTTTCTACCAAGCATACACAATCATAAAATGTTTAAAGGATCAAGTTAAAATGAACACTACAGCATCTGGCTTTAATACTCAGTGTGTAGGCCCAAATAAAGTGTCGTCTATGAAATGATCCGCTTCAGGTCGAGTAAGCAACGTTCCGGGAGGATTCATTTCCAACCACCACTCATTGTAAACGGGACTGCGTCTGGCCAAAGTGTAATACAAATTGCTTCCTTTTTGCCAGTACCTTTTTGCAAAAACAAAAGCGGCGAGAGTCAACGCGGTAACGAGGAAGAAGACGCCCAGGATCACAGCCACGTGGCCCCGCCCAGTTTCGGCCTCTTGACAGGACTCCCCCTGGTAGCCGGCCACACACTGGCAGCGGGTGACTTGGCCCTCTGTGATGCAATGGCCGAGACCGTTGCAGCGCTGGAGGCCACAGGATGAAGGGTCTTTAACCGTGTGTATAGCGTTCTTTTGGACGTTGTCGGGGTGAGGAGGGGAAGATGGGAGAGGACGGCCGTCACTTGATTTGGTCCAGAAAGACGCAGAGTTTGTGTTTGGACCTGAAGAGAAAGTCAACATTGGTGATTAACGGTCATGTTGGATATGGCTCAAAATAAAAATGGAACACATTGTAATTATTAACATTAGTCAGTTTCGGGTGGGATGCCAATTGTGTTCATTTGACTTTTTGCAGGGCAATTCAAGATTTGGACGGAGACTCACAGTCCTGTTCGTCCGACCCGTCTGGACAGTCCACCTCTCCGTCGCAGAACTTGCTGCTCACGATACATTTGGTGCCGTCGAAGCAGGACTGTTCCCCCGCCGGGCAGCCTGGGAGCGGCGCACAGGTGGCTCCATAGAAACCCCGGCCGCATTTACAGGCACGATCGCCAGGATAAGGCAGGCACAGATGGACGCATCCGCCGTTGTTTTTGGAGCAGCCATTGGTTCCTTGAAGAAATGGGAGAGAGGATTAACAAATTAAACAAAAACCTTTATAGTCTTTGGAAGGAGATCAATGAGTTCACGATTAAAATAAGCATTGACATTATTTGGACGGCAAGAGATTTAGCATCTTAATCGGGAACAATTTTCCATTGAATTGAAAATAGTCTGCAGTGACGAAACTACGATTTACAATCTTAAGATGCATTCATGTCAGAGTCATGCAGACAAAGACAACCAGGTTCCAAGTATTGCTTTATTACCAAGCAGACAATATACTTCTACGATCACAGTTGCTTGGCCATGATAGTTATTCCTCGCGAACGCCTGGATAAAACGTCACTATTTAGAGTTCAACGATCTCGCAATGGTGTGCCACACAACAGACAAGGACCTCCCAGAGCTCGCCAAGTCCCTCGGAAACCACATGGCTCTGCAATCTATGCAACTCAGACCTAGAGTGTCCAATGACACTTCTATAAGCATACAAATGGCAGGCGTTTGTTTTTAAAAATCAAGCAGACAATGTGCTGCAAGCCTTTTGGTTTCCATAACAAACATGGCAGGAATTACTGAATTCAAAAGACGTTTTCAGCAGAAAACGGTTTCTAATCCACAAGAGTTGCCACATGCCATGTCATGATTGCATGTGGAAAATTATTGTGGAACCAAGCTAAAGCAGCTTTATTCGGTTGATGGCGTAGCGCTGCTTCGATTCATGCAGCTGCTTCCGCCTTAAAGGTGCAATAAATAAAGACTAGGAGCAGTTTGTTGCTTCTCAGAAATGCAAATTGGTGCCATAAGCTTGCCCGGGATGCAAACTGGTGCACTAAAAGGCCGGCCCCGGATACGTCAACGAAACTCCGATGTTCTGATTTCCACAGAGGGAGGGACTTCATTGCCTGCTCCAGAAGATACTCCACTATCCATATTTACAGTCGCTTTCTGCTACGTTAATGCTTCGAATGTTAAGCGCCTTTAAACAACCAGCATCTGACCCTTACAAGCCAAAAGCATTTCCTGCACAGGAATTTTGTCTTCCTACTAGTCTGCTCAGTTATCCAACTATGTACACTTCTTTTTTAACCGTGGCACAAAATGTATAAAGCTGCACCAATCACTTAAAAGTAAGCAACTGCAGTCCAAATAACTTTAAGGAAGCCATACAAATTAAAGTATCAGTTTATTTGCTACCATCTTATACCATTGTATGCTCTTGCGGTGTTATTTCTGTCGTAGCAATACTTGCTCTTCAGACTCTTTGCATTCTCAGCCTCCTCTGGAATATTTCCAACACGTCCCTCACCTGCCACCTAGTGGCCATTTGAAGGTCCTGCTCATCTCTTTCAGCTGTTACGGTCACCTGTCTGTAGTTTGATAAGACTGGAGCGGTTGTTCAGAGACCAGTTTTCACAACAAGTTTGTGAGTCTTTCACCTTCCCTGTTGCAGATCGGAGCTGCTGACCAAGTCAACCTGCAGTGATTGACACCTACCAGACTGACTAGCATTGCTGTGGGCCTGGACTTCCACCACGTTTGTCTTCGTCTCAAACCACAGTTGGTTCGGCTGGAGACCGTCGCTGAACCACAGCCTGGTTAAATCTACGCAGTTTAGAAATGGAAAAAAGAAAGGTTGGTCAAAACACACACAAGTGTGAAGAAATCAAAGTGTGATCATTTCATTAGTCAAGTGTGATGGAGAGAAGAGAAAAAAAATGTGCTGGTGGTAACAAGTAAAAGATTTTAAGATTCATAGCAGTACTGATGGCTGAGAAAAGGCTGTCTGAATAATTAATCGCCCCCACAGCCGGCTGCCTGGAAGGGATAGAGACAGATGAACAAACAAAAAGCTGAACTCCACTGGGAGAATTGTAAATTCCACAGAGGGACTGAGCAGGTAGTTAGCGAGAGTTTGAAAGAATACGAAAGTCTTTTCACCCACCCTCACCCTTGTCCACGGTGGTCCAGAGGAGGATGTCCTCCGTACGTGTAAATGCGGTGAGAAGTCCCGGACCTGTTTTATACTGTTTATATCCGGTTCCATCTATTCCAATAGAGCAGATTACACCCTCACCTGGAGAGAAAAAAAAAAAAATGTAAGGAGACACAGGCCGGCCAACACAGAAATTCTCATAAACTGTCAAATTTGTGTGACTCGCCTGTGTCCGCCCAGTAGATCGTGGTTCCAGGGTCTGAAAACACCAGCGAGGTGGGGACGCTCGACTTACTCCACAGCGCTGCTTTGTTACGGCCGTCCATCCAGGCGCAGCTCACCTCGGTTTGGCTCTTCCCGTCGGCCCCGACCATAGCGGTGTAACAAAGTTTCCCCGAGGGGGGGTGGAGTGCAATGGACGTTGTGTACTGAGGGGGATGAACGAAAGAGTTTACAAACTACTGCAAAAAGTCAACAGGGGGGGGGGGGGGGGGGGGGGGGGGTCACCCATCAGTCAGGTGGTTTAAATTTGTCTGCAATTGATATCAAGACGCGATTAAGAGATTATACCTCAATTATTAAGAAGTCTTTGTGCATTTACATTTTGTAACAATTTAATGAAATTTAAAAAACTGATGACCTTTAAAGCTGCTAATACCGCAGCTAGGTCAAAAAGCTGTAGCCAGTTAAAGAGAAGCAGATTTGAAAGTCACATGCGTGTCGATATGGAAAAGGCACTTTGGGTCAGCGGCGAGGAGCAAACGTGAGCAGGGAAGCCAGATCAAGGTCACCTTCAGTGACCCCTGCAGCAGTACGGCGGTGTGGCCGTCGCGGCGGGCGGTCACGTGGACGTCAGGCCTCGCCGTGCTGCTCCAGTAAAGGTTGGATGTCACCCAGTCAACTGCCAGAGCTGTGACTTCATCATCCTTTTGGAGACAAAGAAATATTAAGAATTTCCACTTCGAAGTGCGGAACCTCCGCTTCTTTACCTGCAATCCCACTGCGGGACGAATAAAGGACTCCATCTTGCATGCCCTTACACAACTTTCCCTTTGGAAAGGCCGTTTCGCTTACATTCAGTTTGAGGATCTGCCCCGCAGGTGTCAGCCCCTGTCTGGACCTGGAGCCGCTCATTTTCAGCACCTCCACGGATCGTTGCCCTGCATCAGCCACATACAGAGAAAGGTCCTGGAGGGACACGTCCAGGCCAGAGGCCCCGGTGACTCCAGGCAGGGCCAAAAATCGAGCGCTTGCCATTTTTTTGAGACCAACACCTTCGCCACGCATGGAGTTCAAGTAAATCTGTGAGTGTTGGGAAGAAAAGGAAAAAAAAGTGAATTAATCAAACAGGCTTGAAACCAGAAACGAGAACAAGTTTTCGTCTCCTTAAGCCACGATGACGTCATTCACCTGATAGACGTTGGTAGGAGACAGAAGCAGGATGAACGTGGACTCCAGCGGGAGGGAGCAAGTCGCCTGGTCCTTTGAGAGTAGCAGCCCCTTGGGGCACCGGCAAACTCCCGAAAGCCTGCTCACTGCCGGGGCCCCCGGCGACCCCGGAGCTCGAGACCCGCTTCTCCCAGCCGGGGCCAGGAGGCAGATGTGCGAGCAGCGCAGCCGGCCACAGGGGTTGGATACGGCTGGTTGGGAAAGGGTGTGCATCAGCTGGGGAGAGGAGAGCGCATTAAGGCTCAAAGCTGTCAAAAATGAATACTGTACATGGCCGGTTTGCGTAAGGATAAAATATTGACAATGGAAGTTGGACTATTAACTTTTTTCCTTTATTAGTATTTTTGGCCACAATGTGAATATTCAAATGTGGTTGTAACTAGTGCATCAAGACAAACTAGTTTTGTGGCTTCCCTCAATCACCTTTCAGGCTTAATATTTTACTTTCACGATGGTAAGAGAAATGCAAATTATAATATTATCAATATATTGACATCCAATCTTTATCAGATCTATTGAATAAGCAGTACTATTCATTGGCCTGTAATCTGACAATTTCCTTGTATGGAAGAATAAACCATGTCAGAAAGGAAGGGTTCACTCACTTTTAGCCCAAAGGGCTGGCCTGGTCTCTTCAGAAGAACCTTCTGATCTTTGCCGGTGTTCTTGTTAGCCGAGCGGATGGTTCTCCTTTTCGTGTCGGACCAGAAGACCCGGTCATTGAAGACCGCCACGGAGAAGGGGCTCGGCGTTTCGGCCAACTGCAGGATCTAGAACGAGAGAAAGGGGCCGAGACCACAGGTGACGCTCAAACATCGTTTCTGTACACGCGTCATTGGGACGGCGGCGCCAACCTTGACGTCGTCCCCGTCCAGAGCGGCTGAGCCGATGCAGCGCAGCTTCTCGTCGGCCCAGTACACCCGGTTGTCCAGGAGGTCATAGGACAGACCGACGGGCCAGCTCAAGCCTCTGCTCACCACCACCTTCCTCCTGGAGCCGTCCATCCCGGACTGCCCGATCAGAGGCGTGCTGCCGATCTCGGACCAAAGCATCGTCCTGAGAAAGGCCGCAACGCAATGATGAAAAAGGAGGACTTTAAACTGAGACTTTTCCCTGTTGTTGGAATAAGCGCCGTACCCTTTGTGTGGCAGCAGGACCAGCGAGCTCGGCTGCTCCAGATCTTCACCGAGGACCACGGTGTAGTCCTGAGACCTCAATGTGGTGTTACTGAGCTTCACAGCCAGAATCTGACCCAGTAGTCCATCCACCCAGTACAGGTTCCTACCGATCCAGTCCACCGCGATGAAATCAGACTTCACTCCTACAACAACATTTCACTTCGCTTAAAACAAGAATTCCATTGCTTAATCATTTCACGTGAACCGTCCCAGACAACACAACCGTGGCTCTAAAAAGGTTCATACCTTTGATAAGTGTCCCTTTGCTGTTGGAGTTTGTCATGTCAGCCCAGCGGATGCTCTGGTAGTCGGGGCTCAGCCAGTAAACTCTCTGTAGAGCCCAGAGATAATCCAGGGAGAAGACGGGCCGATTGACGGAGGTCAGCTGGCGCAAGGAGCCGCTCTGGACTCCCAGCAGCAGGAGCTCCGACTGCACCGACGCCAGAAGCAAAGGCTCGTCTGGAAAACAGAAACTACCAGTGAGTTAGTTTGTCGCGCTTCTCTACGGCACAAAAACAGTTTGACAGTCAGCTGCCAGAAAGCCCTGCATTCACACAACTGGGATTTTCCTTAAACAAGCAGCAGCGGCGGACGCACCTCTGGTCTTGCAGCTTTTGTGGTCAGGCTCCAGGTAGAAGCCAGGGAGGCAGGGGCAGACGTAGGACCCGCGGGTGTTCAGGCAGGTGTGTTGGCACACCACGTGGGGCACTGCTTTGCACTCGTCGATATCCACACAGAACACACCGGACTGCAGACTGAATCCAGCGGCACAGTAACAGCTCTACAAAAAGGAATTTTAATGAGATTTAATGCATTGATATGAAAATGGTCAAAACGTAAGTTTCTAGATACAGTTCTCTAGCTGCGATAAAATCGTAACTTCAATCTGCGCAAAGAGAAGCTCGCTCGCTATTCCACGAAGCCTGCGTTCTGCACTGACCGGTCCGTTCGGGGTGCTGACGCAGCTGTGGTCGCACCGCGGCGCCAACGCACTGGAGCAGTTGAGTCGACCACATCCGGCGCCCTCATCAGAGTTGTCGGCACAGTTGGTGAAACCGTTGCACACGAGGAGGGGGTCCACACACTCGCCGCTGCCACAGCGGTAAAGGTGAGACGGGCATTTCGTCTGGCCACCTGAGAGGGGGGGGGGGGGCACAGAGTTCATGTCATTGTTTCCTGGATGCTAACAGGAGGGTTGGGAGTTTCCATAATCAGAACCAGAAAATGGTGTCTGAAGAGAATAAACCCGACCGACCCAGCAGCCAAACGTTGGTGTGTATTAGAGTGGAAACACGGCTCACATTGGTCCTCGTCCGCGCCGTTGAGGCAATCCTTCCTCCCGTCACACCTCCACGACAGCGGGACGCAGTCATTGCCGTCCCCACACTGCCACTGGTGCTCCCTGCACTTCACCGGCGGCGACAGGCAATTCTGCACAGAAATGACGAGACCCCGTTTCAACCACTGCCTTTCTCCCCCCCTCCCCTCCCACACACTCATCCACACGGGTTTACTTCGCTCCCCGAGCTGCTGCAGCTGCTCACCTTCTCATCAGAGCCGTCTTTGCAGTCGTCCTCGCCGTCACAGAGCCACTCCTTCTGCAGGCACTCGTGGCTGTTCGGACAGCGGAGCTGTGTCGGGCAGCGCGGGGGTCGAGTGCAATGCGCCTCATCGGAGCGGTCGGCGCAGTCGGCGTACCCGTCGCACCTCAGGGCCTCGGACACGCACGTGCCGCTGAGGCAGCGGTACTGGTCAAACGTGCAGGCCACCACGCCTGGGAGAGAATTGTGGAGTTCTCACGTGGTTCTTTAAAGTTTCTCCCCTGTCATTTGTTTATTTTTTTCTCTTCACCTACCGCACTCTTCTTCATCGGACCCGTCGGCGCAGTCTCTCTCGCCGTCACACAGGAAGGTGTCCGGCACACAGCGAGTGTTGTTGTCACAGCGGCGAAGGCAGCCCTCTGTCTGACTGGAACAGTCCATTTCATCCGATCGGTCTTGGCAGTCGTTCCGCCCGTCACACACCTGCTCCGGTGGGATGCATTTACTCCCGTGAGCACAACGGAACTCGTCTAGGGGAGAAAAGACGAGCAATTCAATTGAGTCCATTTATTTTAATGGTTGTCAACTGTAAATAAGACATCCTGGGCACAGCTAATGAGTAAAAGATTCAAATGCAACAGCGCCGAGGCTGAAAAAGGAAGTTTGAAGTTGCTTTGACAAAGGGAAGCATTTACTGTAATGATGCTCAGTAACATTTCATTGTCAGCAGCTCTGTGCACATCACAAACCTGCTTGGCATTGAGCGACACACCCCTCCTCGTCCGATCCATCCTGGCAGTCCCTCTCCCCGTCACACACGTGGCTGTACATCACACACTCCAGGCCGTCTTTACACGGCTTCAAACCCTTGCGGCACTTGAGCGCGGCTGCGCCGTCCCCGGACGCGCTGTTGGAGGCTTGGCAGAGGGAAACACGAGTGGCGCTCGTTGACCAGCACGCCTCAAAAATATTCCCGCGGTGCATCATTTTTGTCTGCGTGCTTACTGGGAGCCGCAGGACCTGCTGAGGGACACCGCTCCTCATCGGAGCCGTCGGCACAGTGGGCGTGACCGTCGCACACGTCCACCTTGGGGACGCACATCCGCCGGTCGCCGCATAAGAAGTCATCTGATGTGCAGCAAGGGAAGGTGTCAGTTCGAGGAACAAAAGGAGGCTCAGCGTACCAGCGGAAGTCGTCCCCCCCCAAAAAAAACAGCCTGATATCCACTGTCAAACTAGAGCACTTGTTTGTCGCTGGACGCACGCACCTGGATTATTGCATCGGAGCACGCAGTCATTTTCATCGAAACCGTCAGGACAGTGTCTCTGCCCGTCGCACAGCTGACTTGGAGAGATGCACAGTGGTGACCCGGGGCAGCGAACTGAAGGACTGATGCAAGCCGCCGTGGCAACCGGAGACTCAGTTGTTGCTGCTGCAGCGTCTGGAGGGGAGAATACTAGGTGTCAAAGCACTCGCCGGCAGGAATGTTTGCTGGCTGACCTTAAGAAAGTAGGAATTCTCCAGAAGAGTTAGCAGACTTACCACAGCCCAGCTCGTCCGTGCCGTCCAGGCAGTCTCTCTCGCCGTCGCACAGGAATTTCTTCGGGATGCAGCGCTCGCCGTCGGCGCAGCGATGCTCACAGCTCGTACCGGGTTTCCCGCAGTCCACCTCGTCCGACTGGTCTCTGCACTGCGACCGGCCGTCACACACTTCAGCCTCAGGGATGCACATTTTCCCGTGGGAGCACTGAAACTCTCCTGGTTGGGTGGGGAGGCGGTGGCAAAAATATGTATAAGTGTCTGCATCACGACTTCAGCGGCACATCTTAGATTTAATCAAAACTCAAGCTGGAAGGGAAAAGAACCTTGCTTGCAGGTTTCGTCGCATCCCTGTTCATCAGATCCATCCATGCAGTCCCTTTCCCCATCACACACGTGGCTGTACAAGACACACTCCATTGAGTAGTCACACGGCTTCGAGCCCACGCGGCACTTCATGGGGTTCGCTCGAGCCGCAGGAGAAGCCCAGCTGGGACAGTCGACCTCGTCCGAGCCGTCGTGGCAGTGAGAGATTCCGTCACAAACCAGACCCCATGATACGCAGCTCCTCCGGTCTTTGCACCGAAATTCAGCTGCGGGAGGAAGACATTTAATGAATAAACAAACGTCCACTCACCCAGTGTTTGAGAAAAGAACATAATCTGACAACCTACTCCTGAAAAGGCATCTGTTGACACAGTTCTCATCAGATCCATCAGGGCAGTCCTTTTTTCCATCACACAGCTGGTTTGGGGTGATGCAAACAGAAGAACCTGCGCACAGAACTGAGGGGCTGATGCAGGCTGGCTTGGTGGGTGCAGGAGACTCATTTAAGACGGGACTGGAAGTGGCCGATTCTGCAGCATCTGAAATATCAAGGGTTAGTTTGAAGTGGAAAGTTTCACGCAAGAACAAAGATAATACGAAATGGCAAAGAGTGCTTCTCTGTAAAGCAGTAATGACTTTATAAACAAGAGAAATCTACCTTTAGAATACTCACCACATCCTTCTTCATCTGATCCGTCCCGGCAGTCTTTCTCTCCATCACAAACGTGACTGAAGAGGACACATTCTGTCCCATCTTGACACATTCTGGAGCCCATGCGACACTTCAGTGCGTTTGATGCAGCTGGAGGAGGAGGAGCAGCACTCACACAGTCGACTTCATCGGAGCCGTCGTAGCAGTGAGAGATTCCGTCACAAACCAGACTCCGGGAGACGCAGCTCCTACGGTCTTTGCAGCGGAAGTCAGCTATGAACGGAAAAATCATTGAGACAAGCGTGGTTTTGCATACTGCAAATTACAATTTCAATCACCCCTCCATGAGACAGAACAACTCACTCCTGTAGGGGCATCTGTTGACACAGTTCTCATCAGACCCATCGGGGCAGTCCTTCTTTCCATCACACAGCTGGTTTGGGGTGATGCAAACAGAAGAACCTGCACATAGAACTGACGGGCTGATGCAGGCTGGCTTGGTGGGTGCAGGAGACTCATTTAAGACGGGACTGGAAGTGGCCGATTCTGCAACATCTGAAATATCAAAAGTTAGTCTGACAAGTGTAAAGTTTCATGCAAATACACTGCTCAAAAGAAAAAAAAAATTACAGCAACATTGTTTGGTTATGGCATGAATTCAATCACGCTTGTCTGATAATGAGCTAGTCGGGCAAGTCGTGGGTGGTCATTAATCATTTTCAACTGCATTGCTGTTGATGGACTGAACAGCTGCACTAGAGGAGCAAACAACGTGACTCCATAAACGGGACTGGGTTCTGCATGGTGCTCGCGGTCCAGCACCGTGGAGCGCTAACGGCATTTGCAGGAACACTTACAACAACTGGCATGGTCACCTCTGGCGCTCTGCTTTTCAGATTAGCAGGTTCACCCTGAGCTCCTGTGATAGATGTGAAACTGTGCAGAGAAGCCAAGGAGAGCGCTATGCTGCTTACAGCATCATCATCATCCAGCATGAGCGACGAGGGAGGCGTGTCCATCCAGAAACGCAAAAACCTCTACAGGTCTAAAGAACAGCAGTCTGGCTGCAATTCGGTATTTGGATGAAATCCTTGAACCATGGTCAAACCCTACGCTGGTGCAGTAGGTCCTGGGTTCCTCCTGAGGCATGACAATGCCCGGCCTCATGTGGCAAGACTAAGCAGGCGGTACCTGGAAGATAAAAGGAATCTATACCCTTCAATGGCCCCAATAATGACCTGAACCCAAAAGAACGCCCCTGGGACATTATGTTTTGGTCCATCAGGCGCCGCAGAAGCTCAGAGACCCTTGAACAGATCTGGGAGGACATCAAACAAGACTCAGTCCATCGTCTCATTAGGAGCATGCTGCGACATTGTCAATTAAGCAAGCGAGCACGTGGGGCCACACAAGATGTAAAGCATTTTGTGATGCAGAAATTACATTTTGGCAAAATGGACTAGCTTGCGACAGTTTTTCCACTTGATTTTGGGAGTAAACCGAATTAAGCCCTCTGTTGGCTGAACATTCTAGTTCCATCGAAAGATGGGGCATCCTTTTGATCCCAAGACATTAAACTGTCCATACGAGTATGGAGGTCAAACATACATATTTGTCAATTTGAGATCATGCATTTAATTTACTTCCTTTCATTTTTTTATTTTTATTTTAGGCAGTGTAGTCAGAAAAAGCAAACCCTAACCGTTAAATCAATACTCACCACATCCTTCTTCATCTGATCCGTCCCGGCAGTCGTTCTCTCCATCACAAACGTGACTGAAGAGGACACATTCTGTCCCATCTTGACACATTCTGGAGCCCATGCGGCATTTCAGTGAGTTTGCCTGAGCTGCTGCAGGAGGAGCATCATTCGGACAGTCTACCTCATCAGAGCCGTCGTGGCAGTGAGAGATTCCGTCACAAACCAGACTCCTGGAGACGCAGCTCCGACGGTCTTTGCAGCGGAAGTCAGCTATGAACGGAAAATCATATTCAGCGACTAGAGGATTGTTGTGCACAGTTTCAGTCACCCCTCCATGAGGCCGAATGACTCACTCCTGTAAGGGCATCTGCTGACACAGTTCTCATCAGACCCATCGGGGCAGTCTTTCTTTCCATCACACAGCTGGTTTGGGGTGATGCAAACAGAAGAACCTGCACATAGAACTGAGGGGCTGATGCAGGCTGGCTTGGTGGGTGCAGGAGACTCATTTAAGACGGGATTCTCTGACACAGTGGGACTGGCAGTTGCTGCAGCATCTAAAACATTTAATTAAAGTTTACTTCATTAGAAGAACACTGTATTGCACCAGTATTTCAATACCTGGAATTTTTCCCAGAGGAAACTCACCACACTCCCGTTCATCTGATCCATCCCGACAGTCCCTTTCCCCATCACACACGTGGCTGTATAAGACACACTCCGTGCCGTCCTCACACAGCGTTGAGCCCACACGGCACTTCAGGACGTTTGCCTGAGCTGCTCGAGGAGCCGACCTCATGCAGTCGACCTCATCTGAGCCGTCGTGGCAGTGAGAGATTCCGTCACAAACCAGACTCCTTGATATGCAGCTCCAACGGTTTTTGCAACGGAAGTCCGCTATGAAAAGAAAATCATAGTCAAGAATTGGATTGTTCTCAATGCACCACAAGTTTACAGAACAGGTTGTGTAGACCACCATCCCCACCTGGAAACATTTGTTGGAAAATGAATTAAAAAATATCCAATTAACTTACTATTTTTAGGGCATCTGTTGACACAGTTCTCATCAGATCCATCGGGGCAGTCCTGCTTTCCATCACACAGCTGGTTTGGAGTGATGCAAACAGAAGAACCTGCACACACAATTGACGGGCTGATGCAGGCTGGCTTGGTGGGTGCAGGAGACTCATTTACGACTGGACCAGAAGTGGCCGATACGGCAGCATCTGAAATATCGAGTTAGTTTGACAAGTGGAAAGGAATGAGTCATGCAAAAACAGATATGAAATAGCAACACTATCTTCTCTACAAAGCATTTACCACATTTATTTTAGATTTTTTTTTAAATCAATACTCACCACATCCTTCCTCATCTGATCCGTCCCGGCAGTCTTTCTCTCCATCACAAACGTGACTGAAGAGGACACATTCTGTCCCATCACGACACATTCTGGAGCCCATGCGGCATTTCAGTGAGTTTGCCTGAGCTGCTGCAGGAGGAGCATCATTCGGACAGTTTACTTCATCTGAGCCGTCGTGGCAGTGAGAGATTCCGTCACAAACCAGACTCCTGGAGACGCAGCTCCTACGGTCTTTGCAGCGGAAGTCAGCTATGAACGGAAAAATCATATTCAGCGACACGAGTGGGATTATTCTCAAGTCGTTCTGTACAAATACGTTTTTGGTCACACAACAACTTCCATGTGAACACATTTGTTGGATACTTTATTAAATACCCAACTCACTCCTGTAAGGGCATCTGTTGACACAGTTCTCATCAGATCCATCGGGGCAGTCCTTCTTTCCATCACACAGCTGGTTTGGGGTGATGCAAACAGAAGAACCTGCACACAGAACTGAGGGGCTGATGCAGGCTGGCTTGGTGGGTGCAGGAGACTCATTTAAAACTGGATTCTCTGACACAGTGGGACTGGCAGTGGCTGCAGCATCTGAAATATCAAGAGTTAGTCTGACAATTTGAACGATTTTATGTAAAAGCAGATATGAAATACTTATCGGAACTAGCAACACTTTCTTCTCCATGAAGCAGTTCTTTTTTTTTATAAAAGTAATAAACCTCTAAATCAATACTCACCACATCCTTCCTCATCTGATCCGTCCCGGCAGTCTTTCTCTCCATCACAAACGTGACTGAAGAGGACACATTCTGTCCCATCTCGACACATTCTGGAGCCCATGCGACATTTCAGTGAGTTTGCCTGAGCTGCTGCAGGAGGAGCATCATTCGGACAGTCTACTTCATCTGAGCCGTCGTGGCAGTGAGAGATTCCGTCACAAACCAGACTCCTGGAGACGCAGCTCCTACGGTCTTTGCAGCGGAAGTCAGCTATGAACGGAAAAATCATTGAGACAAGCGTGGGTTTGCATACTGCAAATTACAATTTCAATCACCCCTCCATGAGACAGAACAACTCACTCCTGTAAGGGCATCTATTGACACAGTTCTCATCAGATCCATCGGGGCAGTCCTTCTTTCCATCACACAGCTGGTTTGGGGTGATGCAAACAGAAGAACCTGCGCACACAATTGACGGGCTGATGCAGGCTGGCTTGGTGGGTGCAGGAGACTCATTTAAGACGGGACTGGAAGTGGTCGATTCTGCAACATCTGAAATATCAAGAGTTAGTTTGACAAGTGAAAAGAAAGTGTCATGCAAAAACGGATATGAAATAGCAACACTAGTGTCTCTATAAAGCATATTTATTAGAGAATTTTTTTAAAATCAATACTCGCCACATCCTTCTTCATCTGATCCGTCCCGGCAGTCTTTCTCTCCATCACAAACGTGACTGAAGAGGACACATTCTGTCCCATCTCGACACATTCTGGAGCCCATGCGACATTTCAGTGAGTTTGCCTGAGCTGCTGCAGGAGGAGCATCATTCGGACAGTCTACTTCATCTGAGCCGTCGTGGCAGTGAGAGATTCCGTCACAAACCAGACTCCTGGAGACGCAGCTCCTACGGTCTTTGCAGCGGAAGTCAGCTATGAATGGAAAAATCATGCAGAAACAAGAGTGGGATTATTCTCAATTTGCTCTGTACAGTGCAAATTTAAAGAATACGTTTTGTTCACACAACCACATGAACACATTTGTTTGATACGCGACTCACTCCTGTAAGGACATCTGTTGACACAGTTCTCATCAGATCCATCGGGGCAGTCCTTCTTTCCATCACACAGCTGGTTTGGGGTGATGCAAACAGAAGAACCTGCACACAGAACTGAGGGGCTGATGCAGGCTGGCTTGGTGGGTGCAGGAGACTCATTTAAGACGGGATTCTCTGACACAGTGGGACTGGCAGTGGCTGCAGCATCTGAACATTTAATTAAAGTTTACTTCATTAGAAGAACACTATATTGCACCAGTATTTCAATACCTGGAATTTTTCCCAGAGGAAACTCACCACACTCCCGTTCATCTGATCCATCCCGACAGTCCCTTTCCCCATCACACACGTGGCTGTATAAGACACACTCCGTGCCGTCCTCACACAGCGTTGAGCCCACACGGCACTTCAGGACGTTTGCCTGAGCTGCTCGAGGAGCCGACCTCATGCAGTCGACCTCATCTGAGCCGTCGTGGCAGTGAGAGATTCCGTCACAAACCAGACTCCTGGAGACACAGCTCCTACGGTCTTTGCAGCGGAAGTCAGCTATGAACGGAAAAATCATATTCAGCGACAAGAGTGGGATTATTCTCCCCATTCGTTCTGTACGAATACGTTTTTGGTCACACAACAACTTCTATGTGAACACATTTGTTGGATGCTTTATTAAATACCCGACTCACTCCTGTAAGGGCATCTGTTGACACAGTTCTCATCAGATCCATCGGGGCAGTCCTTCTTTCCATCACACAGCTGGTTTGGGGTGATGCAAACAGAAGAACCTGCACACAGAACTGAGGGGCTGATGCAGGCTGGCTTGGTGGGTGCAGGAGATTCGGTTAGGAGGGGATTCTCCGAAGGAAGAGGTGTGGCGGGGTCTGCAGCATCTAAAATCATGAAAAAAATTATTCTTTCTCTTCTCCCATATCAGAAGGAGAATGATTACTCTAGTACAGCGATTCCCAAAGTGTGGGGCGCGGCCCGCTGGTGGGTCGCGAAGGTACTGCAGGTGGGCCGCGAGAGGTAATTTACAATTAATAAATAAAGTTTAATTTTCAATTTTTAAAAGTTTGAAATTAATATAAAATATTTATGATGCGGCACATTGGTTTGTGCTTCATCAATTAATGTTTCACATAACAATTTAAACGAACAGATTAATAAAACAATAAGGCTCTCGCTCAAAACTGCTGCTCTTGTCCGCCTGTCGTTGATCAACAAATGCAGCGCCCTCTTGTAGTATTAAAGTCAATATACCGCATTTTCCGCACTCCAAGGCGCACTTAAAAGCCTTCAATTTTCTCCAAAAACGACAGCGCCATATATAATATATATGGATCAATTGGTTAACTGGTAGATCCATACTGGTTGTACAAGGCGCTCTGCCAAACATGACAAAGTTCTGTCTACGACGGCGAGATGCTGAGCGGCGCTCAAGCGCGTGACATATGGAGCTGCTTTCAGAGCGCGTCGGAGAAACAAAGCTGTCGTTCTCGCCGAGCACTTCATGAGATTATTAAAAAATTATTAAAATAAGTTATTCTGAAAGCAGCCGAAGATTTAAGGCGTGGATGGCGAGGGGGCGGCGGGAGCAGACGCACCTCACGGCATTGATCGGACCCTGAAAGCACCGTCTCCACCTTACTGTCAAAAAGAACAACAGCGAGCGCGAGCAGAGATTCTCCTCGCGAGCAACGAAGTTCACGTTTCGCAAGCGAGCAAATACCTCGCGGAGACGAACCTTTGCACGCAACCATGGCACAAAGAAATTAAAATAAATTCATGAACTCACCACATCCCTGTTCATCCGATCCATCCCGACAGTCCCTTTCCCCATCACACACGTGGCTGTAGAAGACACACTCCGTGCCGTCCTCACACAGCTTTGAGCCAAAGCGGCACCTGAGGGGGTTTGACCGAGCTGCTCGAGGAGCCGACCTCGGACAGCCGTCCTCGTCCGAGCCGTCGCGGCACTGTAGCCGACCGTCACAAACCAGAGTCCTGGAGACGCAGCTCCTCCCATCCCTGCACTTGAAATCATCTAAGATCGGAAGAAGAGGCAGAGAAAAACATTAATCGTTTATTCCTCACATTGTTTTTGGAGGCGCCGACAAAAGAAATGCCAAAGTGATACTTATACTTTACCTTCAGAAGGACATGTGGCGACACAAAGATCCTCGTCGTCTCCTTCGGGACAGTCCTTTTTCCCGTCACACAGCTGCTCCAGCTGGAGGCACACCGATGTGTGCCGGCACATCACAGAGGGTTCACTACAGAAGGTGGTATTGGGCACTGGAGAGGAAATGCACAAGTGAGTGAGCAAACATTCTCTGCTGCCAAATGTCTATAGAAACATGAGTCAAAATGAAATTAACGCTTGTCACTTATCTATTATTACGAAAATAGAAAAGCCTCATGAAGTCCGTTGCCGTTAGCAGTGAATCGATGCACTGCTAAATAATTAAAGGCTGTACGGAAAAATAAATTTCCTCCAAATTGGCTCTGGTGGATAGCTGTAGCACAGACATGAGCCATGATGCCCCCCCCCCCCCCCCCCCAACAGGGACAAGACCCAGCACCAAAAAAAATGTATATGACACCCAGAATTATCCGCTATATATATCAGATGAACGCTATCTGACCTGTTCCGAGGTCCGCGAGTGCAGGGATCACACCGGACACGCGACCCCGTACGGTCACGTCACAGATCTGGCTCCCATCGCGCCGGTTCCACAGAGTAACTACGTTCTCCCAGAGGGACAGCAGGAAGGGCTCAAAGGCGGCGATGACAGAGCCCGAAACGTTCCACCTTCTGCCAGCCTGATGGCTTCTTTCCTGCAGCAAACTCATTGTGGTCAAACCTGCAGAGCGCGGCGACACAAAAAGGACATTCAGAAGGCTCAAAAAAAAAAAAAAAAAAACGCATGACATCATCCAAACGCCAGCTGGAACGTTTAAAGACCGTTTCAGCCGAAGTGACCCGACTGACCTGCCCTCTCCGAGTTCCAGAGCAGACTGTTCGCCCTGAGGTCAAAGGCGACGTTCCCCCTCACTCCGCCTGCCAGGCGCAGCAGCTCTTTGGCGTCGCCTCCGGTCATGCTCATGGTGAAGACCGTGTCTCCCTCCAGCCAGAGGAGCCCCCCCCTCAGCCAGTCCACGTCCAGGTGGCCGATTTCGTTTGCGGTGCGGTACAGCTCACGTGGGTGCCGATGGTCGGCTGTGGCGGTGCCGATGCTCTTCTGGTCACATGACACCCAATAAATGTCGCCGCTCATCTGGTCTATTTTTATCAGACAGGCTAAAGAGCCGGAAACAAAGAAGTGGTGTAAATATAAAGTGCTCAGAAAGGCCAAGTTACCAGTTGGTTCATGGCATTAACTGACCAGCTTTTTCCATTCATTAATTAATCGTACAATCCATCTAATTTTGTCAGAACTATTTTAAGGCTTTATTTGCTGCATTATGTTTCACATGTCTGCACAACCCGAGGAAAGCGGCGCATTAACCTGGGACAGGTGTTGGGACCACCTCAACCTGGGTTGGACCGGTGCGTTGGATGTGGCCAGTTTGGTTAGCCCAGTAAAGCCAGTCTCTGTACCAGTCCAGATCGAAGGAGAGGATGCCGTCGTCCGTGGTGAACAGATGGACTTTGGAGGCGCCTTTACCTCTAAACTCCAGCATGTTGATGCTGCTGGCGGTAGCGTAAATGAACCGTGGATCTGCGGGACAAAAAGGAGTTGCACATTTTTATGACGCCGTCACTTGGCTATACAATTAAAAAGTTAAGCCCATGATGCAAAGAAATCATCTGGCATGCAATGATGCAATTCATACGATCAATGATGGACCTACATTCACACGTCCCATCCAGCATGAGCACTTTGGAGTTCGGACAAGTGCAGGAAAACCCAGCAGCGTTTCCTTTAGTGAGCTGGCAGAGATGACATGGATTCTTCCTACATGCAGAGGAACCTGTTTGATGAACAACACAAGGGTACCATTAACAGTGAAAACATTTCCCCCCTTAAGCAATGAAATATTACTTTTAAATTGTCTGCATTATATTAAATACTATGTCGTACCTTGAGGCTGCTGTAATTCATGGTAAGCAGACAATATTGGCAGAGTTCCTCTCCAGATGAATTGCTTCTGGTTCGGTTGGTTCTGTGGAACCTGCCACAGTCCCTCGTCATCCACCCAGTAAAAATAACTTTCAAACACTGCCAGGGCGAGAGCGGGTCTCCGGTCGAACATCCCCGGGAAGGAGTAACGGCCCGTCCCGTCCACCTTCACCGTCTCTACGGACTGAGAGGATCAAATGATTAATGTTCACTGTATTCAAGACAGACGACCAGACGTTTACAAGCAGAAAGGACAAAGCTGTGGAAAAAAGGCCTACTATAAATCCTAACCCTTCACATCTAGGATATTACATAAAGCATCTAAATCCTGTTCCATGCGCGCACATCTTCCGTCAACCAACCTCCTTGGAGTCGCTGACCCAGTAGAGCCTCCTGGCGGCCACGTCAGCAGTGAGGCTGTGGGCCGACTGAGCCGTGAGCACGGCCAGCGTGCTCCTCTCCGACGCGTCCATCCACGACTTCTCCAAGGTCACCCGCTCACCGTGGCCGGCACTGATCCAGAACATCAAGCTGCAAGGCAGCGGGGAGGGAAGTTGAATAAAATCATCACCTTTTTGGGTTCATCCACAATTGATGGATTCTCAATTTAATTAATTCCAGTGTAAATAAAAAATAGGTTTAGCACTTACTGAGTTCAGGATGATCATTTAAGAATATCAAACACTTTAAAATGTGATCCCAGTAAATCGTGCGTAGCGGCAGACAGAATCAGGGTTGCATACCTCTCCACAGGAATTAGCAGCAACTCTGATGGACTGGTGTTTCTGCTCAGCAGTGTAGTGTAACTTCTCCCATCAGCTGCCTGCATGTAGATTGACGCAGTCTTCTGATTGGCCCAGAAAAGGTGTCCATTCAACCAATCGCAAGCTAGACTGTTGATTCCAGGCTCCCCTAAAAAAATAAAAGGTTTCACAAAATTACATTTGGGATTAAGAAACCGATTGTATAACGGTCACAGCTTGGGGATTTTGTGTAAAGGCCTTCTGCCAAACAGTTTAACTGAAGTGTACTTGGTACTTCCATGCGGTCAGCTTCAGCTGAGAAATGTCATGAAGCATTAGATCAGTTTCCAGAATTGGGTTGAATACGTTCACAATAGCTTGTATTTTTTTGGGAGGGGAGGCACAGTCTAACTAGTGACAACTAGTCCGAAATGTTTCAGAAAACATTGCAAGTGGACCATCAAAAACAAAAAAAGGTACCATAACATCTCTATGCTGCATCTTAAAGGGGATCGGAATGTGTCGTTTGTCATATTTTCAGTCACTTAATAAAACTAAATAGATGACATTACTGTAAATTCTAATCTATGCTGAGACCCAGATCATTTTTAGGATCTGAACTGACCAGTATGGATCGTCGAGCTGTGCCCTCCGTCACTTTTGTAAATGCTGCCATGGCGGTCCGCCCAGAAGTACCAGCCTCGGGCCACGTCGAAAGCCAAGGCCACTGGATCGGTCCCTGGACGGGCGATCACTTCAAACCGCTCAGTCTTCACGGTCAACAAGCCGATGGAGCTCCTCTGCGCGACTAGCAATCTGGTAGCATTACCTGCACACGCGGGGAGACGAAGAGGAAGTTTCTCTTCATGGTTGTTCAGCACAAGTACTTCACACATTACTTCCAAGATAAATGCAGCAAAGTTCAAAGATTCACGAGTTTTAGGAAACATTGTATTTCCAGCAGGGGCAAAGTTATGTTAATGTCCCCCACTTGATTGCTTTGAACTCTTCTTTCTAGCTTTTGTCATTAGCATGGAAGTGGCCCGTTAGACAAAATATTACTGATGTACTAAGTGCACTTCATGATGTTTGCTTCTGATCTTTTTGTACAGGGTGAAACTAAACTGAGTCGGTTGACATCAAACACTTAATCGGATTCCCAAATCAGTACTAGATTACTTTGCTGAATTGGTACCAAACATTGCGGAGAGCCTCGACATGTTCACCTTCATTACCTGTAGCTAGACATGTGCCGCTGCCATTCAGTGTGAAGCCATTTCTGCAGTGGCAACGGTAGGACCCGACAGTGTTCGAGCAGTGATGCATACATGGGTCAACGGGTTGGGCACATTCATCCAAATCTGAGGAAAGATTGTGGTGTTTAGAAGAGTCACATTTCATTAGAAAGATTACAGGGGGGAGACTGCAGTTGGCAAACACACCTTCGCAGACCGCTCCACCGGGCGACAGCTCGTAGCCGACCGGACAGGCACACCGAGCCCCCCGCGGTTCATCCACACACTCGTGGCTGCAGCCGCCGTTGTCTAGAGAGCAAAGTCGACCTGCGGGAGGAGGCTCAGTGTCACCGCAGTCCTCTTCGTCGGAGTTGTCCAGGCAGTCGTTCAGTCCATTGCAGCGCAGGTCTACGGGGATACAAATGTGGTTTCGACACGTCCAGTCAGAGTCCAAACACCCCTTTGTGGCTGCGCAGTTCTCCTCATCAGAGCCGGTGGGACACTGGGTTTGTCCGTCACAGCGGGCCGACGCATCGACGCAGCCAACGGAGTCGAGACAAGGAAACTGACCCGGGGGACATTCGTGGGATCCTGGAAGTGCTGCAGGGAAAGAAACCATTTTAAAGCTTTCTCTTCACACCCACAAATTAAATCAACACAACCAAACACTACGGTAACAGGATATTCTGTAACTTAACATGGAACTATTACTTAAATTGGCAGTTAGGGGAAACATTTGTTTCCAGTGCAAAACCATGTTTAACACCAGAAAACAAGCTACATTATTTTACACAGGGAGAGGAATTCTATGTACCAGCGCAATCCATTTCATCCGATCCATCCAGACAGTCTCCATTTCCATCACACCTCTGGACATCAGGAACACAGTTTCCATCATCACACTGCCACTCGCTGCGAGGACATCCAGAAATTTGACCTAACCACACACACACACACACACAATCCCCCCCAAAAAGGTCAAAGGATTAGAAAATAGAAACAGCTTTTCACAAAGGCACCGAGGGCCCCACACAGGAACAATTGTACATTCAGAAACCCCCTTTTGTGATAAGGACTCAACAAGTCCATCCAAAGGAATAAAGCGAACAAACAATTGTTAGTGGACTTAATTTTTTTAGACACAAAAGCCACAGAAAAACACATGTAGCCAACTCAATACTAGTTGCAGACCGGCACGATATTCACATGCAGCACATGATCAAATTAAATAGGAAAGGGAAGTTAAGTTGAGTTTCCATTTGGATTCAGCGTGGCGAAGGTCCAAAGGGGATCGTGTCGCCCTCCGCTCTTTGAAATGAACGGATTTAATCAAAGATCCGCCGCAGAAACAGAGAACTGATGCACAAATACGACTATGATGGGAAAAAAAGACACGTGTCGAACGCACCGGGCCGACGGATCCACGCCGCGTTGCCTCGAGCCGGTTTACAACAACAATCAGCTGCCGGACGCCATCAAGCGTTAAATTCAATTACACACACTTTTGAATTAGCCACACAAATGCCTTGAAAACGTGTCGTTATTTAGTTGTTGTTTGTTTTGTTTTTTTTTACCTCGGGAAATGCTGAGACTTGCCAGAAAAACCGTACAAATCCACAGGCGAAAGTCCATCTCGGGCCGCCGGGCTCTTAGAGACAAACAATGTCAGCTGAGAGGAGAAGAAGCTTTTTATCAGCTGCTGCAGCAATTATCGACGCATCGCTCAACTTCCGTTGCCGAATGCGAGTGAAGACTGGATGAAAGCTGGAACCATTGAATTCATTTTTCTTTCTTTATTTTTCTAACAGAAAGATTATGTTTTTTCTTATATATGATACATGATATACGTGTTTATTTAATCATTCATTTACGTCATCTCCAGGTTTCCAAGCCACGCGTGTTTGAACGTGTGACCACAAAACAAACTTGATTCATTTTAATTGACGTTATTTTTTTATCTAGTAGTAGTTAAGGTTCTTTTGGACACTTTGGAGATAAAACTAAGGGATCTCTTCCAAAATATATGTCTCTCCTCTGCACATCCCATCCAGGTCCACTCTGTGCGGGCTTTTTTTTTACTGGGTTTTGCGCTTGTTGTGAACCAACAACAGTAAAATCCAACATTGATTAAGTTTGTAAAACACTCTCTCCTCTTTCTTTAGATGGAAAGTATATATTAAGGAATAAATAATCCCAATTTTACTCCTCTGTCTTCTATCATAGATTATTGGTGTTTTCTGAAAAAGTCGAGTTTTTACGCACGGATGGAAATATGCTGCTGTTGTCTTTTTTGAACAACAAAGTCGCGTACATCATTCACCATTCTTCTTATGACAAATCCAAACTTTGTTTCATGTTGTTGCTATGAAGACCTTTCAAAGAAAAGAGAAGTTTAGTGATAATCGCCCGATATGAAAGCGTTCACACATCGTACTCTTCAAAAAGACGCACACCTCTGTGGCTGCCATCAGCTCTTTCTTCTTTTTGCTTTAGATGTCAAGTGTGCAGTTTGAGTTATTAATGGGCAACTATTGACTGACATTAACATTAACTCATTAGTGTACCTTTGATGCATTAACATGGCAGATGTTTTACCCTGGATGGCTGGATGGTGTATGGAGTCTTTTTATTGTAGGTATCCAAAATTGTATTTTTAAACCACTCACTTACTCACTTTAAAACTTATATATATGATATGATATTCATAAGCATTTAAAGCGTTGCCGTACGCTCTATGAACACAACAATTTCCACATAAATGATAATGACATTTTTCATTTTTTTTCTTGCGTGGTGTAATGTGATGTTTATCTTTTACTGATAAAAGAAAATCGTCATTACGTATTATCTGCTCAGTTCCACATTTTATAATCGTCGTTGAAACATCGACGATGAGGTAATAACCACATTTAGTTTAGACACATATTGTCTGGATTAATTTTTATCTAATTAAAACTAATACAAAAAATACCAAACTGTACATAAGGACCTGCGCAGTGACCTACTAGTTTCTGTGAACCCTAAAAAGAGGCAAAATGGAACATATCACCATTTGGTTTGTTCATTGGAGTCGTGTGAATGAAATGGACTCCGTTAGTTAATCAAAAAGACCAAAGGGATTTAAAAAGTCTTGTGACTTACCCATTAATCAGAGCGCGGGTTTGCAAGCCGTAATCTCCTTAATTTATATTATTATCACCGTCTCTTATCAAAGGGATCTTTAATATACACCACTAAGTGGCGCGCGTATTCACGGTTATCACACCTCTGCAACTACAAAGAGGAACCGGGTTTCGGTACCCAACGACCTCGTCGCATCCGAGTCTTTGAGATGGTCCCCGGATCAAACGCGCCTCTTTGACAGATCTTCTTCAGAGGAGGAGGTCAGGCGAGAGGGGAGTGACTATAAAACCAGAGTCGCAGCATCTCACCTGTACCATTCGCATTCTACCCGAGGAAGGAACTACTACTACGCACACATCGCGCAACAATGAAGCGACCAGCAGTGGACTTCTCCTTTGCGCTCTTTCTTCTGGTGGATTTGGTCGCGGTTCTCGCCGCACAGCCCTCCGCTGGGATGCACCCCGCCGCACTGCTCCGGGGGATGGACGCCGGCTCCAGACGCACGACGCACAGGCAGGAAGAAAACAGGTTGCCCCTCTACATGATGCAGCTCTACCGGACCATGCTGAACGAGGGCCGGCATTGGACTCCGGCCGCCAGCGTGAGCCGCGTCAGTGAGGAGGACAACCCCGGTTTGCACGCCTCCGACTCCGTGGTCAGCCTCGTCGGCAAGAGTGAGTTTTCATAAATATCTATTGGTCTTCGGGAGTTTCCCTGCTATAGTTCATTGTATTCTGTTGAAAACATAAGGAGCACTTTATGATTTCCCTTGGCTAATACCAACCATATTTATTTCCATCACCTTAATTCCTAATTTGTGATCAGGAATACAAGCTGTTATAAGAATGTGGTCTTGAAAAGCCAAATTCTCCTTAATAACCAATATCCCTTACTCTCCTTTCTTTCAGGCTGCCATCAGATTGGCAAGAAGTGGTCCGTCACCTTCGACATGTCCTCCATGTCCGCAAGCGACAACATCCAACTGGCCCAACTTCGCATCCGCCTGCCCTCCTTCACCGAGTCTCACAGAGCCTCCGTGGACGTCTACCACTCCCAAGGGGGTCAATGCTCCGGCACGCGCTGCCCAGGGAACAGGCAGTTCGTGGGGCGCCTTGTGGCTCACCCCAGCTCGATGGCGTCCCCCTCCTCGTGGAAGGTGCTCAACATGACGGAGATGCTCCAGCGCTGGCTGCAGCAGGAGCATCCCGCGCAGAGGATGGAGGAGGATGAGGCTGAAGTGAAGGAGCAAGAGGGGCAGGAGGGAATCGGTCACCCGACCGCCGACCGAGTCACCGCGGTGATCTTCTCAAGGCAACACTCAAACAGCCTTCGGGTGCCAACGCTCATCCGCACAGCCGGCCACTCCAAGTACGTCAGCCTGGACCGCAAGAGAGTCACGTCCGGCTCCGGCTCCAGGCCGAGGAGCCGCAGGTCCAGGAGGCAATCGCATGGCCGGCAGCAGCGACAGCGTGTGGCCGGAGCCGCTCCCCCCAGCAGGCCCGCAGAGGAGGAGGAGAAGGAGGAGGAGGAGAAGGGTCATCTCTGCAGGAAGGTGGACATGATGGTGGACTTTGCGAAGCTCGGTTGGAGCGAGTGGATGGTCTATCCCAAGCAGTACAACGCCTATCGCTGTGAAGGGAGCTGTCCCACGCCAGTGGATGAGACCTTCACGCCCACCAACCACGCATACATGCAGGTAAGGCGGAATGAGACAAGAATTTGTTTTGTTTGAAGAATATTTATCCGCAAAAGGGACGTATACACATTAATACAATATCAATAATAATAATTTGTCTCTTTCTCCATCCAGAGCCTCCTGAAACTTCACCACCCAGACAAGGTGCCGTGCCTTTCCTGCGTGCCAACGCGCCTGGCACCGGTGTCCATGCTGTACTTCGAGAACGGCAAGATGGTCATGAGGCATCACGAGAACATGGTGGTGGAGGAGTGCGGCTGCCACTAAGCAAAAGACCCGAAAACCTTTTGGTTGAAGGCCAAGAGCGGAGGCACCGACGGGGTTCCTCCTCACAAAGTGGATGGACGTCCACAGGCACTTTATGTCCGGTTTGACACTGACGGAAACGGAGGCTGTTTGCTGATGTTTAGGACATTGCAGAAAGAGACTGCTGGGCATCCATGGACACCGCTTTTGAATACATTTTGAAATATGGATTCTAAAAAGAGTTCCAAATGTTTTTTTTGTAGAAGATTCATTATGGTTACGGGTTGATCAGTCGTGATGGAACCAGAACATGGTAAATGTTGGTTGCTGACAGAAGCACATTAGAAGATTCACACGGAGGTCTTATGTAAGAACAGTTGAGTGACGACAGATGCAAATGGTATAAGCGCTTTTAACTTTATTGAAATGTTTGGTTCACATTGATCCATCTGTGTATTTGCTATGTACAATATTACAATAAATTATTGTTTTTTTTGACAAAGTGTTTGTTGTTTTTTTTAATACTGTGCTCATAAAAAAAAAAACATTGAACATAAATGATGATGCTATTAAGTGCTTAAGACCTTTTTTACAAGCTCATACCTAAAAAGAAACACTTTAAAGATAAAGAGGTATTAGTTGTTTCCAACAAAACGACAAACAGCAGACTGACGTTGGTTGGCAGCAAGCTGGTGAACGTATATGAACACGTAGCAGCTAGAGACGGATGTGTTATCAAACTGACCCGATCAACCCAAGATGACATGTTAGTGTGGTGTTTATACGCCCCCAAGTGGCAGCAGAAACAAATCAATGACCAATTTCGCCAAAATAATGACGAAAACTGTAACTTTAAACTGAGGTCCATACTTCAAGTCCTTTATTTGTATAACATTGAATATTTTAGAGATGTGCTTAAAGTCCTCAAATGATTAAATTCACATAAAAGCTTTAATTTCAATAAGACTTTGGCCAACGTGTCAAATATCTCACATACAAAGCATAGCGGATTGAAAATAAACATAATTTCATGCATTGGCTAGTCATGTTTTTTTCTTCTCTTTAAACAGATTAAACATCAACAGAAAAGGCCTTCTTGTAGATTATAAAGCTCAATAAAACAAGGCATCTCATCTCAAATGAGTATTTTTTTTTTCTTCTTATCCCAGTAGTGAAAAAAAAGGATCAGTTGGGAATCACTTATGTTCCTGCTGCTGACCCTCCTCAGATGTCCATCTCAAACTGGGCATCTTCAAGAAACACAAGAAGACATTCGTAGGTGAGCAGAGGAGAGGAGACGATTAAAGACGAACGGGAAGGATTGCATCTCACCTCCCTCGTCCACATTGTAAACGTGCGGACGGGGGCCTTTACCTGCGTGGTCCTCGGCGTGCTGGTTGTGCGCCGCGTTGTTGCTCGCCGTCGGCTCGGGCCGCGCTGTGTCGATGGAGGAGTTGGGTTTGAGCGCCCTGGTGACCCCGGGGATGTCCGGCAGGTTGGGAGGCGTGCGAGCCAGAGGAGACGTGCGGCACTGCAGGAGGAACTTCCTGTCGTAGATGATTCTGGTGCCTGCGGCCATCAGCCAAAAGGAAAACCAACGTTTGTTATAGGCAATGCTTTGTCAGTATTTTTTTTTTTTAGCGGAAAGGTTTATACGAATACCGAGCTATTGATTTTGGCTAGTCGCCCACAGATCCCTTGAAACCGGTTTAAATGGCAGAATAAAATAAAATTCAACAGCTAATACCGACATGAAGTAATTGTAACAGATTTAAATTCAATTATTATATTAAAACATAAAAAAAATCAGTTCGTAATCTCAGTATTAATACTTTCTATAATTATATTTAATTAAATTCGTTAAAAATGTTTAACTTATTTAAAAAAAAAAAAAAGGGATTCTTTTTTTATATAGTGGAACAAAAGAAAATTCACAAGTTGACCTCTACGTAAAACCTGTGTAATAAGTTACATAAAAGGTAAATAAATAAAGACCTATGAACTACCTCCACAGCATTGTGGCGACATACTTTTTCTCTGTGTTTCCTGCTCTGTATAAACGTCCATACATTCCCATGACCGATGACCCAATTCTTTGTTTATCCGTGTAAACCTGCGCCCAGAACACACCATCAGTTAGAATGGACATGTGTGCGCTCACTGGACTTTCTCACAGGCAAAACAGTTTCTATTTTTTTAATTTTCCGGGGTCAATCTTGCAGAGCTTTTCAGAAAATAGCGAGCATAACAACACGGAGCGATTATGAGAGTGAGACGTTTCGCCTGATTTGGTGGGTGTTAATAAAGGCGGTGTTCCCTCGTGGGGCCAACACCTAGTAAACATGTTGCTGCAACTCCACAACAGCCTGCTGTAAAGGCAACACTATAAATAGGATCGGACTGAGTGAGGCGACAGAGTCCTTGATTCATTGAAGACTGTTGTTCATTTGCATTCAAAATAAAACAAGTACTCTTAACAGACCATCTTGAGCGGCCCTTTAAACACACATTCAATGTGATTGAAAATGCAAATCACCGCCCAGACACCGACGTCAATGAAGAAATAAAATCAGCATTAAATCCTGTGGGGAGATGAAAGGAACGCATGGCGTATTGCAGAGATGCAATCACTCCACCGGCCTGTTAATCAGAGACTCAACTTAGTCCGGCCTACTTCCCATTTTCATTGGGCCACTACGCTGAAAGGGCAACTTCCGGGCTGCGTGGTTCGTGATAGCAGAAGACTAATAGGATTTCCTTAAGTCCGTCAACAGGTGGTCTTTAGCCTGCGGGGGAGCATTGAGAGGACGACCTACAGCCTGGCTCTGTAACGCATGTCCTTTCAAATGAAATTACAATTAAAAAATACGTATATTTGCATTGTGTCACAAGTAAAGACATAAAATAAGGTGGAGGTATTTTCACTGACAGGGTTCAACAAACACGCAGAGCTGCTAGAACACAGCGTGACGGCGTGGGAACAACAGGTACTGGGTCATACCATGTCCCCGCTACCTGTCTCCTACCATGTCCCCGCTCACTACCTGTCTCCTACCATGTCCCCGCTACCTGTCTCCTACCATGTCCCCGCTACCTGTCTCCTACCATGTCCCCACACCGATGTGGAATTATTACAAGAAAAACAAGTAGAACTTTTAAAGTGGACTCAAGTATCCCTTTAGCTGTTACCAGATCGTCTCGTCGATCCTTTTCAGAACCCTTTTGTTCTCGACCTTTTTTAAAACCGTGTCCGACGTTTGGACCGAGGCCCGAGCCACGTCGTTACCTCCGGGCGTGGTGCTGAACAGTGTCCCCCCCGGGGTGGTGGAGTAGTCCTGGGGCATGTGCGCCGCGTCGTGGATGGTCACCCGCCTGACGGACGGGATGTCCCGGCTCCCGGTGGTCTGACCCCCCGCTGACATCTCTCACGGACACGTAAAGGGCGGCTTGCGGTGGACTCGTTAGGGACCGAGGAGTCGCAGGAAAGCGCGAAGGACGCCGGACGGAGCTGAAGTCAGGAAGCAGCGACGGTACCGCGTGCCTCCACGTGGCGCAGGCACTTCCAAAACAACTCGCGGAAACCTCCTTCGGAAAACGACACGTGGGGCGGAGGGCTGCCATTGGCTGCGAATAGGGGCGTCACGACGTCACCACATGGGGGTTGTAGTTTTTTCCTGTTTTGTCTCATCTTGTCGAACAAAGATGACGCAATAATAATAAGAAGAATATATCTGTGGTGGACAAGCCTGTTCAACTTTTTTTTCATGTTCTTAATTAGAAAGCAGTTAGCCAAATAAATGTTGCATGTATGCACCGCCTATAATAAAAAAATCAGCAAAATCAGAGGACATTTTCCCAGAAAATGACTGTGGAATATACTAATTTCAAAGAAAATTAAATAAACTATCAACAAATATTTGTAAATAATTCCAATATGAAATAATAATGATTTATTAGTATGAAAGATATTTTGGACCCACAAATAAACAAACTTACACCGAATACAAATGTCCATGTAGGAGTATTATATATATAAAAAAACCTAATTTCACTTTTTTGCCAAAACAGGACCCAACATTTATGTCACATCTTTGTTTATTATTTCTTGTAAATGGTTTGAGCTGGTGTACAGGGTAAGATGATCTATACATATTTTCATGTCCGAATGACTGATTGAAAGGCTTGTATACATATTGACGTTTGTTTATCCTCGCTCCCGGACATTACAAAAAGAAAAGAAAACAAGTGTTAATAGCTACAAAGCCTCTACATTCCCCATGATGTGGGCGTTGGCCTACTCTAGATAATGCTTAAAGAACATCCATAACAACTCTATGAGGGTGCATAGCATTCTAATTAAATATATTTTGTCATATATTTATACATATATTTTCATAAAAACATTTTTTTTGTGCATGTGCGCAGTTGCATTCCGTAGGATATAGTAGTATGATATTGCGTTTACATTGTCATGTATCCATTCTAAAGGAGTATAGGTGATCTCTATTCTTTCGCGACAGTTAAAATTTTACAATACTCTTTTGTTTTTTTTAAATACGTCGTCGAAGGTTACACGTCCTCTCAGGTCACACGTTCTCTCTTCTTCCCCTCTGATCCAACTGGGTTTGGAACACAGCACCATTGCACGCACGTACACACACACTCAAACACACACACACACACACACACACACACTCAAACACACACACACACACACACACACACACACACACACACACACACACACACACACACACTGTGGAGTTGAATGGATTATAGAGCACGTTCCAATTGATGAGTTTAAATTGAGTGGAAATCAAATAAATGGTCAAACGCTCAGAGTTATAATCCTTAAGATTTAGTCTTTGTTGTTTTGCCGCCATGAGTTCTATCAACCACCGGGGGGCAGCAAACAAGCTGAATTATTACTTTAATGTCCAATAGTAACCTTAATGCGCAAGGCCAACAAGCTGTATGGTGAAGGGATTCACCCTAAAGACTAAGGAAGCAGTCAACAGTGTCATCGGACTTGGATCCAATGTGGCCTTGCACTGCAACATGCGCAGGCACCAAACATTTTGTCTTCTGACTCGTGTCTCCATCTCACCTGCGTGTGCAGTTAAGATCCCACGTGGGGGAAAGACGACCCTCTGCCACTGGCAGACAAACAACTGTATATAACTCCGAGAAGTCATTCTCCACGCGAATACCTCGATCCAACCTCTTTCTTGTGCTGATACAGTACAAGATACAGAGGCTAACTAGTCCCTCAACTTGTTTTTCCTATCCAGGGGATAATGCTTCACCAAATACTTTTTGGTACATTCTTCTTCATCGTCACTTTGCATTTCTCGCTTAGCAGCGAGGAGGATCCCTCCAAGCCAGCTTGTACGTACAGGGCCAAGAGCTGAGGGCTCGCTGGAGAACATGCTAGATACTTTGTCTCCTCTTTGGTCTTATTTGAATCAACCGCCACAAACACACACACCCACACATACCACACACACCCACACCCCCAAACGCCCACACACAATCCTTTCCGGCATCATACACTTCCCAACTTTTCCCTTTAGCCCCAACAACCAAAGTCTAATCCAGAAGCACTCGCTGCGTGTCCCACGCTGGTCCTACCGAGGAGGACTCTGAACTCTAAAAAGGAAAAACACTTTGATTCTGACGGAGCAGAACTGAAAACCTGAGTGGAGTAACAGTGGAAAACACGTGACATGTCATAAACATGTGCTATATATCGGATGAGGCTCTGGTGTGCGCGGAGCGGGTAACGGAAAACGATGTGCGTTTGTGTGTGATGCGTCCACTCATTCGGTGTCTCATTCATTCAGGCTACAGTAAGCTTGGTGGTTTCACCCTCACGGCAGGAGCAAGACTCCCGGTTTATGTTTTGCTACGTTAGGTGCTGAAAAACAAACGATCCAAACGATCCCGGATCCACACGCAGAGCAGCTGCCACACTCCGATCTTCATTTTCCAAATCCTTCACGAAGAACCTACAGAACCCTCTGGCCTCCATCGCCGGTGTCCTCGTTAGGTATTATTGCTGTGGCTGACTTGAAAATCAACCCCTCGGACCAGGCTGTAACTATACCGTCGCAATGCGATACGTTTCTGATTTAGTGTTTGTATGTGCACATGAGAGCGTGCAGTGTGCTTTTGTTTGTGTGTCTTCACAGTTCACAAGTCAGGGGTCAGTGTTGATAAGACAATCACAGTGCTACCTGTCTGTCCAAGCTGCACCGTTCTCATCGCGGTACCACGCTACCGTACTGTAGTAGCATAATATTATTTCACCCTTGCTACCATTGAAACTCCGAAATCCTCGAAACTGATTGGATCACTCGCGTTGTTTGCGCTTCCTTCACCCGGCTTAAAATGGATGGACCTACGTTGGGTGACGGTGAGGAGAACGTTGCCAACCGATAAAGAGGGAGCGCCCAAAAAAAGCTGGTAGCATTAGATGGAGGAGCTATTGATGCTGATGAAGAGGCCTGTTCATTTTACTGCATATTGACCGAGGCTACTGATAAAGACTGTGAAATCGAGACGGCGCGCGCTACTGGGACAAAAGGACGGACGAAGGTACAAAAAGGTCACGGGGGGGAGAAGCGTCAATCTTTGTGTTGTAGGGCTGCTGCACAATACAATCAAGCAACCGACCCCCTCTTCCAAAAGACACGAGGGGTGAAAGGAATTCAGTTCCCTTCTGTGACGACACCGAATGAAAACCGAGGCGGGAAAAAAAAAAAAAAACACCTTCATCCACGAAGGAAGAGACGACGGCACACGCAGACAGGAACACTAACAAGCGGGGCGGCGCTCATCCCGGCGCTGTGCGGGCCGTGACATCACAGGTCCAAAGAGCCAATCGCTAGGCAGGGGCTCGGCGCCCAGCCGGGGCCAAGAAAAAAACAAAAACATGCTTGCAGAGAAGAATACGCGCACACATACGCACACATACACACACACCGACACATGTCCACGTAGCATAAGAGTGCATATATCACATTGAGAATAATAAGGGGGGAAGGGGTCCAGTGAGAGAAGCAGCGGTGGGCTCAGCAGAAGCTCAGCTGTGTACGGAACCGTCCATGGAGGGACTTCTTTTTTTTGGCTGTAGTGTCATTGGACTCAACTTGATACAAACACCTCCGGTTGGGGGGGTGGTGGGGGAGGGGGTGTGTGGGGGGAGGAATAGGTCCTTGAAATCACAGGTCCGTGAAATCATGGGCCAGCCCCGTACCTTGCACCCCTTCAGTTTTGAGGATAATGACAGTTCAAAAGGTCAAAGGTCATGCACCAGCAGTCATCATGCGATTACAGTTCACAGGAAGCACTTTTTGTTGCTTTTTTTTCTTCTTAATTGTTTTACTGACATTTATGTTTTTTTTTTTTTGTAAAAAACAAACAAAAAGGAAGAAGAATCATGCCTTATTCTAGTTGATGTTTTCTTTACAAATGTTATAAAACTACAAGTCAAACTCTTTTTTTCCTCTGTCTCTTTTTCTTTTGTGATGTCCCATGGTCACACGCTGAGGATGGCTCGGTGTTTGTCATTTTGTAGTTCCCCCTCCTTTAGTCTTTTTCTTTCTCTTCCTCTCCTTCTTTGCTCATTTCCCCCTGCGGCCTGCTTGTGTTTTTGTGTAGGATGATTTGGCAGTGGCTTTCCGGTCCTGGAAAAACAGAGACAGATAGCATTTACACAAAAAACGAAGGTGTAAAGATTTACCCGGCCCTTCCAAAAGAGGAAAAAAAAGAAGGCTCTAAGGGCGCTGAATGCCAAGTCTATGGTTTCTAATTTTAAACATTAATGGAAAAGAACAGCATGTGAGGGATAATTAAGCTCTAGCAGAGTCCAATGTGTTGCCATGCAGGCTTCTATCCAAGCACGGGGATGCACAAGTTCTTGTTGTGTGTCCCGTACCTGGAGGACGGGGCAGTATGTGTATTTCAGTGTTTAACTCTCCGCAGACTGGTGCGCTGCGCTGACTGAGCGCCCTTTCTCACATCCACCCCCACCTGGAGCAAGGAGGTAGGGAGGAGGGAAGGAAACAACACTTGGACCAGTTAACTGCTTGAAGCCTCTACATGTCACCAGAGCCGAACAACCGTTTGTCTGTTTGTGGATTTGATTATGAGGATATTTTTAATTTATGAACGTCAATTCTTCATTTATTTAGATTACGACTCATAATGAAAAAGGATTTATACGGGTTTGTTGTCGTATCTGGGCAGAAAATGCATTTGGCCGGTGGCCCTGTGTCCTCGCCTACGTGACTCATTCACAGTAATCTGTTTTGGTCAACAGTGTTTATGTGTGAATGTGCCTCAGCGTAACTGGTGAAAACAAGACTGGCTCACCCTTCTGGCAAGCACGCGTCCGTGTTCATCCACAAACTGCGCCTCAGCAGCAAAGTCCTCCTTCTCCTCCGTCTGCACAAAAAACACACACATTTGACGAGTAAACAGCAAGTCAACGTCCTCCGATTCTGTGACTTCCCCAAAATAAAACAATCTGATGACTGTTGATTTCTGTTGAGTGAAATTGAATTTATTATTGAATTTTTAAAATATATTTATAAAAATCCTTCTTTTTTTCAAATCAAATGCTTATCTTCCAATCTGAAAATTAAAAAAAATTAAAAAAGAGCAACATGACCTGGCCCCGCCTCCGCTCTCGTTCCCTTGTCAAAATGCAAAGCTTGTCAAAATGCTCATATAACGCGTCATATGAGTGTAACCCAGGTCACATACCGGAGTCAGCAGAGCCTCCTGGGCCACGTGCAAGCCGGGTCCGCCTCCGCCGCGTCCCGATGACAGACAGCCCTGCGGGGAGTCCTTGTCTGGTAGGTAAGGTTGAAATGCTCCTCCTCCCACCACGCTGGAGAGAGAAATAGAGGGAACGATAGAGAGATAGATGGTTGTAGCCATTGTGAGAACAGATGGTGGAAAAGCTCACAAAATGTATTCAGTTTGACATCGTCGACGTACCGGTTATCTCCGTTGTGCTCCAAAGCCCGACTCACTCCTGACATCTCATACCGCTGCGCGTACACCTGCTGGCCTGCAACAACAGAAATCCCTTCCACTGAACCCAACCCTACAACTCCACCTCCCCCTTTTGCTCCTCCTCCTCCTCCTCCTCCTCCTCCTCGTCCTCCTTCTGGTGCAATGACCTCCCCTCTCCTCCCCTCCAACCTCTGACCTCCCAGCTGGCCATTTAGGTTGACCTTGGGTACGGCACCACTGGCCCTCACCCTGTCCCATTCTGCCAGCGCAGTGGCTGGCTCCTGTGGCGCCTCCTCCTCCTCAACCTCCCCTTCCTCCTCCTCCTCCTCCTCCTCCTCTTCCAGCTCCATGATGGAGCCACTGGCCCCACTGGCACCGCTGCTCGGGCGACCCCAGCTGCAGGGAAGGGAGAGCGTGGCGCCCTCCGAGTCGTCGGCGCGACTGCTGCCCTCTAGCGAGTAGTCCTCCACCGTGACCAACGAGGGGCTGACCCCCGCCGGCCACACCTGAACCTCCGACATCTCCATTAACGTGTCTTCCTCGGTGGTGGCGATGGGGGCGCACTCGAGGCTGGACACTTCCTGCCAGTAGGGCTCTGAGCCCAGCGGGGAGGGCAAGCTGTACTGCATGGAGGCCGGGGACAGCAGCTCCTCCTGCACCAGCCCATAACCTGAGGGAAGACAGGGGCGAGACAAGAGAAAGACTAACACCACGCGGGCACAGCCGTGGGCGGAGGATGGGGAGGTGGTGGAGCGACTGTTTCGCCAAAACATGAGGAAACAGTGGGGGGGCTCAGCTCTGTCCCAATATACCAACAAAGAGTCTTAAAAGCCTCGATAAAGTCAAAAATGTAGGATTGAGAGATCCTTCAATCTCTTTCAATCAGTATGAAAAGAGAATAGTTTATAATCGGGTTGAAAAGGAAGTGCGCAAGAACAACACTCTTGAAATTTGATACCTCAACTAATGGTAATTTGACTGATTGCTGTTCTTGGATTGGATTCAAGCACTTTTAGGTCATTGTCATTGGGACACAGCGATGAGAGTGAAGTGAGGGGCAAAAAACAGGGTTTTGGTGTAACGCCCGCTCTCAGTGAGGTGAATTAGTTTGAGGCTCCAGTGTGCTGCCGTCTAAGACAGTGAATCTGCAGAACCTAAACTGTGCTCCTTGAGGAGTGATGAAAGGGGGTAATTAATTCTAAAGCCAGCATATTGATTTTAGGGTTGGCACTAAATAAATGGATCATTAGTAACAGGCGAGAAAAGGGTTCCAATTGGATTCAAGTATCCTGATTGGAGGCGTTAAGAAGCTGATGAGCAAACTTGCCGTTGCATTTACATACAGCCAATGATGAAATTACAACTGTTAATATCTGACCATCATATTTGATGCGTTTGGGAAAATTACAAAAAGACTGTTTAAATGTTCTTCTCTCGATGTCTGATAGTGTCGACTAGCAGAGCGCGGGTGCGGCACATTTTCAGGAATGGAAACAATTTTCCCGACAGCTGATTAGATTGGGTTGTTTTTCTAAAACATCCCAACGGCTGTGATACACAAAGCAAAGTGATTAATCGTCTGTCTTAGCGTTCCAACCCCGGACAACATGTTTCAGATTGGGATTCAGCAGCAACGTGCTAGTTCTGCAGATGAAACTGCAAGTTGCTCTTGGAATCATCACAGTCATGCATCTGCTGAATGTTTCTGCATCCCAGGCATCCAAATAAAAGGTCATTGCACACGCACATACTCACACATACACACGCATACGTGCACGCACACTAGACAGAACTATTATGCTCGAGGAGAAGTTTTTGTGTACCTGATGGTGCCTGTGAAGGCAGATTAGAGTCTACATTGCACCATGTGCTTCTTTGTGTTATCATGTGGGCACACTGACATTATTTCTTTGTTCTACTTTGGAATATTAAAAATATATTTATAAAAATAACACTTCTAAAATACACACATTATATTTTAATTTAATGTAGTAAAATATAATAATGTGATTCACATTCAGTATAAAAACAGGTTGGTTATCCAAGTTTAAGAATGAAGTATTCTGTTATTTAGTCTGAATATCAATCATTTTTAAGATGCATTTGGTTTTTCGACAGCTGTTTTCATTCATTATTTATTATGTTTAACACGTTTTACATTAAAACATGGTTAATTGCCTAACTATTTTAGTACAGTTTTAGTACATGACCTGTTTGGATTTTGGATTGCCTAATTCCCCGCAGTCAAGTGTTTTTGTGATGAATAAAATGGATGAACTAAGGTGAAATTGAACAATAAAGGAGGACTTTACCCAATATCAAGGTTGCGTTCCCACTCTTCTGTTTCAGAGTCCTAAACCAGTTTTTAAATCATTCTAAACCAGTTTCTAAATCATCCTAAACCAGTTTCTAAATCATTCTAAACCCTTTGAGAAGCACCAAGTCCTGAGGTCACTCTGTTTATACAGTTGACAGGTAAAAGCCACAACAATTTGTAAAGATAGTAATTATAATACTATAGTAATCAAATAGGATTTGATTATGGTCGTGAAAGGATATGATTAAAACTATTTAATCAATAATGCAAAAAAATGTCTACAATTAGATATATCAGTACATTTATTGCATGAAAACTACTGTAATGGTTAGCTTTGGAAACAAGGGGTTTTCCAAAAAACCAAACAGTGGAATGAACATCAAATATGTCATTAACGTCCAGCTATGAAGAAAAAATGATGAACCAATGTGCTAAATTCTATCTCACCTGGCCTGCCAACACGTGCATATTGTATTCAGAGATTTCAAATGCTTCCAGTTCAAATGAATCCTTGCAGATAAGCTTCCCCACTACCTGTTCCCCCTTAGTGACAATCTCACAGCAGGTCCAATTGTTGAAATAGGACTACGTGGCTCAAAACTAATCCATGAAAACTAATCTCTGAGCAGTAAAAACGTCTGTGATAATGAGTGAAATACCTCTTTACTATGCAAGTAATCATGTTTCACAGTTTCTGTTCTGATGGACTAAAATGGTAAAGTAAACATATGTGTGTGTGTGTGTTTGTGTGGTGTCTTTCTGGGATGGAACAGGGCCAGGATGATGAGATGTGTGTCGGAATGAGTTGAACGCGGTGGGTGGGGGGGGGGTTTAGAATGACAGTTAGAATGAGTTAGATGATACCGGTTTAGCCTTTCCCTTCACTCCTGCCATTTAGAGACAAAGATGCGCACAGGTGTCAAAAGCACGGGATGAAGTGAAGCACAATAAGCTCGTCAAGTCACAAGAAAACAAACCAAAAACAACACACTGCAACACCACGCCTCTTGATTAGCACTGCACACACACAATACTCCAAATAACATATAAATGGGCTCACGAACGTTTCCTTCAGAACCTCAAAATATACACATACACAAACAAACCTCACAGCAACATCCTGCTGGCAGACAACGTTCAGACAATGTTGACAGTGAGGCGTCGTCAGACTTGGGCAAAACAGGACGAGTTGCGAGGGGGAGGATGTTGGAGAGGGATTTCTACTTCTAGTAGAGTTATAGTTCTAGTCTGAGCAGGGTTCTAGTTCGGGTCTTAGCATAGTTCTAGTTTTCTTGGAGTACCACTTAAATTAAAGTCCTATTTAGCAAATATGTACAGTGTCTTACACTTACAATTTGCCCAGGAATGAAAGACATGTCACAGCAACATTCTAGATTGAACATTGCTTACTGCACAGCTGATCATGTGTTACAGTGTAGCATTAAACATCACACTCTAATTTACAGGTAAAGAGAAAATAATGCATTTGTTTGTAAATATTACATTAAAAAACACATTGAAATACACCCATTGGACAGGGAAAACATTTTTACACTGGGAAGAAAACTTACATCGAAAGCATGCCATGCACACAACGAGGTCAGAATATACAGCAACAAACAGCAAACTTTATTATTTTCAGGAATACTCGAACTCACAAGTCACAGAACACACAAAAAACGTAGACATGGGTAAAAATATATATTATGTAACTAGAACTGAAACAATTGACTTTAATTTTGTTGCCTTTCTTTGACTGCTAACAAATTCAGCTCCTTAACACACACACACACACACACACACACACACACACACACACACACACACACACACTGTAACAGCAAAGCATGCAGCATGCACATGCACAAACTGTGGTTCACACACAGAGCTGGATTGAGAGAGAGGGGGGAGGGTCCCCGCTCGACTGAACGAGGGAGGAGTGCGGGACAACAAGATGATAAGAGAAGGAGGAGGCCCAGAGGTCAACATGAGGTCATTTATGAGGTCAGAGGTCGGACAGGAAGAGCTGTGAGGAAGAAGAGCAAGAAAGGGGAGGAGCAGGAGGAGGAAGAGGGAGGCTGGGCATCAGATATGACATGTCACAGGTAGAAAGACTGAAAGGAGGAGGGAGAGAGATATGCCTGAGCAAAAGACACAATTCTGAGCCTGCTGTCAATCAAGCTCGTCAGAAGTGAAATTCTGTTTTGTTCTCAGGGAAAGAACGAGATAGACAGACAGAAATAGAGAGTGAAGGACAGAAACAAGGTATGATGGCCCAGAGCACCCTAGCATCTGTGTTATAGCACCACCTCTGAGCAGTGCGTCCATCCCATAGACACACTCACACTGGCACACACGTAATTTAAACAATCTCAAATATCCACAATTGATATTCAGAAACTTCCCATGTGTTGTGTGTCGGCTCGTTATGCCTCGAGTTAATGTCTTTTCTAAATATCCGTCGGTTGGAGCAAAAGGGAGCTATCCTCGTTTCTCATTTTAAGCAGGACGAATAAGTACGGTCGTGTTTAAGAAAAAAATAAAGAGAAATGACTTGTGCCCCAGTGAGGGAAAAGGCACAGAGGCGGTGTTAGTGCATGCTGCAAAAAGCTGCGATCATGGTGGGAGAATGACACCACTGCTCGGATCACCTGAGGTTCATTTTCAATCTCAATCGTCATCATGTACAGTGCACGTCATGAGCAAGCCACCATGCAGCCCGAGTTCCCTTCAACTTACCCCTCCTGAAAAACGGGGGTCTAATAACTTGAGGCTTGTGCATAAGGCGCGGTGGCCTTTTGTCCGTGACCTCTTGTGGAACAACAGAAACAAGGTAAAATGGCTGTTACCCAAACTCAAAAGAAGCAGTACATGAGAACAACAGCTCCCCTTACTGAGCTGGAGAATTCTGTTTTTATTTGCGCTGACTATGATCAATATATTAAAGTACATTAATCCTGGACGCAAAATTATGAATTAAGGATAGAATCAGTTATTTTCAGTCAATATTATATGTGTTTTTCTTGTAATATTCAGTAGTTTTGTCATGAATTCCTATTTCCTATATTCCCTATAAATACTTAATATATTTGTGTGTATGTTACTGCAAATATTACTACATACTCCAAATAGAGAAAATTCTATTTAAGAAGGAAATTATTTTAAATTCCTTGAATTTCTCAATAATTCAATTCAGCATTGGATAATCAAACAGGCTGAACATCAGTCCCTTCCATACTAATTTCATTGTATTAACTGTAACTTTATTAACAATAATAACGTTAATTAATAATAATATTGAACCATTTGCTTTTGAGCTGAGCACAATTTTGCAGTTTAAATGTGGTGAGCTAATTCGCTGTTCACACAGTACACCGCTTTGAACATCGTGTCTCTTCTGCGACGTTTGACGCGCTTGTGCCTCTTACCATTGAGGACACTGGGGGACAGCAGGGTGGAGTCGCGGTCGCCGAGTCGACAGGCCCCCTCCTCTAAAAAGCCGGGCGCTGCCTGCGGAACCTGACCCTCCAGAGATGTTACGATGTCCGCTCGGTCGATGTTCTTCAGAGCCGCGTACAGGCTCTCCACTGGGAGGGGAACACACGGACAGATAAAGAAAGCAGGAAGTATTGAAGTAGCAGCAAACCTGGAGGTATGCACCGGTGTGGGACTTACTCTTGGCCCTTTTGCCTTCTCTGCTGGCCCACAGGTTGAGTAGGGCCGAGCTCTGCTCCAGCAGGGAGTTTGGGTTCTCCACACGAATCCTGTTGATGTCGTCCACACCGAACTGAAGCTCACGTGCCAACTCTGCAGCAGGAGCCGTTCAAGTAGATAAAAAGGGAATGAGCACAAAAAAACGACCCACGCGGTATATACATATATATATCCATATATATATATGGATATATATATATATATATATACATATATATATCCATATATATATATGGATATATATATATATCCATATATATATATATATATACATATGTATATATATCCATATATATATGGATGGATGGATCCATATATATACATATATATATATATACATACATACATATATATGTATGTATATATATATATATATACATACATATACATATATATATATATAGGAGGCTCCTTTGATCTTATGAAGGACTGACCTGCCCAGCTCAAACCCAGCTGTTCAGATATGATGTTGATCTTGAGCTCGGTCCTCTGCATGGCGTTCACTGTGGCTAAGGTGAAGAAAAGAAACAGCCACAGCAGAAATCAGCTGCCGTGCCAGAGCCAGCAAGGCGAATACATTAACAGAACTCTCCCCGGCAACTGTATCCTCGACATTAATTTAAACACAAGTCACAATTTATTTGGAAAATCCAACTGTTATCTAAAAAACAATATGTACAATTTTGGGCTCAGTAGAAAGATTATATAAATTTTAGATAATCCGAATGTGTTATTAACAAAATAGCTACTATTTGATTCTTTTTTTCCCTTTCGGTTTGAATACATCTGTACCCTAAAAGACTCGACAATGACTTCAGTTGCTTTCAGAATTTTTAATAGCAATACTTACCTTGACAAAGCATAGCTCTGTTGGAGGAAATAAGCAATACCCTCACCATTGTTTTATGTCCAAATAGCCTTGATCTGGGCTGGGGAAGTTAGAATTTGGGGTTCATTCAGGTGCTCGTCCCACCAAAGAGGCATTCAGTAACTATTACAAAGGGACCGAGGTGCAATGTAGCAGCGCTGTGTGATAGACAGAAAAGGCCTTTCTTCCTCCACCCTCAGCCCGCCCATCAGCAAAGTTTAAACCAACCAGAACAGCCGTTTTAGTTCATTTACCCCAGGCCAATCAATTGGAGGGCTCCTCTGTCTAGTTCCACTGCGAGGTCCTAGCCCATTCCCAGTGTTAAGCTACATTGCTAACGCTAACAGTTTCTGCGGACATCCCATTGGAAATCGCAGTGGAGACACTAGCGCCATGCAGACCAATCACAGAAGTCATTCAACCGTTGTCGTAGCTACCAGGACACTCGACACTTAGGAAAGACTATTTGCCATGTGCCATGGTGCCATTTTGGGTGGTTTTGGAGGGGGGGGGGCTCATCTTTTGAATAGGAATTCTTCTGACTGCACTGCAAGGAACTCTGGGGGCAAACTGTAGGGCAATGCAATGCATCCAAGGCTCGGGCTTTGGGCCATGCGTGCACGCGAGACTGATGGGGAAGAAATAGAGAGGGCAGAGTGGGAAGCGAAGGGTCGTGGGTAAAAGGGGGGGGTGCAACATTCGGTGGCCGTCTCCGTGTTTGCACATCGGGAGACGGCTGGCGGTCAGGCAGTGAAGGACTCACCCACACCCGGCTCGTTCAGGGCACTGTAGCGCTCCCTCAGGGCGAGGGGGGTTAAGGTCCGCCGGCGCTCCTCACTTCCAGCAACCTTAAAAAACAAGGGTAGAGTTATGTTATGCTTATTGTCGGAAGTGACTTTTGAACCTTTTGCCGCCCACTGTTTGGCCCGCAGGACGTGAGCGCCACGAAGGGCTTTGAACGATTTGCTGATTAAGTGAAAAGTTACACGAATGAGATCCAATAGACTCAATAGATTGGATTTTCATCACTTTGGTCAATGTGGTTGTTGTGAAACGTAGTTTCAGTGACCACCCCAATGACGGGAGGTGTTAAATGGGAAAGCAGTGCCGCATACTGTTTAGCTGTCAATATCTCTTGATTTGCATTTATACCGGTGAAATGTACTGTATATATGCATAAAAAACGTCCTTTCAGTTCATTCAAAACCATAGATGTATACATGGGAAATGAACTTGCATTAATGTAGCACCTATGCAGTCTACTGATGATTTAAAGCTCCCATTCACACACCCATTTCTACACTATACACGGACCCTTAATCCCAAACCCAATCCCATCTGAGGCAAACGCATTACCTTGACACATGGGGGCATGGTAATGTTTAGGTTACACAGGACGTGCTGAGTCTCCTCGTACTTGGTGCACTTCCGCAGAAAGGACAAAAATCCAGCGGCCTCCTTGTTACTGTCCCTGACCTGGCAGAGAGAAATGATCGACAGAGAAGATAAAAGAGAAAAGAGGGAGGACGTGCACAGAGAAAATGGAGGGAAAAGAGAACATTGTGATGAGGAAATAAGCAAGGAGAGATGGAGCATGAAGGGGAATGAGAGAAAGAGTGAAAGCAGTGGACAAGGGTGAATGGGAGAATGATAGAGATAAAAAGAGAGGAGGAGGAGGACAAAAAAAACAGATCAGAACGGGTATTAGATCCCTCCACAGAGCCCGGAGCAGGTGGCGAAGTAACATGGGACGAGAAGCGGGGGGAAACAGGGATGGAAGCAGTCCACAGGCAGGCGAGAGGGAGAGATTTACCTGCACATTTTACCTGGACGTCTGTCAGACCAGACAGTTACAGAGTGACCGTGAGAGAGAGAAAGAGAGACAGTGAGACAGACACGTACAGACAGGCAAGGCCGCAAGAAAGGAAGGCAAGCAAAGAAAGTGAGGGAGTCACAGGACATGCAAACAATTACCGAAGAGAGTAGACAGGTAGATAGATAGGTAAGTTGTCTGTTTTTGTTGGCTACACAATAATTTAAAAAAGTATTTATAAAAAGTAGTGGCTGATACTGAACAGCAGTGTGTTAAACGTGGAGACACTGATAGACGAATAGATCAAATGAAAAAAAATAATCAACACTAAAGAATAACATGAATCTGATAATACACATGAAAAGACAGACATGAAAAAGCACACAGCATGAAAACAGACAAAGTTACCTGTGAAAGAGAGGGGGGTTTATACAACGGCAACAAAACACAGAAGGTAACAAAAAGGAAATAAAGTTGCACAGAAGAAAGACTACTTTTACAGCGAGGCGTCTGAAATCAAACTTAAAAAACAACGTACCGATACATATTAAGGAGGTGTTTATTATACACGTTCCATTGGAATAGAAGAAGGACCACAAAAACCACGAAGATGTGAACTTGTCAGAAAGAATGCCTGAACAATACAACATCCACGAGGAAGAATGAGCTGACTGACAAACACACACAGATCCACAAATATCCCCATATGTTCAAAATTATCAAAAAATCTTCATGTGGCACGTTTATCCTGTGTAATTAAGTTCCCATGTTATCTTAAACTGAAGAGTAGACTAAATAAATAAAAAAACTGCCTGCTTGACAGTAAAAAGCAAAACAGGTTGTTTGGGTGGGTGATCATCAAGAGGGAAACTGACTAACTGGCTGAGAGGCTCCGTGGAACGCTGAATCCAACAGCGGGAAACGAACGAAACCACAGTACCGTGTGAACGCGCAGCGAGTGAGACGAAAAGCAGCCGTGTGAACAGTCAGGAAGAGACAGACCTTGACAGAGACGGGCAGCCGGTTGTCTCTGAAGGCCTGGAAGCTGAAGCTGCGAGGCTGCTGGGTGGCCTTCCTGATGGGCACGAGGTTCCCCGAACACTCGAGGTGCAGCGGCATGCCCTCCATCAGCTGTGGAAACAAAATGTCAAAGGTCAGAAAGGACAGAGACGAAGGGATTGATTGTTTTTGTCATTTTCTGAGAGTAAATCAATTTCCAATATTTTCGGATTCCAGCCTCGAAAATGAGATGACTTCCTGCTGTTCTTTGTCAAACAACCACAATGTGGATTGATATCGGAGGACACAAACTTCTCTTCCTCCAGCGCAGGAATCTACTTTCAGGATTTGAGGGAGCAAAGCATTTTTTTTTCATCATGTAAAGACAAATAACTGCTATAGTAAAGTGCCTCTGTCACCATCCTACTTTGTTAGACCTAAATATGCCTACAGGTTTGCATCTAGCTTTAAGCTTTTTGGTGTCTAAAAGATGCCATTCGTGCTGTGAAATATTGAAGTTTGACTAAATTAGGGATTTTTGAATAAACTATGACTTAACCATGAATGAATTTGAATTATTTGCATCGTTAGCACACATCTATATAAAACACATCATGCTACAGGAACTATGTTTCAGGTTTCCTTTTTTGCACCTTGGCCATGTGTCTTATTGCCACTGTGCTGACCTCAATGTCTCGACTGCGGGCCACTTCGCTGAAGTTTTCATGCAGCTCCAGTGTTTTGTCCATCTTGTCATCCGTCATGCAGTAACAACGCAAGCGTCCCTCTCGTGCTTCATTCATCTTAGCAAAAATAACAAACTTGGCCATGTACGGAACGGCCATCAGCTCCCTGTACAGCAAATTGGCAAAGGTCACGGCCTCCGCCGTGCGCGGGCAGTCTGCAAGCCAGAATCTGGGTGAGGCGGGAGAGGAGGAAGAGGTCAGGGAACGCGAGCTAACCGACAACGCGTTTGCTGTAACTGCTGCCTATTGGGGCTCACCTCGCAGAAACATTGGTGGTAAAGTTGGCGCAGCTGTGGGCGTACATGAGCTTGGTGGTGCCGGTGATGTCCTCCCACTGAGCCGGCGCCGTGCCACCTGAGACGAAAAACAACCCCCCCGCCGTGTCATTCATGCCCCCTTAGCACAGGTAACAGATGCCCACGCGCAGCCTTTTGCAGAAGCGAAATCCTACCGATGACACTGCAGAGGAGGCGCAAGCTGGTGGTGTCCCCCTCGCCGGCGTCCCGGGGGCTCTCCCGCCAGGACGGCGGCAAAGGGATGCGCAGGCCGATTGGCCGGTGGAATTTGCGGCGCCGCGGCTCGATGGTGACCACGGGGCTGAAGGTCGCCTGGTTACCGAGGTGCCGGGTCAGCATTTCATCGGGGATTGGCTGCGCCTGCGGAGGACACGGTGGGGTTAAAAGTTTATTGAAAAGCAGCGTGCCAGAAAAAGGACGGTTTAAAGGATGAGGAGCAGAAGGGGGGGAAGGTGAATAAAGAAAGATCAACTCAAGCACAATGTACCGTCTGCGTTAAGTACACGTGATCCAAACGGATAGGAAATAGGCAGGAGATTTAAATAAGGGGTATAACAAAAAAAACATGTGTGATAGACTGAAACATCAAACTCACAGCCATACTCACACATGCAACCAATTCATATTTCACACCTGACCCAACTCAGATCAGTGCATCAGCTCGCTCAGTGTGGCTCACTATTTAAATCAGGCAACTGAAGAGTGATGAATGGCTGAATGAAAGGAAAACACAAACAGAGCAGCATCAGGCAAAACTCATGCAGCTTCCTTAAAGAACATCAGTGCAGTGACAAATCAGTGCATTGAAATGTAAACAATGCATGCCGAAGTGAGCGAAATAACTGAAATGTAGAGCGAAGAACAAAACCAAGCGGAGGTTTTTGACAAGAAAGGTTCATAATGATATGGCAGGCTGACAAGTCCCTCAGGTCTATTTTCTCATTCCCTGTTCAATAATAAAACGTTGTTTGTTGTTGATCGGGTCATTAAATGAAATGATTGAAACATTTAAGAACAAGATTACGGGGTTTATTCCTAGATATCACCTAAATTTCACAAGAACAAGGTTAATGTTCCACAACATGAAGAACCTTAATGGTGTTTTTAAATATTTTGGTCATCTTCTACAGCTGTGTATATTTTCTAGCACTGTTGACAAGTTCAAGATGTTTTGTAGCAAAAAGAACTTCAACTTCAGCATACAAAATGTGTCAAACCAAACGAAACACACACTAAAACGTCGCAGCTGGCAGCCGATTCCTAATTCAAACATCTGTTCTCAGAGCACCAGATTTTCTTCGCACCACAAGCAAAATAACAAACACCGGCACAATAACGAAGGATGTGAAGGGTCTGTCACGTCTCTGCTCCTCATCGTTCCAGCTCGCGCGGGACCCTCCGCGTTTCCTCTCCTCACCTGCAGCCCCAGTCTCACTCTCTTGGTGACGGCCGTCTCGGGGAAGATGGCCTCGACGCGCGGCACCAGCTGGCTGGTCAAGCGGCCGCCCTCCGGGCCGATCAGCTCGCTCTCCTGCTGGATACGGGAGACCACGGCGAAGTAGAGGGGGAAGTCGGTGGAGATGATCCGACGGATTCTCTTCTTCTCCAGCTCGTCGTGGCTCTCCAAGTCTGACGGGGAGAACGATGAAGGGAAGAGGGCAACAACATGCGGATGAAAAAGGTATCCGCCGTTTCTTCTGTAACACCAGTGTCATACGTCAATATTTAAGGTCTCACCGGCCTTTAATTCCCATCACACTGACCTTCATCCATGCCATTCAGAATCGTTTCCAGCACTTCGTCACCATAGCGATTGCGATGTTCCTTCCAGACGGCACCATTTTCGCTGCGAAGGACCACAAGCTCTCGGTCCCCTCGGCCCAGTGAGGCAAAGTGGGGGATCTCTACTATTACTGGCCTGTGAAATGAGAAGGAAAAAAAACATGCATAACGTCTAGTTTTTAAGTCTCAGGCTTCTCTTTTCAACACAGAATAAAATTCAATACAAATTTGGTTTGTGATGAAACAATTGTATATCTTTTGCAACCTTATGAGAAAAAACAATAATATCCATTTTGTTCTGTTCAACATTTTCTCTATGTTTATACCATCATTTATTATTAACCTTACTTGTAGTTTATGTTTTCAGTTGAAATATTTATTGAATAAATAAAAAATATATTAATATATTAATTTTTTTTAAATATAATTTACATTTCATTCCTTTCATTGAATTATACCCACAAAAACAAATGCACATATGGGCTGACGCACAAAATTTTGTTCATTAAGGCCGTAAAGATGGCCGGATACAGTGAATATAACATACGTGAGTACAAAGTTAACTTACCCAAGGAACTGCATGCTGGATGGCCCCAGGGAGATGATTCGGCTAGCGAGCCCCTCCCCTTCCACCAGCGGAGGGGGCGTGGTTAGTTTCTGAGGTTTGACCAGGCGGCAGGTGATGCGCGTCGGCGCCGTGCAGGTTCGCGGCGGAATGATGACTCGCAGGCCGTGGTGTCTGCTGCCTCGCATGGAGCCTCCTCGAGCGTCGACCATGAAACTCACCAGGAAGCTGATACGATAACGAAATGGGACGGCTCAGATGATTCAGCTTCATCTTATTTTGATCAGGCCACTATGTGCAGCAAGAATGGCTAAAAGACACTTTGAAAGTGCCCCATTTTGCTTTAAACGGGCGGCTTCGTACAGAGGTGTGTGTATGTGGGGATTTAACTTTTATCTTTCTCCCTTTAACCAACTTCATTTTCTGTTTTATATACTGTGACTTATTGTGCCGTGCATGAATCACAAGTAAGCAGACCTAAATAACAGATGAAATAGTCACGATTAGTTTACAGTATAAATTCTAGCCTCAATTTGATGAACAACAGTGATACATCTGTGATTATGTTGGCATTTGCTTGCACGGCAGGGAAGTGGGTCGGCGGGTGGAGAATCCGTGGTTCAGACTTGGCATTCATTGATGTTTTCATACTGCGTATGTCACAAAATCAGCAATGATGAGCGTGAAGCCTTCTCAGTTGGGAGTTTGTGGATACTCCTGTTACAAATCGCTGGTTTGTCAATTCTGTTATTAATTATAATGTAATAAAAACACTTCAGGGTTACCTAATGGGCCAATGGGACCCCTGCCTCTCACATGCAACACAACCAGATTTTAAATTCTGAGTAACCTTATTTTCCCCATTCATGTCATTTTCACTTTCCCTGCATGCATTCTGTACCTTAATATTATTATTATTATTGTTATACAATATGTATTATTGGCTGACCCGGTGTGAATAGGGCTGGCCACGGGGCTGACGTTGTCTGAAGTCTCCGTGGCCGGGCTGCTCGGGATGAGAGAGTCGTCATCGTACTCCTTGGGCAGGGGGACAGGGGTGTGCTGAGGTCAAAGAGGGGGGGCGCACGGGGAGGCAGTGGAAAAGAAAATTGAGAGGCAGTTAAATAACCATGACTGAAAATATTACTGCGGAGAAAAGCTTGAGCGACAGACAGAGAAAAGAGAGAGAGGAGAAGGGGATGGAGACAAATTACAGCACAATGAGGTTCGGGAGAAAACAGAGAGGCTGATGGACAGAAATAGGAAGTGAGGAAACAAGAAAAAGAGACCAAACTAAAGGAAGAGCTATAAATACATGTCAGGATACTTTGGAAGTTTCACAAATAAAAATCCGTCTTCAGTTGGATAAAGAAACAAATCCTGACAAAATGAGATGCATCTTCAAAACATCACAAAATAAGCCTACCTGATCCAGCAGTACAGTCTCCGGGGACACACAAGGGATCCTGGGAATAGCAGGAGAATAAGGCCTGAAGGAGAGGAAATGGCAATAGTTTAAGACAAGAAACCGCTGACTGATAATTTCATCTCCTTCTTGTCTCACACTTGTGTAACAAATTGCTGTAAATTTACGGTGCACGGTATCTTACAGTATGTCATAATAACTGTAACATACAGTTAAATTTCCATCCCTTGCTTGTAAATTAACGGCCAATGTCATGAATAAACAGTTGAAGCTGTCAATTTACAATAATAGCAGAATACCGTAATTCAACTGCATGTTACATATATTTTATGAAGTGGTGGAAATACAAGTGCAGTGAATCACAATCCATCTACATCTGTTGTAGGTTAATGTATGGAAGCCCATGTCAGCCACTGAAAAACAGGTACTGTAAGTCATCATAATGAGATAGTATCTCATGAGATACGATGCCGACTTTGACTTACAGGACATTACTATACATGCAGCTGTCACTTTTATCCAAAACGCCCAATGGTTTGAGATAATTTATGTGGAGTAATTGGAGGTTAGGTGTCTTGCTCAGGGAGACTTCGACTTGGCACAGAGAGCAGCCAGGATTCGAACCGCCGACCTTATGCTGCACAGCACACCCTCCCTATCCCATGAGCCACCTTCGCTGTCATTTCACTAGCCGGAATGTACAGATTATAAATATTTTTTTATTATTCAAAGTGTTCATTGCCTAAAAGTCATTTGAGTGTTAATCGTGACCGACTGCTCCTGAACGTGACGTCAGACGCGTAGTCTCAGTTCATCCAGAACACCTTTGCAGTTCAACATCGGAGGAGTTTCTCATTGCCTCGTCTCTCCAAGTAACGTTGATAAGTGTTATTTACCTAACATGATTAACATTCTCTTTCCTTACATCTTGTTGTCTTCCTCATCTTTGTAATTTTAATATTTTACAAATGACAGTGTTTCTAAATTTTATTTTGGTTTGTTTTATAGAGGCACTGGATTAAGGACGCCAGCCGTTTGCTGCGGTCAATTGAAAGTGTTCCATAGCGTATTGTTGCAGTTAGTTTACCTTCTTCCTAATAATTTTTTTATTATTGTATACATGCGGCATATTTTATGTTTTGTTCTTGGTTACAAATGCCTAACATTTTTGTCTTAAAGGCATCTAATAAACTCCAATCACCATGACCGAAATGAGTTTGGTTGTCTTTCTTTAATTTGTAGGGAATTAAATCCAAAGGAAAAGGTTATAAGTAAACAGTAACACTCTGGTATTTATAACACAAAAACAGTAATACTATGGTAATTCAAAATACGGCAACATACTGTATATTACGGTAGGGCACTGTAAATAAAACAGTAAGCTACTAGCGTCGACTGCCAGTAAATTGCAGTTAATTCACAGTAAAATTGGTTCAAGTTTACGGTAACATACAGTAATCCATTTTACGGTAACATAGTGTAAAAACCATTTACGGTATTACACTGTGAAATAACGGTAAATTCCTGGCTTCCTTGCTGCCTGTAAAATACCGTTAATTTACGGTGAAATTTTTTAGAGTGCAGAGACACTGTGTAGGAACTATGCCGGCCACTCATTGCCATGTTAAGTACCCCCAAAACTTTTCGCAGGGCAACACAAATGCAGAAAAGCGAGTAAACAATGACTCACGTGGTACCCAGGCCTCCCTCAAAGTCTCTAAGGGATTTCTTTGGAGAGAGGAAGTCATCGTCCTGGTCCTTGAAGTCATCCAGCTTCAAATACCGTGCTCCATCCATCCCAAGCAACTCGTCCCCTGTGGACAGAGCGAAGTGGTGAGAAAGGGAGGGGGGGCATCAGAGAGGGAACAACACAAACGGGCAAACAAGAGGTTGAACATAAAGAATAAATGAGAGAAAAGAACGAGACCGGGGGAATACACTGCAAAATGACTCTGATCTTAGTTCTTCCACTCAGTCATAACATGTCTTAAACCGTGAAAGGAATCGGACAATGGAATTCCCCTTTTTAACTTTAAAAAAACAATTGAATGAGTATCTTGTTACTGTGGTTTGCTTCTCCAAATCAAAATAACGTCACTGGATTTGATTCCCAGTAGGCTTAAGCAGTCGTTGAGGTAGTGGTGGCTGTACCCCCATCCGTCCCATCCTTTCACCTTCACCAGAACCACACAAAAGAACAACCACCAACCTCAAATACCGTCGTCTGAGCAATGGAGTTAAACCAACAACAACCAGAGCAAATGGAAAAACATAAGTGAAATAAGAGGATTGGAAGTGACTTTGAACACAGCTCAACACACTGCACGGACGGCACACTGCAAGGCACCTGGTGAGCTTTTTTTTTAGTGAGCATGCCCATTACAGATGAAATCACATGTGGTGATGGTTGTTTCTGTGTAGGAGAAAAGGCCTCAATTATTAAAAGGATGAATGATATTGAAATAATAGTTATAAGAACAATATGAGACCATAAACCACTTCACAAAACAGAAGTTGTTCACAGACATTTAAACATCAGTACAAGCTTTACAGGTACACAAAAACTGTTAAAACAACAAGGAAACCAACAATAGACTTGAAATGAAACAAATAGCTTGATTCTGAATTTCTTCACAACAGAAAAACGACCTGCATGGGCAGCAAATGTGCGCGTGGAGCGCCACAGCTTGGAGACGCCGTGCGTGTAATTTAGCTTGTTTATCAATTAGCCCGTAAAAGGTGGGAGCGCTCATTTCCATAACGGCTCGAGTGGAAGGGAGCGCTCGTTTTTTTCAGAGATACTGGAGTTCTGTCATTAACGAGTCCACCGACAGATGCGCCTTGAACGCTGGTAAGAAATGTTGTGACTACATGCTGATGACAAACTGACACATTTTCTTTCATAAATCTCTGATCAAGAGGGAGAGGATAAAGATAGAGAAGATAAAGCAGAGCAAACTGGGCTGGAGTTGAGAGCAGAGTCAGAGAAACTGATAAAAAAAAAAGACAATTTGTGAAACAAAGAGAAAATGGGAACTGCAATGAAGGCACAAGTTCACTAGGCACCGGACCGGACAAGCCAGAGACACAGACACAATCCTACCTAAAGTGAGCTGGGTAACCCCTACAAAAGCAGACGGAGAAGTGGGTTACAAACAGTCCACAGACATGTTCAAATTCATGGCGGTACTTTAATGTGGCAGTCAGTCGTCTCCTACCAAACACAGCGAATCAGCGCTGAAAATGAAAAATCAAAGCTGCACTCTGTTGAAGAAGCAATTAAATCGGACGGCCTACCTTCGTCCTCCGAAACATCCAAAATCTCATCCACCGTCTCCGGGAAGCTCATCCGGTGCTTCTCTGTGGTGATCTGTGTGGAGAGAGCAGAAGGGAGGTTGTGAGACAGAGAGAGATGTGACAGGGGCCGAGGAGGGAGTGAGATAAGAATAGAAGGACAATTTAGAACTATTTATAAGAGGGTGAGGGAGATAAACCTGATCAAGACAAAGACCACTGTACGATTGAACATCTGAGTCATGGTGTGTGTGTGTCAGGGATTCCGCTTCTGGCGTAACCATGTAACCCATGCGTGGTTTGCCGCTCACCGCGGAGACGGACTCCTCGGTAACAAGTTTGAGAACGTCGATGACAGAGATGTAACCCAGACGCTTAGCGATACCCAGCGGAGACGTCCCGTTCTGGACAGAGAAAGACGGGGGAACGTTAAGCAAAGTGTTTTCTATACATTTTTAAATGAAGCAAATTTCCTTCTTTAATGGAAAGTCCTTCTGTTAGTTACAGCTGTTATTTCTCACAGATAATTCCATAATGATCTTAACCTCATAATAGTATAACGTTAAATCAAAATGCTAATAATACAAATTGTAGGCGTTGTGTGGATACATTGTTTATTTTAAAATGTATCTGTCACACATTTGACCAAATGCTAGTTTATTCTCATCTTACCTGCACGTTATCTAACTCTCCTGTCATTTCAGATCCTCTCACATCGTCAGCTCATTACCTTCCCCTGGTTCTCCCCCCTTTGCCCTCCTCACCAACAGCGCATCCCCTCATCAGCCACTCACCATCTAAGCACGTCACATTCTGTTGCTCGCTGCCAGATTGTCTTGTGTGTTTTGCCAAGTTTTTCCAGCGGTTTCCTCAGTCAGCGGTCAGAGTTACGTCTGTTCTGACCTCGCCTGCCTTTCCACCCCGGATTCCCTGCCTGCCCCTCAGGATTTGTTCGCCTGCTGACGGATCTCCCGGTTTTGACTTTGTCTGAACTGTTGATTAAATCTGCCTGTCCTTTCCACTGTTGTCTGAGTCGTGCTTTTGGGTTCCATCGTGTACCGGTACCAGGAACCGTTACAGTATCAACTTTTCTTTGAAGGAAATAATAAACGGATGTCTACAAACAGATGAATAAAAAACTGGTCTTTTATCAACAGGAGAAAATAATACAAATTGGGGATGTAAAGTAAAAGTTTCATCTGCACAAAGGGATAATGAATGATGACAGGTGAGCGTATACTTAAAGCATAAGTGAATCTCTTACCAGATCTTAAACAAAATTTTAACGACCCTACAAAACGTTATCAACTTGAAGGCACATTTACAATAAATGGATATTTTAGTAAGACTTTCTCCCTTAAAAATATAGAATGTGGTCTTTTTCAGAGGCAAAAGGAAATTCCAACATAAACCGGTGACATGAACATTAATTATCTGTCTTATTGGATTTACCAAATGGTTTCTGTCAACACATCTAAATCATGCTACATATCAGGCTTGCCTTCACCGAGATATTCACTTGTATGTTTTTTACATTATCTACAGAAGGGCACGTTCGCCCAGGCGCATATCAGTGTGCGGGCGAGAGGGAATGGCCGGCGAGGATATCAGGGGACGGTATTCCTAGTGGCGTCTCACCGAAGTGATCTCATTGGGGTGGGCTCCGTGCTTCAACAACATGGTGACAATATCAGTGTGGCCCTGCTGAGCCGCCTGGTGCAGAGGGGTGTAGCCCATCTGCAGAGAAGAAGGGATGGTCAGACAAAGCAATAAACACAACTCATTCATTTCCGTCCGGATTATAATGTTAACGTCGTACCGACGTCGCCACAAAGCGTTGATAAGGTTTGTAAAACACAAAGTCAGTCGGCAAGCACACATGCGGCACACGTCACATTATATAAACACTTGTACAAGCGAGACAGAAATAATTTACCCTTGTCTTGCTATTCACATGGGCTTGCTGCTGCAGAAGGAACTTCACCATCTTGATGTTGCCATAGTGACAGGCCACATGAAGGGGCGTGTAGCCCATCTGAGACAGAGAGAGAGAGAGAGAGAGAGAGAGAGAGAGAGAGAGAGAGAGAGAGAGTGAGACACTATCGTCTATGCTTTTTCTATGAAGGGACCTTATGCAAACACTTGTGAGTTTGCAGACTTGAAGGCTCATCACCTACTAAATTGTCACGCTCTTTTAAGGATGAATGATAGGTTTGATATCGTATTTTATGTTCTTGAACACCAATGCGATGGTGTGACATTGTAACTAAATTATTCATAGGTGTATTTGTTTAGTAAAAAAACTCACATGGCAAACCACCCGTCTCTAAAATGAACAATAGAGGCTACAACGGGCCACTGTTTCCATCAGCAAAGGCCATGAAAATGTACTAATCTTACATGGTGATATTTTGTTTCAAAGGAGACTGTAACAAACCCGTGAAGCGGCATAAACGGAAGCTCCTTGTTTGACCAAAGTGTCGGCGATTCCCACGTGACCTTCCTGAGCCACAAGATGCAGAGACGTCAACCCGCTCTACACAAACGGAAAGCATATTTTTTCATGTTGAAAAGCTACCTAAATGAACTTTCCCGATTTGGGATTTTTGTGTGCGGTTTTGATCATTTCCCCTTTTTAGCACACCTTGTTCCCCAGGTTAACGTTGGCCTGTTTGGAGATGAGCAGGGCCACCATGTCCGGCCGCCCCTCCTGCGAGGCCAGGTGCAGGGGCGTGATGCCTTGCAGGGACTCTACATTGGGTGTTGCCCCGTTCTGCAGGAGACAACTGGCCACCTCAATCTGATTCTGCTTGGCCGCGATGTGCAGGGAAGTGTAGCCGTTCTGTGAGGAGAAACGAAAAGAAAGTACACACGGTATCACAAAAGCGGGCGTCGCTTTTCTCGGCAATGTCCGCGTCTAAATTTAGATTCACACTTGAATGCTGTCATGATGATCGGAGTGCTTTGGAGTACAGAGGTTGTCATTTAAGTAACTGTATGTTTAAGTATAGCACAGTCAGTTGACCTGTTTTTTGGTATGTGTGTCAGCAATGGGTGGGCATGCCGCGTGTCGGCCTGACTGTGTGAGTACGTGCGCACACACATATGTGAGCATCTTACTCGGGCAGTGCTGTGTGCAGATCCTCCCTTGCTGACCAGGAGTCTAACAACATCCAGGTTGTTGTGATGGACGGCCACATGAAGGGGTGTCAGACCGTTCTGTTAAACACACACACATGTGCACATATATAAACCCACCAACATATACGCACACAAACATGTATATATGAAACACGTACTGCAAAGCTGATATAATCTCCATGGCATCAACCTGTCAGGGCTGGATTGCTCGTCACAGGAGTGTAAGAGTACTTTGCTCGTGTGCGTCAGCGAACTGAACCACCGGAAGCGCGGATTGTCTCACCTTCCCCGCTGCGTTTGGGTTGGCCCCTCTCTCCAGAAGGAGCTCGGCCACGTCCACCTTCCCGTATTTAGAGGCCACGTGTAGGGGAGTGAAGCCTTTCTGCTCAGAAGAAAAACGCTTGTCATCGTTATTTCTCGCTCGGTGTCGATGCACAGAAAACACAGACTGACCGGTTTTCAGTTTAGTTCTCATTTCTGAAATATGCATTCATATTGATATCCAGCGTCCATCTTGGAAAGTTCAAAATACTTAAAATGAAGTATTATGTATGTATATATATATATATAACATGTGTGGCTTTACGAGAGCAGTGCCTAATGTAGAACAGTTGACACAGCATTAATGGAGGTGATGTTCTCTACCTTTGTCATCTTGGTCTGCTGTGCCCCAGCATCCAACAAGATTCGAATAGTGTGGATGTGTCCTTCACGTGCAGAGATGTGCAAGGGCGTGTGTCCTGCAGTTGTGGCCGAGTCGGGGCTGGCCTTGTGCTCAAGGAGCATCTTGACGAGCTCCTTGTGGCCCATGCGGGCCGCACAGTGTAGAGGTGTCTGGTCATCCTGGGCACAGGGAGGAAGGGACCAATTTCATGATTTAAACTGGGAAATCTGCAGCATAAACAAGTGGGTGATGATAGCCGGCTTTATTAAATTGCCATTTGCTTGTTTAACGGTGCGCTGAGTAAATGGAGACTGCACGGCTCGTACCTTTGCCCTAGCGTCTGCTTGCGCCGTGTTCTGCAGCAGGAATTGGGCAACTTCACAGTGTCCTGCTCTGGAGGCCATGTGGAGGGGAGTCTCCACTTTCTGGTGTGGACAAATAAAGGTTAACCAGGTTTTATTTCAATTGCATTAAATTATGCCACTTGCATGTATGAAAATGAGATTTATGAGTCAATTACTTCACACTGCTGACCGGAGACAGCTTTAGGGTAAACCGAGTAATAGAGAGAGTTTAAAAAAAGACATTGCAAATGACCAGTGTCAGAGTTGAAAGGGGGTTCTCACCACATTGGAAGCATTAGGTGAAGCCCCCCTCTGGATAAGGTTCTTTACTATGTTCAGATGGCCCATGAATGCTGCTACATGAAGAGGAGTGAGACCAGACTGCACAATGCAAAGCACAAACAGGGAAGGTCATGAAGGCCCATCAATGAACTTTTCTGTACTCTGAAAAAGACTGGCCCGACAGGTCATTTTCAGAGGCGGCCCCTGGTGGTCACATGGTCTCACCTCTGTGACAGCTTCTAGGGAAGCAGAGTGCTTAAGCAGCAGGTCCATGGACCGCATGTGGTTCTTCTTGCAGGCAATATGGAGAGGAGTGAAGCCATTCTGGGAACACACAGAAAATAGTTCAAGTCCCGGAGCCGTATTTACTTAGTGCCTTTTGTCTTTTATGTCCTCTCAATATGGAGATAATAAAAGACACACAGCGATACCTATGACCATCTAGATCACATATGTCAAATTCAAGGCCCGCGCCGGAATCAACTTTGGGCCACAGGATAATATCTAAATAGTATTGACTCGCTGGTACATGATAAATAGCTGCTATCCCTAATCAGTCCACCGGGGGTTGCACTGTGTGAGTGAGCACCCCGACCCCCTCCCACCCTGTCGACTATCGTTTTACTGGCCCGGCCCACTTGAGATCAAACCGGCCAGTATGTGGCCCCTTACCTAAAGGGACACCCCTTATCAATCCATCTAGATTCTAGATTAACTTAACTTCTAACATTAAGTTAACTACTCTAAATAAACAAGAAAACCAGTAAAAAAAAAACGGACCAGAGCTCGAGCATTGGCTTTGGCCCCCTTGTCCAGGAGGACTTTGGCCATCCGGTGGTGACCGCAGTGGGCTGCTACATGAAGAGGGGTTAAATGGTCCAGTGTGATGTCATCGATCTCAGCGTTGTACTGCAGTAGCTGCCTGACACAGTCCATGTGATCCCCCTGAGCTGACATGTGTATGGGGGACAGACCGTTCTGCAGGACAGAAAGAAGGAGACACAGACGTGGGCGGGGAAAGTTAGGGAGAGGAAATAGGAGACGAGCACGTATCATGCTGTATGTAGCACAAAGTCTATAAGATCATATTTCTTGTGTTCATAAAGGCTGAGTGTGAGTCCCTTGACATTGGGATATAATTAATACACTGAATGGCTGGCCGATGTATCAATATTATATCGATTTTGTGATATGAGACTAGATATTGTGTTATATTTGGGATATATTGATGTAAAGTGATGTCATCTGAATTTAACAAGTCCTAAACATTCTATGAATTGCCAATTCCCACAGTCATTTAATGCAAATAGTTAACCCTACAATACAGGTCAAAAGATATTGTGATAAATGATTTTCTCGCCGGGCCCTAACACACTGTACTAAAATGACTCACACACAATACAAGTGGCAAGGAACCTCGTTGCAATAATATCTTTAGGATGCTCACTAAGTAGACAAGTTAGATGACAGAGTGTAGACTACCAGCAAGTTGAGTGACTATGCCAATTTTCTGTTGGCCACGGGAACATCATTTGTAAAAAGATTTAGAATCTCTCTCAGTAATGAGTAGATGTTGAAGAATCAGTTTTGAACACTACACCCTGATGATTATGGATGATTGTACAGCATTTACCTTGGTTTTAGCCTGGATGGGAGCACCATGTTCCAGCAGGATCTCAATGATGCGAGCATGGCCGTTCCTGGCCGCACAGTGGAGAGGAGTCAGCTCATCCTGCAAAGAGAGAGGAGGCCGAGGAGAGAAATTGGAAGCGTGTAAAAACGACATACAGCGAGAGACAGAATTTAGCAAATCAGCAGGGAGGAGGACAGAAGGGGGAAATTGATATTGGGAAGGTGTTGGGCATTCATAAGTGGCAAAATGCCGGAGCAGAGTGGGGCTGAACGGCGCGCTACCTTAGTCACGGCATCAATTTGTGCTCCTCTGTCCAGCAGTAGTCTGACCATCATCACGTTGCCCCTCCTGGAGGCTATGTGGATGGGTGTGATGCCATTCTAGAGAAGTAGCCAGCAATAAGTTAGTTGCATTGATCATCACCTCTAGCAATCGATGCATGACGTTTCCAGAGTCAAAATACCACAAGATAGAAGTACAATGAAAGTTTGTCCGTGTACTCTTAAGATCCTTGTATGCTATTTAATATTTAACCATTTCTTTCTTTCCAGAGTCCCTTCTGGTCCTGCAGCTGAGACAAAACTGACCTTGGGGGTGAAGTTTACATTGGCTCCCTCTGTTTAGAAGCAGCTGGGCAACGCTCATGTTCTCATAGTGGGCTGCAATATGGAGAGGTGTGAACCAGTCTACAGAGAAAGAACCACAATGGGAGAGTGTAGGAATGAAAGTATACAAACATCAAAATCAAGGTTACAACAACGTGCATGACGTAGATTAAAATGAGAATAGAATTTGATTCAATTTAGAGAGAAACTGTCAGACAACAGGCCAAAGGAAGATTATGTTTCATGAAAAATAGTGTTTCTCTCTTAATGGTGATTTGCATTAAGAAAGTTGTGGCACCACCGATCTCACTTACGGTATATGATTATACTGATTAACCTTTACAGCAGTACACACAGTGAGTAAATACCTTGCTGAGAACATCGGCATTTGGATCGTTCTGCAGCAGCACCGCGGCGGTGCGCGTGTCGTCGTTCCGCGCGGCGATGTGCAGCGCGGGGAGGCGCACCTTGCCCTTGGTGCCATAGTTGATGAGCAGCGCCACGACATTCTCATGGCCCTGCTGGAGGGCCACTGCCAGGGGGGTGAAGCCATCCTGAGAGAGGACGGAGGGGAGGAGGGCGGGGGCGAGAAAGGGGAGTCGTGACGGAAAAAAAGTGGGGAGGTCACGCAGGGGAGAGGATGAGAAAAGAATGGAGCGAAATGAAGAATAAAATATCACTGAGCCGAGAAGAGACGCGCATATATTTTGTCCTGACTGTGATCTCTCGCACCTCGGTTGGGAGACTCTGATTGGCACCGTTCTCCAGCAGGAACTTTACCACCTCCAAGTGATTCTCCTGCGCTGCCATGTACAGGGGACTGAACCCTTTCTGTAAGGGCACAAGCATTTGATGCGTAGTTACGGATACACAAACAAACAATAACACGGCTCCATATTACAGGCTGCTACATACCAGCAAAAAAGAAAAGAAATAAAAATACTCAGTTGACCTGAGCAATAAATAATTGAATAAGTTTATCTTTACAAGAGCACACGGTTTCCATAACACACCATGCATGCAAATATCTGAACAACTCTTTTGCACAGCACAGAAACACGGATGCACGCACACACACTCGGGCCCCTCTTGCCCAAAGCTCGCTCTGACTCACATGCGACTGGGCATTAACGTTGGCACCATAGTTGACGAGCTCAGCCACCACTTTCTCCTGCCCTGCCAGTGCTGCGATATGAAGAGCCGTGTTCCCTTTCTGGAGGTCACGCGCACACAAACACACACAAAACCACACCGAAAGAGAGGGAGGACAATTAGAGTGAACAGAATGGCTTAGATTTCTACACATTGAAGTGAACACTGTACTACATGAGGTGTTTTGTAATCATCTAGTTTACAAGGACGACATTTGACGATGAAAAGAGGCAAAGACCAGACTAGCCTTTTCGCTCCCTTATGACCGTAAACAACAAACTGTTTTTAGTTATGAAATCCAGATCTTTCCAGTTCAGGCGACAAATACGTGATCTCAAAACACCTGGTCGGATAACCTGGAGTTAGCTACCTAACTCCAATACTCCAATACCTATGCTTCCTTTCCTCTGTCTTTTTTCAGGCTCAACACAAAGCTGTTCTTTTACACATACGCCCTCATGGTGGCATGGAGCTAAATTAGCTTAGAGCTTAGCTTAGAAAAGTGCTATTTCGGTTCAGTTTGAAATGCTACTTTAGATAAGTAAGCGCAGAGGGGGGACAAGGTACCTTGGTGGTGGCTTCCAGCTCAATGCCAGAGTGTAGTAGCTCCAGGACCATTTTGACGTGACCTTCTTTAGAGGCCAGGTGTAACCCGTTGAGACCATTCTGAGGGCGACGACAAAGATATTAGTCATAACAAACATATACGACACAATACTGTCTGCAAGAGATACCAGCCATTATGAAAAAAAATAAAAACTACTGCGCTTTGGATTAAAGACAGCATTATATTGTATCTTAGAGTTTTAGTAATACAGCAGCATGGTGATCCTGTTTATAATCAGGATTAACTTGATCCCGGTCCTCGTTAATTAAAAAGTGATCTCTCAGCGCAAAGTAATGAGTGAGTCGCGGTCTTCCTCACGACACATGAGAAGCAACGCACACATCTGTGTGAAGATCTCTCCGAAACGGGGATTCCGTGCCCCGTCTTTGGCCTCGTCCTTCCCGTGGCCTTCAGTTCAGTGACGTGAAGGATCTCTAGACCTTTCAGGCCCATTAGTGCAACGGTCCATTAACCTGGAATGTGTTGGATTTATGAACACATTCAAATATTCCACGTTCACGTTCAACCCGTGTTGAATGAAACCTCCCAATGGATGGAAATTAAAGTAGGAGCTGAAAAAGAAACACTGCCCTTCTTCAGTCTTCGACTTCTTTTGGAGATAAACAGAAAACTGTTTTGTCCCAACATTGTGCCGTTGTCTGCACGATTGCCTCTCTGGAAAGCCGCATACGTGTCTTACTGGTGAAGTCCGACCTGCGGCCTTCCTGCTGTGAGGGATGTGGCCACCAGGAGTCTCCGTTATCCATCACTCTGAGGCTTCACTCGATTCAAACAAAGTCTCTCTGCGAGCATGCGCGCAGCGACGGGTGACACAACGTGTCATCAGTGGCACACATGCACACACTGTTTAAATGCGGTGCGCCGGACCAAAGAGAAGGGACGGTGACTTCCGGCCTGGTGTGCATTTACGTATCGAAGACACCGACAGCAGCACGCCGATGGTCGGTAGTTAGACACCTCAATGACTCAAGATAAGGACAGGAAGAAAGCGGGAGAGAGAGAGATTTTTTTTTGATTTTTGAAAAACCTTTATTTTATATAAAAAAAACAATTACAATCATTTCATCTCATTTGCCCGTCTTCTTGCTCAGGATCCTCCTCCGCCGGTCAGACGCCTCACTCAGCCCCATTTCCTCCATCCCTGGTGATCTTGAGGTTGATCTTCCTTAGTCGGAAAACCTCCTGCTGGGTGTAGTCTGCCCCACCCTTTTTCGTGCAGCCATGTCGAACGGAGCGCGCAAACTTCTCCAAGTCGGAGAAGTAGTCCTCCAGCTCCACTCCTCTCTGGTTCTTGGTGGTCTGCAGGAACGCTTTCATCTGCCCCACCCCGTGCCTGCTGGTGACCGTCCCCCCTGAGGAGACGCTGTCTTCAGAGGCCCACCCTGAAGAGGACCCTGACTCCACACCTCCCACCTTCCTCTGCGCCCCCCTCTTTTTGCCCGAGAGCCTCCCCTGTTGGCCCTCGTCTTCCTCTTCAGGCGGGGGGCCTTAAAGTCCACCCCCCCCTCTTCCATATATTCCTCGCTGTCCGAGGGTCCACCTCGAACAGGTCCCCCACTACCAAGTGCCCCCATCCCCTCTTTCACTCGGTCACACACACCTGCCCCGCTGGGCTACATTCAACCCCCCATCCACTCCGACATTCATCCCCTCTGACCCCTCACCCACCTGACCGACCGGCTGGCTCTCGCCCAATCCCACAGTCTCCCCCTCATCGACCTGGTCGCCCGGCTGGCCTTCACCCAATCCCACACTCACCCCCTCACCCATCCCCACAGACACCCCCTCACCCACCTGACCGACCGGCTGGCTCTCACCCAATCCCACAGTCTCCCCCTCACCCACCTGGTCGCCCGGCTGGCCCTCACCCAATCCCACACTCACCCCCTCACCCATCCCCACAGTCACCCCCTCACCCACCTGACCGACAGGCTGACCCTCACCCGTTGCCACACTTACCCCCTCAGCGACCGGTTGGGCTTCACCTATCGCCACACTCACCCCCTCACCCGTCCCTACTGTCACCCCCTCATCCACCTGACCGACCGGCTCGGCCTCACCCCCTCTCACACTCGCCCCCACATCCAGCGGAGCGGACGAGGGGTTCCTCTCCGGGCAACCCCTCGCCAGGTGTCCCTCTCCGCCGCAACGGAAACACCTCCCATCGTCCGATGTGGCGAACATGGCGTAGTCAAACCCCTCGATCCTCGCCTTAATCACCAGGTCGAGGGCCTGGGGTTTGGTGAGGACCATGTGGAGTTGTCTCCTGTGAGACACCACGTGCCTCATTAAAGGCGACTTGCAGCCTGAGGACAGCTTTTTAAGCGGGGACACCACCTTCCCATGTTTGGCCAGCTCCTCCAGCAGCACTCCGTCAGGGACGAACGGCGGAACGTTCGCCACCGTCACCCTGACGGCCGGCACCGCGAGCGGAAGAACGGGCACGTGCGCCCCGCGGACCACCACGCCGCTCGCCACCACCTCGCGCGCCTTCTCCACACTATCTACAAAAATGACCACCGCGCGGTTCATCCACGCGGCGGACTTCACACTCCCGTGCCCAACCAACCCCCCCACGGCCAGACCGCAGTCCTCCACGGAGCACGCGAAGCCCGGCGCGAGCTTCACGCCGTGCTTCCGCGTCAGCCCCGTGAGGTCCGACATGCCGACCGGCTACAAACGCAGACAAAAACACATAAAAAGAAAGAAAAGTCACACGTACACACCAACACGCATTCACCCCACGAACCACACCAGAAACCACGCCGAAAAACACACGAGATAACAGATAGGAAACACATCCAAACAATTCACCTCACGCTCCGCACACTCAGCACTCCTTCCGCTCAGAGAGAGAGAGAGAGAGAGAGAGAGAGAAAGAGAGACATTTGATTTTGAAAAACCTTTATTTTCTTATAAAAAACCAACACAAACAAAAATGTTGCCTGATGACATTAAGGTCCAATCAAGACACACAATGGCTGTGAAGACACGATCTCCTTTCAGTCAGTCCACACCAGTCTCCTCTGCAGCATCGACGCACACCGAGGCCGCCCACTCTGCCGACGAACCGGTAGTCCGTCTGCTCACTGGCTCCTCACCTCCGCCGGTACTCCACTCAGTCCCCAGCAGCCCTCTCGTTGCCATTGTTGATCTTCTGGACGATCTTTCGCAGCCGGAAGACCTCCTGCTGCGTGTATCGGGAACTGCCTCGTTTGCTCGCACCCTCCCGAGCAGTACGACCGAATTTCTCCATATCCGGAAAGTAGTCCTCCAGCTTTATCCCCCTCATGTTCTTGGTGGTCTTCAGGAAGAGTTTCACCCTCCCCACGCTGTCCCAATTGGTGGCCATCCCGCCAGAGGAGACGCTGTCCGCAGAAGACTCCGCTCCTGCTGCCCCTCCTCCCTCTGTCTCTCTGTTCCCTGACCCCTTCTTGGTCTGAGAGCCCCCTCTGCTCTCCGTCTTTCTCTTCAGGCGGGGGACTTTTAACGCCTCTTGCCTCCCTTCACCCCCTTGACCCACCTGCTGGACCCCACCCGCCCCTTCTTCCATCCCTCCACCCCCTTGATCCGCAAGCTGGACCTCGTCTGCTTTCTCATTCACTCTGTCACTCGCCTGCCCACCTGCTGGACCCCACTCACCCATTCATTCACTCCGTCACTCGCCTGCCCCACCTGCTGGGCCCCACTCACCCCTTCATTCACTCCGTCACTCGCCTGCCCCACCTGCTGGGCCCCACCCGTATCTTCATTTACCCCATCAGTCCCTCTCTCCACCAGCTGGACCCTGCATTCCCCCCCCTCACTCACCTCACTCAAGCTCTTCTGGGCTTGACCTGTCCCTGTTTCACCTCCCTGTTGGACCCCCACTGTCCCCTCTTGTCTTTCCTGCCCACCTTGGCTGTGACCAGTAGAGGTCTTCTCTGGACATGCTCTGCTCAGATGTCCCTCTCTGCCACACCGGTAACATTTCGTACTGTCAGAGTTGACAAACACCACATAGTCAAACCCATTCACTCTTAACTTGAACACCACGTTCAGATCCTCGTTTTTCTTGTTGAGGATCATGTAGAGCGTCCTCTTGTGAGAGACCACGTGTCTCAGGAGGGGGGATTTGAAACCCGAGGACACCTTATTAATGGGAGACACGACCATCCCGTGTCTCGACAGCTCTCTGGTCAACATCTCGTCCCTGATGAATGGGGGGACGTTAGAGACCGTGACTCGGGTCGCTGGTGTGGCGAGAGGCAGGACGGGCACGAACGTCTCGTTCACCACCATCCCCTTCTCCACCACCATGTTGGCTTTGTTCACGCTGTCCATGAACATCACCACGCGTTGTTCATGCGGGCGGCGGACTTTACGCTGCCGTGACCGACCATCTCCCCCGCGTCCAGGCTGCAGTCCTCCACCGCGCACGGGAAACCCGGCGGAACTTTAACGCCGTGCTTCCGCGTCAGTCGGGTCAGGTCCATGGAGCAACAACAAGTGCCTGCAGGGCTGTAGGTGTAGCCAGGACAGGCTATTGCTACAGAAACACATAAATCCCATATAAACAACATCCTTCCTTCAGTCCTCTGTAAGCACTCGCATCAATCGACCAATCGAAGGGATACAGAAAAGTTAAAAAGTAAGTAAAAATAGGGCGATGGGAAATGGAGGAAAATCTATTACTGTATTCAGAGAATCAAATTAGGTCTTTTGAAATATAATTGATCGCATTGCGCTATAAGTACACCGTGAATATGGTGGCAAAAAGTTTTGTTCATGTCTATCCGCCGCTTCTCATCGTCTGTCTCCCTCCTGCTGGGGCGTGATACTTTGTCTCAGTCTTGATGCGCAAACTTCCATCTCACTGGCAGCATTTTGTCTGTGTATAAAAGCTCTTGTCTCATCATTCACTGAACATCCTTCCACTCCCAAATAGTCCCTAAAGCAAGAACTTACTGGTAAGCTGATGGGTATGTCTCTACGTACGTCTAATCCACACATATCCACCTTCACACGTGCAGGGATACGGTATCCATAAAACACACGGGGTATCCCGGACACCCCGTGTGTTTTATGGTGCTGATGCAACGGGGTGTAAGTGTGCAGAGGGAGCAGCTGAAGATTGAGGGGACTTTAATCGAATATACTTAATTATTTAGGGACACAGCTTTACTCAAAAGACAGAGAATCAGGAGGTCCAAAGAATGGTGAATTTTTCATCTTCTTTTTGAGTCTTTAATTTTACATAATTTGCTGATGCCGCAGAATCCCTTTCCATTGAGATAATAATGACATAATGCGTTACAATCCAACGTTCCTTTTAAGAGCAAAACAAATTGTGTGCAGTATGTTGCATCTCTAAGGAGTAAAATGAAGTTCCTAAGTAACATCCTCATTTCATAATCATGCCTTGTTACTGTGGGAAAGCGTTTTACTTTCCCACAGTGAGGAGACAAAGACACACTTTGTCCCAGACTTTAAAGAGGCCTTTTCAAACAACCTTTTTAAGAACATCCGTCTCTATATTTGATCAAAATAGGACTGTAACTGATCTCAAACTCTCTAAATGTATTCACAGTACATATTGTACCTACAGAAAACAACAAACCCATGGATGGGTTGTTTATTCTAGAAATGTATTATAGTATTAGGTCTAGAATCTTTCCAAAGAATACGAGGCCTTTTGCTTATTGTGGCCCGAGAAAAAGCTGCGTCTTACTCGTCTAACAACAAGTGTTTCCCACATATATAATGATATCATATTTAAGGCTCACAACAAAAGCTGATGAAATGGCACCAAACAAACCTTTTTGCCCCCATTAGGCTGCGTTGGACATGAATTATTAACCCTTAGGTTGGTTTCAAGGGAAACAGCTTACAAAACGGAGCTCTCTGCTGTGGTTTAACAAAAATATTATGCAGACCTACAGCATCTGGGTAATATTTTTGTTAATGGACCAGTATGTAGGTTTTTTTACAGAAAGGATTTTTGACTCCTCAGGACAACATGGAGCATCCGGCCTGTGGCTTTTTATGTGATTTGGGATTTAGTGTGACTCCGAATGTAAGCTACCATTTTTGTTCCTAACTTCTGTACAGTACCAGTCAAAGGTTTGAACACATTTTCACATTCAATTTAATGATTAAGAGTTTCCAGACTTTTGACTGGTACTGTATGTTCTAAATGTTGTAATCTCTTTCGATACAAACCACCACTTAATTCACCATTTGTCTCTGAGACGCGCCACACACGCACAACCAAAAAGGATCTTCTTATGAGTTGAACGAAATGATCTCACTTGATTAGCGATATTGATGCTGATCCCATTCTTCAAGTGATCGTGTGCTTTGTCCAGGTTCCCCGAGCGAGCTGCACGCAGGAAGCTGGTGGATGCATCGGCCTGCAAGGAAGACGAAGAGAAAAAAAAAAGAAGTAAAAAAATAATACAATCAAAAGTGCAGAATCATGCTGAGGGAGTCTCAATGTCGGTCCCAATTAGAGCACCAAAACACGGATCAACTTTCTTTGTCAACATCAACAGCCTTGAAACATAAACAAACACCCGCTCGGGTCACGTTTCTCCATCCACTTCCTCATCACTTGGGCCGAGGCCCGATGCCGCGTTCACCGGCTCCTCCGTCCTCTCTTGGAGGCTAAAAAAAGGGCGTTTTGGCAGCCGTCCACAGCCGCCTGCACTCTGCTGTCTGCCTGTCTGATCTCAGAGGGGGAAAAAAAAGCTCCCTCGGCTTGTGTCTCGGTGCGTGTCGGCCCGCCTCTGAATTCATTCATCAGCCGTAGGAGTAATAAGGCCGAGCTGCAGGGTGAGATGCTTCTGATGACCCCCTCCCCAACCCGGGGGAGGGAACACTGCGTGCCGCCCCCGCACTGCTGACCCTCGTATGCATCCGTTCCAAGTGTTATTCTCTGGTGGGTTAATAGAGCTGAAACACTGAAATATGTGAATGCCCTTTTCCCCTCCTTCTGTGTGCATACGAGCCAAGTATTATTTGTTTTGTGCACAAAGCATTAAGCTTTCTAACAACTAAATCTTTTTTATTAGATACTCTGTGAATACCCTGTGAATTTATCTTTCCCGAATCAAGAATCGGTTTTCCTTGCAATTAATTCCCATTATTTTCTCAAAATAAAAAACCTCCGCCTCAAACTCCTTTAAATTCAAATTAGATCACAATGCATATTAAGAGGTTCTTTCATTTGACGACTCAGGCTTTCTGACTGTCTATAAATAAAAAAAAACAAAAGGACAAGGTGAATAAACCCCAGAATATAAAACAATATATTTATAAGAAAATGATGCACAAAAAGCCTCTCTGGAATATTACCTATGGACAGCAACCTGTACAAATTAATCTTTTTCAGAGGTGTCCAGCTTCCAAATCCTTTTGTATTTAAAGGGTTTCTTTCTGCAGGCAGTGCAGTTAATAAAATAATAACTTCATGTACTGTAAATGAATACGGTTTGAATCCATTGATGTGTTTCTTTCCCTGCGTGCCTCTACTTTCTTCAGTTTCCTGCACCTGGTGAACGTCTGGCTGGTGTGCATTCACCATCTCTTCTCTTTGAACACGAGAGCTACAGACTCGGCCCTAGAGCGCTGAGAGACAGGACTTCAAACGGCTGCTGACGGGATTCTCTCCAGCTCAACACCCCCCAGCCGGGTTTTAGCCGTCTGTCACAATGCGCCACAGATCCTCAGGAATATTCTATAATTAAAGACTCGTCTCGTCTGCTTGAACGTATACGTGTGGCGTTTACGCAACGTTTCCGCCTCTGTCACGTTGCTGGTTTTAAAGCAAGTGTGACGTTCAGCGTCTCACAGTCTCCTCCTTCTCATTCTCCCTTCATCTGCACTGTGACGGTGTTCATGTGGCGTATTACAGCCCTCACCTGCATCCCCATGACTCCACCCCCCCACTGCTTCGTGAACCAGTTCGCTGCTCGTTTATCATCATGAGATAGTTAATGAGTGTTGGTCAATTTGAGTGTGGTGTGTGTTGTCTGTCTGTGTGTGTTGTCTGTCTGTGTGTGTGTGTGTGTGTGTGTGTGTGTGTGCGCTTGCCACAGTTTGCAGAAAATGAAAAATCTTTCCAGACAGACATCCTCCACCAGCTCGTGTCGAGGTTTCCGTTGGGCTGGAATCCATTTCGACTCTCTGCTCATTTACCGTCTCTGAAGTTTCAACTCCCCATTTATTCATTTTTACCGTCCCCCCCTCCATTCTTCCTTTCATTCTCGCCTCTATCGCAAAGATTAGGGCTGTACGTGCCGTCCTGGACAACTGACTTAATTTGTAATAATCAATCGGCTTACTGACACACTTCATCCATTACTTTTCCTGTATGTAGATTTCTTTTCTATCACTGACAACACAGAGAGGAGGAGGTGCAGGAGTCTGGTTTTCTCCTAGAACACTTGATGTGCAATAAGATGAAAAGTCTTTATTATTCATGCTGTACTTGTGACCTCCAGATGTATGTATGTACGTACCTCACATTCTAACCAATGATCCACTGCCTCAGGTCATTTATTAATTAACATGTGTTTGATGTGTGTAAGATGAGCGATACACTGATTGTTTGTCGAGCCTTTTCACAGCCGTGCTGTTTCAATTTCACACTCTTGATGGACACAGCTTGGAAACCTGTCTTTATATGAATGTCTTCACACTTCAAATATAGTAATTACCCAAGCGGACCAGATGTGTTATGATAAAGTAGGTAAGTGTATAATTATTAATGATCTGGTGTCAGGCTTTTTAAGCGAGAAGCAGAAATGGGCGAAATATCTGTATTTTTCTAATAAAGTATCACACGTATTCTGAAAAGGCATCGAACTCACATGACTCAATCAGAAACAAAATACCATCAGTAAATATAAATGTTAACGGTAAGCACTTTCCACAAGTCAAAACTACAATACGCCAACGGGAGAGGTCACCACATCCGGGGAAGCACAATTGAACGGGAAAGTCACAACAACACAGAGGTTTTTTTCCTGAACACAACAACCACAAAGACATGAAAAGAAGCAAACAGCAACACACAACTATCACCACAGTCAACCCGAGGGAATTCGAACTGTAATAGTCAAGTTTTAAATCTAGAATTTCATCAGAAAGAAAATCAGCCAGCGGGGTTGGTTAATTTAAATATATAAACTTAAGTATTCAAAAAACGTCCTGCATCTATAATGTTGTCTCAAGCTAAATATCCATCTTCCCAAACCAGTTGATATAATGCATTGATTGTCCAAACACAAGACTTTGAAACGCTGATTTTTTGTGTAGCATGACTTAAGAAGTTAAGAAACCCCACTGCAGCTGGAACAAGCGTCGAGTAAATAAGCACAAGGATTTAAACAAACATCATATTTACTCTATAAAGAGACACATTCCTCTGCAACCTCTCAGATCCCGCGATACTGACCTGACGAATAAATCAGCGCTGAACCGAATGAGCCTGGAAGACAACACACACCAGCCAAGACAACAGACTGTTAATGGAAAACATTTAAAGTGGTTGAAATAAGACAAAAGGTTATTTAGCATCACCCAGATATTGTTCTAAACTTGTGTTACAGATGCTAAATCTTAAAGCCCGACGACCGACTACAATATATACTACAAACATATAGCATATATGACAATTGGTTAATAAATGATTAAGGATGATATGCATTCAACACACATATCTAAGTATCTGATCTGTGAGCACTCGGCATAATAGATAATATTTAGTTAAACTGGCTCTGTGGAACAGATCCACAGTGAAATGCATTTACTTCTCTTTGTGTTGCCATCCTGTTCTCCTTGTGCCTTCAGGCAACAATCTGAGTGAAAATCCTCACGACTAAACACAGACTTAAATACTTTATGCAGCTAAAAATAACCGTGTTTGAATGGAAAAAAGCGCTCCAGTCTTCAGATAATAACACCAAGGAGTACTTTGAAAGGAAAGAGGTCGAAGCCATTGATTTCTTGTTTGCTATTTAATAACCGGCGTTCATGCACCTTCAATATTCGGCATCTACATTTTGCACACAGGCACACAAAGCATGAAACAGACCCACTGGAGCACACGCGCACACACACGCTGACAAATGACAAGATGACTAACACCTCATGCTCTCATAAAAAAACACACACTGCACGCAGAACATGAGCAGTTATATCAATATATAAGCTGTTAAATAAGCTGTTGTGAGCATGATTTCGTTCTGCATTGGTATGAACGACTTGTGGAATAAGTGTTCAAACGTTAAATATATTTCAATATCGAAGGACCCATTTTTCTGTCCAGGCTGCAGGCGACACGCAGGCAGACACACTATTGTTTCCTGTGAAGAGCCATCGGGGAGATTTCTGAGCATCACAATCTCTGTCGTGACAGCGTTAGTGGGTCTTCTCCCACCGACGTCAATAGCACAGATACGCGTACTTATTGTAGCGACATGTCACCTGTCACTTCTCATCGGGAAATGAGTCCTCGTATCAATTCAAGTTGAGACTTCTTCTTCCGTTCCACACTCATCTCATCTCCTTCCGACTTGTGACTTTGAAGGTGCTATTAGGATTATTTTCTACTATTAAAACTACTACAACGACTACTACCCTGTAACACCACTGTAGAACTAGAACATGAACTGTAGTGTTCATGTTATTTAGTGTCAAATTTGCAAAAAGAGAAGAGGCTCAGTAGTAACATGTGCTTCAAATACAGAGAAGCCTTATATTGGTTTATGCATTCTGCTGCCGTAGTGATATTGGTCCATTTTATCACCACTAACAAAACAAATTCCTGGTGAATTGTGACGAATTCTGGCGGACGGCCAAATTGTAGATGAAAAGAAAATAGTGTCTGTTTCTCATGGTGATTATTAAGACAAAATACCTGTTCATGTGACCCCTAATATGAAGACAAGTCCCCCTTGTACAAACATGCGCACGCACGTGCACGCCGGATACCAAAAATAGCTTCATGGACTCCGCAGCATGTCAGCGTTGGCACTAACAGAGAGGCCGGCGGATCCCAATAAGGAACCCTCGTGGGTTTAAACAAAGACCCGCTTCTACCACCAAGAGAGATATTCTCAAGCCATCGCACACAAACACACATGAAAGAGGGAGCTCGCACACAACCTCACAATGCTGCGTCCCGCGGTGGAGGGTCGATTTGATGCACAAAAGCGCAATGATTTGCAGGCTCTGGCAGCGGGAAGCAGCGTGGTAGAAGCCTTGCAGTGCCCTGCCGTCAGGTTTATCTCACACGAAACATAAACACATGCATCTATATTAACGAACACCCGCGATTGTATTTTAGGAAAGCTTTGTCTTACGAACCATTTTGCGATTTTTCAGAACCTGCAATGCTAATGTTTTT